AGCCTCCCTGCCCCACCCACCTGTAGGGCTTGGTTTCAGCTCAGACAGGTCTCTTTATCTTTGGCCCAGATCTTCAGTGTAGACAGCCCTGCCTTCCCACACCCCACCCCCACCCCGACCCCTCTTTCCCAGCCCTGCTAAACAGTGGGGACAAGGGGGCACCCTGGGGACTTGTGCTCATCCTGCCAGTGTGGTGTAGGCTGCCCTCTTCTGTTGTTTTTCCTTCTGTCCTCTTGACAGAAGGGAACCCCCAGAGATGGAGTGGTCCTCAGACTGGAAGCAGCGGCACGGCGTCTCCCCGCAGCTGTGGCTGTGGCTGTCACGGCCCTTGGTGCCTCGCATCCTGATGCAGAGCCGCCCGCCCGGGTTGACCGGCCCCCCCACCCCGGCCCTTTTCACGGTGCACCTGATTAGACTGGCATGGCCTTGCGTGTGCACACAGGGGCGGGCAGGCAAGATCAGAGTGGTGTCAGCTCACAAAAACCCGACGCCAGCTTTGAAGTTCCCGGCTAGATGCACATGAAAAGTTAATCGCCATTAAGAATGTTTCTTTTGAGTTTTCGAACAGCCCAGCCAGGCATTTCATATCTCAAAGAGAACAAGCAGTCAGTTGATTTTCCTTCTTTAAGAGGTTTTGTTTTCATTCTCAGAGTAGTGGGTCTTTTTTCAGGCTGCTACAAAGAAAGTAATGTCAGCTGGTTTATAAACCACCAAAAAAAAAAAAAGTTTCATTTTATTTTAGTTTGTTTTTGATGTTTCATTTTAATAACTTGAGTAGATAGAAGGTCAAAGTTATTGACATTTAACATTTTTCACTCGATTAGAGTTTTAGAATATGAGAACCATGGGTTTTTTCTTGTTGTTCAGTCACTAAGTCATATCTGACTCTCTGTGACCCTGTGGACTGTAGCCCACCAGGCTCCTCTGTCCGTGGGATTTCCCGGGCAAGAATACTGAAGTGGGTAGCCTTTCTCTTCTCCAGGGGATCTTCCCGACCCAGGGATTGAACCCAGGGCTCCTGCATTGGAGGCGGATTCTTTACCACTGAGCCACCTGGGAAGTCTCGCTCCCTGAGAGACCTGAGCCCAAAGCAGGGAAGGGCGTTCTGGCTGAGGAAGAATGATGAGGAAGGAAAGTCCACTTGGAATGGAGCTCAGGGCACAAGGAAAACAGGGTGAAAGCACCTTCTGCTGAAGAAGGGACTCTGTGTGTGTGTGTGTTGTGTGTGTCTGGGTCTGTGTGCATGTGTGTGTGTGTGTGTGTTTGGCTGCATCAGGTCTTAGTTATGGCATGCAGGATCTTGTTCCCCAACCAGGGAGGGAACCCGGGCGTCCGGCATTGGGAGCACACAGTCTTAGCCACCCAACCGCCAGGGAAGTCCTGGGACTTCGTGCTCTGGAAGAAAGGAGGAAATAGGCTGGACAGACACCAGTGTGACTTCTCTGCTTAGTCATCCTGTGTCATATTCTGTAGAGATGCTTCCCTGTTAACCTTACTTTCTAAGCCACTTGAAAACCTTTGCATCAGCAGTCCTCAGCTTTCTGCCGCCCTGTGCTCTCACGCCCGTCAGTACCCATGGGACCCTGCCCTTTGTGGGTGAGGAGGCAGGCAGGCGTGGAGCATCTCACTGGGTTCCCACCAGTGCTTCACTTGGACAATCTCGGTTACCCTTGGGAGCGTCCTAACCACGGAGTTAGGAGCACATTATCCTGTTACACTGGTTGAGTCCATTGATACCAGAGACAGGAACTGTCTGGTCTGGCTGCCTTCAGGGAAAATGAGTACTTTGGGTGGGTATCAGGGCATTTCACATACTCCAAGGAAGAAGAATCAAGTTTTGGGCACAGTAGGTACCAAACCTTAGGGTAAAACTTAGTACCAAGAATCTATGAACTCTCTTAGATGTTCCTATTACTCTGTTTCCATGACCCCAAGCCCTGGGTCTCTTAGGTAAAACTTCCATGCTGCCAGAAGATTTAATTGGTACAGTTCAGTGGCAGTAGGGGTGATAGTGATGGTTTAAGAAGCCCTGACTGGGGTGGGGAGGTACAGAGGTTCCTGGACTTCAGGCAAGGCCATCAACTCTAATTGAGTTCAGGGAGCACTTCTCAAAGGAGGAAAGATCCTGGGAGACCATCAGCTGCCTTACGAGGGGCCCGTTCTCTAAAAACGAAGAGCTAAGTGTGCAGCGTTCAATTCAAATGAATAATTGAGTGGCACCCACTACACTAAATCAATGTGCTCTGCAGAGAACTTGAGGCTGTTCTTGCTGCTCCGCTGGTTAGTGTTTCTATGTTTGTTTTGTAGGAAGTCATCCTTGGACACGTGTGATCCGCCTGCCTGTCCCCCTCCCAGCCCCTCCTTCCTGTCTTCCTTTCTTTCATCAGCCTCGAGGAGATTACCAGTTCTTTATAGAATCTGATGTGACATCCATGAGACTGTTAGAAGAATTTGTTTTTAGTGTATCCTTTCCTGACTGCTTTAAGTTTTTTTTTTAATTTACTCATTTCATATTTTTATAATATGTCTAATTTGTGTAATTTGTTTTTTCCCCCACTGTCTAAAGAACACATATTGATGGGAAAATAGAAAAAAACACAAAAGTTGTCTGTAATCCAGTCGTTAAATTGAAAAAATAACCCTTTTGTTTTTCTTCTGTACCTGTAAAGAGGAAGTTTATTTGGTCCCAACTTTAGTCATGTATATTGACTTTTGGGAGTTAAGACAAGCTGCCTCTAAACGCCGCCCCCTTTTTCCCCTAGGGGGAGATGGCCAGGCAGCCTGGGATAGACGGCGCTCTCTGTGGACGGCAGTCACCCAGGGCCTCCCGTCAGACGCCTTTATAAAACACGGCAGTGAGCTCTGCCCCGGACGAAGGCTTAGCAGCGCTGTTCTGGTGTCTCCCCCGCGCTGCCTGCTCAGTGCCTTCCGGTCGGCAGGCATTCTGGGTTACTGGGGCAAGCAGATGGGAACAGGGCCCCTGGAGGGTGCCGGTGGGACCCCGGCCACTCTGACTGCTGCTTTCCCATAGCCTCTTTGAAGAGCGGAGATAGTTCCAACAGAGGTCCACTCCCAGAAGGGCCCCCAGAGCATCAGCTTACCCTGGGAGAGGGATACTGGGCCTGTGATGCGGTGGTTTAGGTCATACAGCTCAAAAAAAAAAAAAAATAAAAAGGTGAGGTTTGTTTCTGTCACTCCAGAGTAAAACCCCTGACTCATTGAGCACTTTCACCCATTCTGCTCTAGCAAGCAGCCGTCCACATCCCATTTCTATGGATTTGTGTGTTCTGGAGATGTCTTGTGGGTGGACTCAGGTTTGACCTTACATGCTTCCCGTGGTGTTCTGGAGACTCACCCTTGCTGCACTCCTCTTTGTGGCTCAACAGTGAGTCCCCGTGTGTGTCCACCACCTCCGTTTGTCCCTCCCTCTGTGTCTATGTTGACAGACATTCAGGCTGTTTCCATGTCTTGGCGGTTCTGATCCTGCGTCCACACGCATTTATCTGTGCCCCTGTTTCCAGTTCTTTTGGGTGAATACCTACAAGTGGAGTGGTGGAGTCAGACAGGAATTCTGGTTTCACCTCGGGGACCAGCCGCAGTGTTTGTCTCAGCAGCTAAACTTCTCTGCAGCCCCGCCAGCTCTATATGAGGACCCCTCTGCCCCCGCCCCCCGTTAGCCCCGGATTTTCTTACGAGAAATTTGCTCTCATTCGGAGCATTACTGCCCTGTAGGAAAGCACATGGTTAATCTCTTAACTGCTTTCAGGATTTCTCTGTCTGTCACTTTTAGCAGTTGGGTTATGCTGTGTCTCATTGTGGATTCCCTTTGGTTTATCCTGTATGGGCTTCATCAAGCTTCTTGAAACTCTTAGGCTTTTCATCTCTGGCCAAATCGGGGAAAATTTTAGCCATTAATTCTTTAAATATTTGTCCAGCATTAACACACTTCTCTCTCTCTGGTCATTTGAATGTTAGACTGTTACTGTCTCAGTTCTCTGAGAAACAATACTGTTAATTGTTTTAAAAAACAAAACACAACTTTTTCTTTTTTTGAGATTGAATAGCTTCTCTTGTTATATCAAGTTTTCTGACTGTTTTCCTCTTGTCTCTGTTCTGCTGTTGAGCCCGTTCTGTGAGTTTTCTTTGTTACTATGTTTTCCTGTTCTGAAATTACTATTTGGTGCTGCTTTAAAAGTGTTGTTTCTTTGCTGACACTTGAGTTGTTTCCGAGAGTGAAATGAGTGTTTTCTTTCATTGTCTTCTTACCACTGTTTGCTAGAGCACCTTTTAAACAGCTGCTGTAGAGTTTTTGTCAGATAATTTCAAAATCTGCGTCACCTTGCTACTGGCATCTGTGGGTTTTCTTGCCCTAACGGAGTTGGTGTTTTCCACATGCCTTGTGAGTGGAATGATGCTGGGTGGTGTGAGGCCTCGAGTTTTGTTTTCATCCTGCAGACAGCACTGGTGTCTTCTGTGAACATGCTGTCCACCTGATTAGGTTCGGGTCTTAAGTTTCTACCCACATTCTGTGAGCTGCGGGTCTAATTTCAGTTTAGTTTTCAGAAGCCTCTGCAGTGCAGCGGGGATCTGCCCGCGTGTGCCACCCAGCCACCCGTCTGCGTCTGGGCAGTGGTCTGCGTGTCAGCTCAGCTGATCAGGACTGTGTGTCCAGACTGGGGCTCAGTCCAGGGTTAATGAACAACCGCACTGCTCTGCTTCCCTGAGCTCTTCTGTCCATTTGCCCTCCCTGCTGCTTTCAGATTCCCAGGGGGCCCCTCGCTGGTTTCATTGCTGCAGTTTACCTTTCAGAATCTTCTCATTTCCATTCAGTGCATCCTGTCCAGGTAGGAGAGACAGCGTGGAATAAGCTTAACTATCTGATCTGTGACTCAGACATCTGTCTGTCTGTTTTTAGCGTTAAAAATGGCCTAGACTTGACTATGTGGCTCCAGGTGATTTTTCCTCTACTCTCCCTTCTCTAGTAAACTAACCTAGAAAACATGGCGACTACAGTTCGGGAAGACGGGGTCTGGAGGCAGACGAGAACACTGCTCCTCAAGAATTACCTGGTGAAATGCAGGACCAAGAAGAGCAGTGTTCAGGTAAGCTGCATGACCGTCCTGTGTTACTGCAGTATATTTTGCATTAATATGTTCCATCTCTAAGAGATGATTTGTTCTGCTGGATGCATTTTTATTACAATTTTGCTTGTGAAGTGAAAACTTATTGTGTTAGCCTCAGAAAAAAATACTTAAATTATCCAATGTTTTCTAAATGTCAAAAATGTTGATAAGTTTCCAAATTTAGTTAATTTTTCATATCAGTGCTTGATTTTTGAACCTCAAGGCATGTGTTTCCTGTTTCATGAGGTGAAAAATAAATTCTGCAAATAACTTTCTGGAACATTGTTCCACATTTCCTCTCCATGGCCTCCCATCTTTTGACTCTGGGTTGAGTTGGCCAGGATTGTTACAATTATGTCACATATCTGTCCCTGCAAGCATATATCACTTTATTATATATTTATTTGTTTAGTATACATTAGTCTAAGAGATAAAAGGAAGTAAGAACTCTGGCCGGCCAGTCAATAATGATTTTAAATGATGGAATGGTATTATTCTTTTGAAACCAGCAGACCAATTAAACTGCAAGATGAAACAGTAAATAGTTCATCCCCATTAAAGTCAACTATTGAATGTAACAGTATAGTTTTAGAAGTAGAAATTTAGGTATAATTAAACATAGGTTTTAATTCACACTCAAAGAGATTTTTATGGTGTCTTTGAGTTACAGATAATTAGTAAGTTACTTTAAAATTATATATGAATAAGTTTATTATTATATTTTATATTAGTAATCTCAGATGTTTAAATACTAGCTTTTATGTCATTTAAATATATTATGGTGACTTGAATTTTAAAATATTTTAGTGAAATTGAATGTAAAGGAAAAATTATTGCTGTTGGGTTTGGTTCAGCACAGTATTTCTTTTAGGATAGAATTGCTTTTACTTTGTGTGCTTAAGAAAGGAGACCCAAGTTCTTCATGTTTTTTCTTAGTGTTAGTTATATTCATAGAGAGCCTGATGATTTTTGCTGCCTTTGTTATGCTTTGTAATCAGTTTGTTTTCCCTTTGTTGCAGGAAATTCTTTTTCCACTGTTTTTTTTGTTTTGGTTAATATTAATTAGCATGATGCATCCAAATAAAAAATATGAAGAAGTGCCTGATGTAGAACTCAGTGCCCTGGACGCGTCCATCCTCACCAACGTGGTTCTTGGATTTACGCCCGTGACTAACATCACGAGGAGCATCATGCAGAAGGCGTCTGTGGATCACCTTCATGACGGTACTGTGAGCTGGTGTGGGTCCTGTCTGTTACAGCAGTGTCTTCTGTGTTGTGCTGTTTGCTTTATTGAGTAAATACCATTCTTAACATTTATATAAAGGTATATATCCTTTCACCATAGCAGAGTTTTATAAGAATGTTAATGTCATTTGATTCTGCTGGCCTTACGTTTCTTGTGAAACTTTCATTTATAGCATACTTTATGTTTTAATATTTTATATTTAATTTGTGGGTCATTTATAAAACAAGCATATTTGTATAGGATAAAAGAAGCAATATTGGGTTTAAATGTCAATTTTTATTCAAAGAAGAGTTGTGTCATAGTTACTAAAATACATACTTATTTTCTGAGGATTGTGGAGTTTTCTTCCTAAGAAGGAATATTTGAAAATAAAATACCCATTTATTTATCAAGGAGTTATTTCATGGTTTCACTTTGAGATAGGTAAATGAACTACATATATTACATATAAAGTATATGCTCTAATTTGTCATGTTAATAGCTTATGTGTTACACTGACACATAACTTATGTATAGTCAAGTGAGAGCCAAGAAATAGTGTCTGTAAAATTGCACTACTTTAATATCTGTTACTTTTTAGCTTGGTTTTTAGAAGAGCTGTATTGATTTTCAAAGAAGTTAGAGCATTCAACAAATGCTTATAAAATACTACATCAAGTATAATGGTAAATTTGGTCTGTTGATTATAATAAACTATTCATGTATTTGAGCTAATTTTGTTGTAATATTTTATAGTTGTAACTATTGAAGAATATGCAGATGAAAAAGAATTGGTAACATCCAGTCTTTCCAAGTCCAGCACCTTCGTAGGCATTGTGTTCAAAGACTTCATGTCCTACGAGCTCCGGTTTTTTCCTGATACAATTCCAGTATCTTCTATTTATATGGATTCAAGAGGCAAGTAGCCCTAAATAGTCAATGAAAATCAATTAAATGCATGTTTTTATTGCTCTTAGTTCAAATGCAAAATCTGATGGTGTCCTACATTGACATTTTCGACTATAATTATTCAGATCAGAAGACTGCCAACTCTAGCCTAAGAACATGTGTGTCTGTCTGTCCACAGCTCATGTGTAATGTGAAGTGTAGTTTACACTGTGCTTCCCCACTGGCTCGGTGGTTAAGAGTCCACCTGCAGTTCGATCCCCGAATTGGGAAGAGCCTCTGGAGAAGGGCATGGCAACCCACTCTGGTATTCTTGTCTGAATTATACCACGGACAGAGGAGCCTGGCAGGCTACAGTCTATGAGGTTGCAAAGAGCCTGATACTACTGAAGTGACTTAGTAGTCATGCACGCGTAATTTATATATTAAACAATTTTATCTTGAGTTATATGACTTTCTATGTTCTTTTCTCCACATAATTTTTTTTGTACATGGTATGGTACATATTTTAAAATCTCAAGTTCTTCCACCAATAAACTTTATTAATTCTATGTTTGAAACATGGAAAACAGCCTTCAATGCCTAAGCCTCTGAACAAATAATTATCAACCAAAAACATTTATTGAAACAATGTTACAGTCACTATATTAGGTATTATATTTGTGACTTGATTCCAAAAAGCCTTCAGATAATTTTTCTTTTTTCTGTGGACCTGCCTTTGCATCTGGAAAGCTTCTAAAGCTGATAATTCATTGTAGAATGACTTACCTTAAGCCAGAAAAGTGACTTATTTTAAGAAACCTCACTGGAAGAGACCCTGATGCTGGGAAAGATTGAAGGCAAAAGGCGAAGGGGGCAGCAGAACATGAGATGGTTGGATGGCATCCCCAACTCAATGGACACGAGTTTGAGCAAGCTCTAGGACATAGTGGAGGACAAAGAAGCCTGGCACGCTGCAGTCCATGGGGTCGCAAAGAGTCAGACACGACTTAGCGACTAAACAGCAACCATTAATTTCTTTGCTTCCATTTGTGTGCATTTCCTACTCAGTATCCTAACACATGTAACTCTCTGATTTCAAAAATTTCAAATAAACAGTAAGGGATGTGATAGACTTTGCCTTTGGAGGGCAGTTGCTTCTTTTCTTTGCTTCTGTTAGAGATGGATCAGTTGTATCACTCTGGTAACCCTCTGGGTGCTGTGTCTAAGGAAAGCACTCATGTATCGTGCTGAACCTTACCTCTGACGTTGTTTCCTCCGTAGCTGGCTGTTCCCCATCATGTGACGCTGTCCAGTTCTGGACCTCAGGGTTCACGGTTCTGCAGGCCTCGATAGACGCAGCCATCATACAGGTAACGGTGCTGAGGGAGGGCAAGGGTTCATACCGGGCCCCAAGTCTTTACCATCAGAGTTCATTTCACTGCTGTGCCGTGTACCGAATTACATCACTCAGGTCAGCTCCTTTACAAAAGAAGAGACGGAAGAAGTCATACTTTCTGATTTAATTCTTTTGAAAGCTGCTTTTGCTCCATGGCCTCAGGCATGCTGTTCAGCACCCTGGGCCCCTGTGAGACCCTGTCTGTGCTGTCTGCAGGCAGTATTTATGGAAGGTCTGTGTTTGCAGACTTTTCCCCCGAATAAGAATAACTTTGTTTAAAGACGTTGCCTTTATTATCTTAATTATAATGATAGATTTTATCTTTTAACAGATATTTATCACTTGTCTGCAAAACATTGTTTCTCCGTTGTGTACTAGTATCAGCCCGTTTAATCTTAACAGCTTGCTGCTGTTGTTGTCTGCATTTTATTTATGCACTTGAAACACAGGAAGATGAAGTGACTTTGCAAACCTCAGTTGATTAGTGGCAAAGCTAATTCAGACTGTGGCTTTTGGGCTCTCATTTCTGTGTTTTAGTAATATACTGCCACTAACATTGTGTATAAATGTTGTATTTGCATTCTAAAGACCTGACCCAGTGTTTCTCCTTTCAGTAGAAATGAACAGCAGACCTTGGGTGGGAGCCCTGTCACTGTCAGTTGTTAGAGTGCTATGCATACAGTGACTGCAGAAGTGATGCTCGCTTGACAGGGTCGTTGTTAGAACCACAGGAGATGACACACAGAAGCGTCCTACGAGCTCTCACAGCGTGGTATAAACGTATTGCAGATGCAGTATTCAGTCACACACAAGCTCAGGCTAATGCCGGTGAAACAAATATAGGGCATATTGCATTGATGGTGCTGAAGTACCTATTTGTGTTTTGGCCAAAGACCTTAGCTGTCCACAGCCCAGACCTCACCACACGACCAGGTGGAGCAGAGCTCCTGGTAGCTGTTCATGGGAGCGTTAGGTGGAGTGTGTCATGTGCATACATAGTTCTATGATCCTGTCTCTAAACACGCTGCATGTGTATATTTTTTTTAAACAGTAGAAGAACCTACTACCTAAAAGAACATTTTTAAAAAAGAGAGTTATTTTTTCATGGCACTTGTCATCATCCTTTAACTCCTCAATTTTATAAACACATATTTTTATTAAGATGCATATAGCTGTCACTAAAGATGGTTATTGTACAGTTTTATTTTCTTTGACAAATTATTTAATAAAAATGTGTGTACTTCCCAGTTTCAAACTTGAAACTTTCTGACATGCTTCCAGAAGGAATGAAAGCAGTGTTCTGTGCAGTACCATGATACTGGGGTCGGCCACTTTATTTCTGGTGTGTAATGTTTTGAGGGTTTTGTTTGCAGTGGGCTGTGGACTAACTTTGGGGATGTGATTTTCTTAGTATTTCAGGGGCTGCTCTCAGAGCTAAGTTAACTGAATGTGTTTACATTTTCTGATTGTAGATGAAGACCAATGTTTCTTTTTGGAAAGAGCTGGAGTCAACTAAAGCTGTTCTTATGGGAGAAATGGCTATTGTAGAAATAGATACCTTTCCCCGAGGAGTAATTTTAATATACCTAGTTATAGCGTTTTCACCTTTTGGATACTTTTTGGCAATTCACATCGTAGCAGAAAAAGAGAAGAAGTTAAAAGAGTTTTTAAAGATAATGGGACTTCATGACACGGCCTTTTGGTATGTTACTAAAACTTTGTTATTTAGTGTGGCTAATAATTGTGTAAGTTCTACAAATCTTCAGTTCTGCAGTTTTGTTGCTCACCAGACTCGACGAGGTCCTGAACCTCTTTTTTTGCAGTTCCCACCTTTGTCATGGAGTTTGAGACTCATCACAAAGCTCCAGCAGTTGATTGGCTTGTTCGAACATAAGGGAGGTGGGATTTGGGAAGCTCATGTCAATATTATGTATTTAAGTTTTATTTTGTATTTTGTTTGATGAGGCATGCTCCATGTATTTCAGTATATCTCCGTGTATAGAAAAACAGGAGATTGTAGAAAGTTAGAAATTAATCTGCTGTTATAGTCCTCCTCAAATACCGTAGTATGTTCATGGTGTTATGTTCGTGTATATGGGCTTTCTTCCCCCTGGGAAAAGTTACTTTTGTGAATTTTTTAGGATGAAAATATGCAAATAATTATTTCCAGAGAAGCAAATGAAAGAAGTTTAGCAGTGAGCACGTTAACATTTTTGTACAATGATAACTTTATAGAGGCACGCAGTTTTATAAACAATTCCAAGTATGTTTTCTGTACTTGCCCCCCTATGCAGTAAGAACATTTATTTTGACCTCACTTTGGGGGAGACGTTAGTACTGTCAAATGTGAGTTGTTATTATCAACCATTTTATTCCATTTATCTCAATGCAGCAACTAAACCACTTTACATAATGGGGTTATTCCGTGTGACTTCATCTTTGCTCATTTCTTACTCCGGGGGTTTTAATAGTGGTTGGTCTCTGAGCCACACTGGAATATTAAATGTTTTGTGAGGAGACAGTAGCTGGAAGGTTTAGGCAGATCAGTTTCTCAGTGCCTCATTTCTGCCTCTGTAAAATGATGGATTTACTTTTGGTAGTTTAGGTATCTTTTAGTCCTCTTTTGGTGCTTTTTATGATGCCGTACATTAAGTTACCTGCTAACTGGAAAAATAAAAGCAAAATAATAGACTGTGGGGCAATTCCCCTGAGCTCCAGTTTGAGGAGAAATGTTGAGTCCTGTGATGAATCTGTTGTCGATCTTGGTCTCACGTTGAGTTCCATAGTAATAACATTGTTGCCTGGCAAGATGGCCTTTATAACTATCTAAAGTACCAAAAGCCATCAGAGTTTGATTGTCGTGTGTACCATAAAGAAAATCATCAGTCATTAAACTCTCTTGTATTTTAAGAAAATCAGAATTGTGCATTTGTTGAACTTCTGAAAGTACTAGATTGAAATGAATCGTGATTTGCTATAAACCTGTAAGTTTTTTTTGACTCCTGGAAAGATGATCACCGTTTCATCTCTAAATGAGACGGTGACTTGATAATTTTATCCACGGCTTAACCAGTACTGTATTTCTCATCACACACAAGAGCCTTAATTTTCAGTACATGAGCATACATAGAAATGAAGCGATTGGCCTAATTTTAAGAATGAAACAGCTAAAATAAAGCTGAAGTTTTGTTTAAAATGATTTTTTTAAATTGTTAAGGCCTGTGTATTTAGCCATAACTGTGTCTGTGTTCCCCTTTTAGGCTTTCCTGGGTTATTCTCTACGCAAGTTTGATTTTTCTCATGTCCCTTCTCATGGCAGTCATTGCAACAGCGTCTTCCTTATTCCCCCAGAGTAGCTGCTTTGTGATATTTCTCCTTTTTTTCCTCTATGGCTTATCATCTGTAAGTACTTTTACTTGAAATGGGAATAAAGAACTGTCAAAATACTTGATTAGTAAAGTCTTATTTTTTGGTTTACTTGCAGTGGACTTCCCATGCAAGACAGGATTGTTCCTCGGTTAATTCTGATGAATGAGTTGTATCATTGTACCTCCTCATTTTTAGGAAAGTTACAAAATATTCTCAAGTTTAAATTTAACTAGTTTTCACATGATGTATTCCACACATATTTCCTCTGAGTCTGTTTTTTATGATCTTCATATAACTGTGCTTATATACCATTAAGATGGTCTTGTACTAGACTCTATTTTTTTTTGTTTCGTGAAATCCTAAACATTTCCAGGTAATATTTGTTATAGGATGATGCTGCGTAAAGATGTGTCTTTGTAAATTTAATTCTTTGCCGGTGTTGATACAGGTTGGGTATTGGTTGAATGCTGGCTGTTCACGACCAGCCTTTGTTTGTTTTCTTTAAATATGTATTTGGCTGTGCTGGATCTTAGTTGCAGCCTATGGGATCTAGTTTCCTGACCAGGGATCACACCTGGGCCCCCTGCATTGGAAACATGGAGTCTTAGCCCCTGGACCACCAGGAGAAGCCCCCAACCTGTTTCCTGTGGTCCTAGTTCCCATTCTGATCGGCTCACATGCCCATGCTGTATCAGTTGTGAAATATTTGACTATCATCTCTGCTCTTTAACATGATAATTTGTAAATAACTTGTATGTTAAAATGAATGTTGCTCAGTTGTGTCTGACTCTTTGCAACCCCGTGGACTATACAGTTCATGGAATTCTCCAGGCCAGAATACTGGAGTGGGTAGCCTTTCTCTTCTCCAGGGGATCTTCCCAACCCAGGGATCAAACCCAGGTTTCCCGCATTGTAGGTGGATTCTTTACCAGCTAAGCCACCAAGGAAGCCTGCCTCAAATGACGTGTATGCTTCTCTATATAGTTGCGTGGTTTTTAACTGACTGTTTCTTATCAACACATTAAAAGATGGGTTCTCTATTTAAAAGCTTGTTGAGTTATTGTTTTGTTCATATTCGAACATATCTAACCACAGAAACACCTGGTAGTTTTTGGTTTCTGTGGGGTTGAGATGATCATGTTTGCCTATTACACAGATAAAGAGCAGTTTTAAATCTTTGTCAGTTTATATTGTTAAGGTATAGAATTGTTTGTATGAAAATTAAATATCTCAGCATGACCTTTAGAAATTTGTTCTTTTTTAGTTGCTAAGACGTGTGTGTCCAACTCTGTGTGACCCCAGGGACTATAGCTCACCAGGCTCCTTTGTCCTTGGTATTTCCCAAGCAGGGATATTGGAGTGGGTGGCCACTTTCTCCTCCAGGGGATCTTCCCAACCCAGAGATCGAACCTGTGTCTCCTGCATTGGCAGACGGATTCTTTACCACTGAGCTACCAAGGAATTAATTAGAAATTAATTGAATTTTAGGGAATGTAGTTTCTAATGACAATAACTTGTTCTTTCACAAGCAAAAATTTAATCTTCTTTTCACATCAGTGTATATGAACAATGCATTGACATTAACATTTGTATCTTACAGGTATTTTTTGCTTTAATGCTAACGCCTCTTTTTAAAAAATCAAAGCATGTGGGAATAGTTGAATTTTTGGTCACAGTGGCTTTTGGATTTGTTGGCCTCTTGATAGTCCTCATGGAAAGCTTCCCCCGATCATTAGTGTGGCTCCTCAGTCCCTTCTGTCAGTGCACCTTCCTGATTGGCGTAGCACAGGTACGTGAAGTGTTTATCTCACTTTCCTCAGATGCTTTCTTTCTCTCCACTTCCATGCAGTGCATTTACTACCATGAATCCTACCTTTGGTTTGCAAAAGTTATTTTACAGTAAGCATGAGAAAAGATGCCATTTGAAAACCGAAGTACTTTTTATATTGATTTCATTTATATTTTCTCCATTTTTAGACTTTTAATTGTATGACCTTTTTAATCAGCAAGCTCTCCGCGTTTTGCTTTAGTGAAATTCAGTAGTCTGTTTTATTGGAGCAGCTCAGCTTGTTAGAAGTGACTGCTTAAAGCACCAGGTGGCTCGGTTGTCCAGAATTCACCTGCCAACACAGAAGACACAGATTTGACCGCTGGGTCGGGAAGGTCCCCTGGAGGCGGAAATGACAACCCCTTCCATCCAGTGTTCTTGCCTGGGAAGTCCCACGGACAGAAGAGCCTGGTGGGCTACAGTCCATGGGGTTGCAAAGAGTCGGACACAACTGAGCGACTTTCTTTTTCACTTTCATAGGTGTTTATAATGTGGTTTTCCTTAGTTTTTACAGAGCAGTGAGGTTCTAAGAGGAAAATTCTTACAAGAAACTGCTTTATATACTAGAACATAAATTTGGTTATGTGTAAAGAAGAAGAAAATGTGATTACTTCATATAAGAGATTATTCACACTGGCTGGATAGACTTCTGATTTGCAGGACTCGAATTGTTTGTGAATATCAAGTCTAACAGATGTGAATTATTTGAGACCCAAAAGCTGGTGTTGCATGTTCTGAGTGTCCACTGCGTCCCCCTTCACTGAGGAAGATAGGACTATAGATTCAGGGGTTTGTGTTGAGTGGCAGGGACTTTCAGTGCCATTTGACCCACCTTCGTTTCATGGGTGGGGATGCTGAACCCTCCGCAGTGCAGTTAGAGTCTTCCCTTCATGGCGGGCCTGAGACAGGGCGAGACCTCAGTGCTGCTGTCCTTGCCCCGCTCCGTCAGTACATCTGCTTTGCATAATTTAGTAGCGGCGTTAATTAGTTACAGCATCTTCTCCCTTTTCAGGGTTGAAAAGTGCTGACCATATGTTTATCCTCTGATAACTTGTTTGACTTCTCTGGACCGTAAACCCTTTTGCTAACATCAGTTTTTGTTTCATTTGATAGCCATAGCACTAAAAAGACATGCTGCAAGAACTGACACACAGCTTTAAAAACAGGGTTGTCGTGATAAACTCGTATTTTGGTCAAGTTTTTATTTATAAGTTCATATTACTCATTTGACTAGACCATTTAATCCCCTAAGCAGCCCAGTTTCTTGACTCTGGACATACTGTTGGCTTTTGCTTGTTTTTGACCACTTTTGTATTATCGGGTGGGCATTTCTGTTTTTCAGGTCATGCATTTAGAAGACGTTGATGAAGGTGCTTTATTTTCTAATTTAACTGAAGGCCCGTATCCTCTAATTATCACTCTTATGATGCTGATACTTAACAGCATTTTCTACATCCTCTTGGCTGTTTATCTTGATCAAGTCATTCCAGGTATGCAGATACTTACTGAATTTTACTTGAAAGATTTTTCAGGTTTTTGTCCACATAAAGTTACCTTAATTATTTTTTCTTACAAGATTAATGGTTTATTGTTTTTGAGTTTTTTAAATATTCTTTTTGAAATATTCATTTTTTTAAATTGTGGGATAATTGCTTTACAATATTATGTTGGTTTCTGCCATACATCAATGTGTATCAGCCACATGTATACATATGTCCCCTCCCTTTTGAGCCTCCCTCCCTCCCTCCCACCCCCTACTCCATCCCACCCCTCTAGGTTGTCACAGAGCACTGGGTTGAGCTCCCTGTGGGTTAACTTAATTTTAGCTTTTTTTCTAGCCAAGTAGTCTTAAGTTGCATTCACTGTTAACAACTTTTAATTTAATTGTAATTGTATTATATACCTTATACCTTAACTTCTAGTGAATGTAAGGAGACTGGATAAAAAGAGAACAGTTTGTTTTGAAAACCTTAAATCCCTAATTGAACTTCTTAACTCAGTCCTTCCCCATGTCCGTCTTTTTGGCTGAAGCGCTTCATGGTCGTACCTGCTAAGGTCTGAGACCGTGGAGCAAGCTTGCAACCTCTCGCATCCCCGCGTCTCTTAACCTGCACCTACCGCAAACCTGTGCAGGCTCAAAATATTAGTAAATAACCACCGCCCCCTTTCCTTCCCCCCTGATTCCCTCGTTCATTTTGTCCGTATTCTTGATCTGCGGTCTTACATGACAAGACACATGTGGTTTTAAGTTTTAATTCCTTAGAATGGAACGAATGAGCAATTCCTTCCTCAGCAGGGCGAGTGTTGTGTCAGTCACTCAGTCGTGTCCCACCCTTGGTGACCCCATCGACTGTAGCCCGCCAGGCTCCTCTGTCCACGGGATTCTCCAGGCCAGAATGCTGGAGTGGACAGCCATGCCCTCCTCCGGGGATCTTCCCGACCCAGGGGTTGAGCCCAGGTCTCCTGCACTGCCAACAGATCCTCTAGTGTCTGAGCCGCCAGGAAGCAGCACAAGCGCCTGCCACCGGGTCAGTGGCTGCGCTGGTCGCTGGTTACAGCGCAGGTGAGGCCTTGTCCACTGTCGCAAAGTCCTGCGCGGCCGCACTGTTCTAGGCCACTGTGGTAGCGCTCATCCAATTACTTACCTCAAGTCTGTCTAAGAACCTTGCCACTGCCTTTAGTTAAGCTGACCACCTGCTCAGAAACCTTGCTGAGCACATCCTGGTGAATTAAACAGGGACTTGGCGAGTGCCGATGTCCTGCACGATGCTTTTATACATTCAGTCTCTTGTTACCACTCTTCCCCTCTCCTATTGTATTTTATATCCATCCGTTCAGTCCTGTTTATTTAAATGCATCTCCAGTGTATCAATTAGATTATGTTTACTCACTCATGTAACAGAGGACCTTTTTTAATGGTCTTAAACAAGAAGGAAATCAATGGCTTCACTCAGAGTCCAGAGTGAGGGTGGGCTCCCAGTTGGTTGCCTTGCTCGGCTGTTTCGTCAGGGTCCCTCCTCTCCATGTGGCGGCTCCTGTCTCAGAGTCTGGTGGATTTATCTCCTGCTGGCTGCACGGGGCTGTGCTTCTCGTCCACGTCCAGTGGGAGAGGGACAGGGTCCTGTGCCCAGCAAGCCCTTCACTTCTCTCTAGTTGGTACCTGCTCATGGCTGGAGCAGAGGGGTCACCAGAGCCTGCACAGTGCCCATCAGGTCCACTGGACTCTTTCTAGTTGGGAGCAGATCCCTCTGAAACATGGTCATGGGGGGGGGGGGGTGCGTGTTAGAAGGGATGGGGAATGTTGGTTCCTTGGGGAGAACGGGAGAAAGTCCATCCGTGCCGTGGGCAGCCAGACCGGAGTCTCCTGTCAGTCCTGCCCTGTTACTCTCCTGCTGCTAAAATGTCCTCTGTGTGAACTGTAGCAGCCTTTCCAAATACTGTCTGCTCCCAAAAGACTAAGGTGATGCTGACTCAAGCTTCAGAATACCCCAATGTACTCTCTTCACCTTCTGAACTCTTGTTAGCACTCATGCCTCACATTGTACTCTGCAAGTTAGCCATTAGGTATGTACATGTCCTTGTAATGATGGAAGTCTCTAAGGTGGAAAATGTGCTTTGCTTACCTTTTACATTCCGTGGACTCGCAGCAACCCTGAAACTTTATGGACAGGAGTTATCTGTCAGTAAGACTTCTGTTTTCCCCACATTGCTGACTTAGTAATTTATGTCTAAACTTTAGGTTGTCTTAGGTTTCACAGACTGCCTTTCTGATTTAAACACTAGTTTTCAGAAATAATTTGTTAGGATAACTCAGTTTTTGTTTTTTCTCTCTCTCTCTATTTTTCAGGAGAATTTGGCTTACGGAGATCATCGTTTTATTTTCTGAAGCCGTCATATTGGTCAAAGAGCAAAAGGAATTATAAGGAGTTATCGGAGGGCAATGTGAATGGGAATGTCAGTTTTAGTGAAATTGTTGAGCCTGTTTCTTCAGAATTTATAGGAAAAGAAGCCATCAGGTATGATTTCATCTCTGGCAGTTTAGGTCTTAAGAACTGCTCATGGGACATGCCACGTGTAAATCCTGTCTTTTATGTAATATATATAAGCACGGTATCTTAGCAGATTTGGTACACATTTTGTGATTTTTAAAACAGTACCAAGGGCTAATTCTCTTTCAAGTTTTTATTTTCTTTGTAACCATTTAGAATAAATTTGCTGCTAGGTTTGACATTTTACGTTTGAATAGAAAATTTTTTAAGTAATAAAATCTAGTATTTATAAAATTAGGCCATTTTAAAATTTCTTCGTTATGTAAATTAAGAGGGATTCCCTCATTGCTCCGTTGGTAAAGAATCTGCCGGCAATGCAGGAGACCTGGGTTCAATTCCTGGGTTGAAAAGATCCCCTGGAGAAGGAAATGGCAACCCACTCCAATATGCTTGTCTGGAAAATGCCATGGACAGAGGAGCCTGGTAGGCTACAGTCCATGGGGTCGCAAGAGTTGGACACTACTTAGCTACTAAAACCATGTAAGTTGAAGCAGTAGATACTAGTTTTCTGTTTTTATTCGAGCTACATTGTCTGAGACATGTCAGACATTAAATTGTGCTGTTAATTTGATAGACCCTTAGAAACTGTGACATAATTAACTTGACACACCAGCTTAATTTCAGAGAACCAGAGAAATTCATAACTATTCCTTACTAGTTCAGTCAAAACCAAATTTAAAAAAATAAGGAGAAAGAGAAAAGAGAGAAAAGTGAAAGAAAAACTGGAGTATAGTTTGTGTTTTTTAAATTCAAGAAAAACATACATATGCAGAGGAGAGTTAGGTATTTAAGATGCAATCAGTGAACTGGTGGTAGGCCTTCTTAAGAGTAAAAGTTAAACTAATGAGCAAGAGCATTAATTCTTTAAAAAATAATGTAAAACATTTAAAGTGCAATGAGAGAATCACTTCAAGACAGTTTGAAGCGTGTACCAATGTGAAATAGCATCTGATTTTTAATCTCCCTTAACTGATATGATAAGTATTAATTAATTACAAATGGAAAAGAATCAAATATGAAATAAGAAATCTGTAAATTGCTTGAGTCAAATGTTTCAGTTTCTTTTTAGAGGTTGGCTTATCATGAAAAATGAATGAATTACACTTAAAATGGAGAGAAGTAATATACTCTTTTCTTGTAGTTTCTTTAAAATCCTTTTATTATTGTTGCCAGGTTTCTTTGGTTTATTGTTTTAGTAGGAAGATACTTTATTCCCATTAAATATGACAGCTTTGATTAAAAATACCATGCACAGAAACACACACTTGGAGATTGCTTTAAATACTTAAAGTAGTAAATGGTGTTTTTCAGAATCAGTGGTATCCAGAAGACCCACAGAAAGAAAGGTGAAAATGTGGAGGCTTTGAGAAGTGAGTAACTCCTAGTGTTCAGTCTGTAGGATTAGGGTACAAGTGGGAAATTTAAACTCCTTTACCACAATTTTCTATCTTTCCTCTAGAGATATTTTCTTTATGTGATTAATGTTAAGAATAAAAGTTAACAACGTCAAGGTAGTAAAAGAAAAAAGTAATATCTGCTAAGATGAAAAGTTGTCAATTCTTGAAACAAATCCGTGTCCTTTTTAATTTTATTGTAATGCATGTGTATACAGGGCTTCCCAGGTGGCGCTAGTGGTAAAGAACCCGACTGCCAATGCAGGAGGCATAAGAGACTCGGTGTGATCCCTGGGTGGGGAAGACCCCCTGGAGGAGGGCATGGCGACCCACTCCAGTATCCTTGCCTGGGGAATCCATGGACAGAGGAGCCTGGCGGGCTACAGTCCATGGGGTCGCAGAGTCGGACTCGACTTAGCGAGTCCAACAACAAAATGCTGTTGGTTAAGTTCTAATTTTTTGCCGATGTTTTTAACATGCCTCTAAATACCTTTGGAAACAAACTTTTGTTCGTCTCTGTTTCAATTCCCTTTGTTTAGTTGCTTGGTCGTGTCTGACTCTTCTATGACCCTAGGCTCCTTTTGTCCATGGGATTTCTTAGTACCCTCGGGAGTTCCCAAAAGTGGGTACATGGAAACCCCCCTCCCAATATTTTGTGCCCCCTCTAACTCTTGTCAGTGTGACAAAAAAATAAAAGTTTATTTTGTGTTACCTTTTCTTACTATTCATACTGTTGACTATAAGAAAGAAATATTGTTGTGTTACAATACTAAATCTTACATTATTAGATATGCTGGTAACTTCTGTCTTTAAATCTATTGACTTATTTCAAGATTGCTCAAGTATTATGATTTATCTTATTGTGCAAGACTCAGCAAATGAAGATCAATTTGAGCGTCCTTTTTTCCCACACCAGGTCTGTCCTTTGACATATACGAGGGCCAGATCACAGCCCTGCTTGGCCACAGCGGCACAGGGAAGAGCACCCTGATGAATATTCTGTGTGGGCTGTGCCCGCCCTCGGATGGTGAGTTTCCTGACTTAAGGACCTGTTAATTCGTTTTATTAGGGTTAGTAACTAAGGTACCGTGGTCATTTACTTATCCTTGAAATGTGTACTGATTGATTTTTGTCAGTGATTTGGTATTGACTTCTGTGTTCGTTTTTTCTCCGTTTTATTACACTTGTTTATTCTTTAGCAGAAAATAAAGATGATTCAGTCATATTTAAGTAAAAATGACCTAATTTTGTACCTGTTTTATCAGCTATTTTATTCGTGTTTATATTTATTGTTCATTTTCAAGGAAGGATAAACCAATTAATTGGAAATTAAATGAGGCCTATAGACGTTTTGGTTGAGAAAATGAAGATTTCTAAGTGAGCACCAGTAAGTTCAGAAGGAAAGAATGACAGATGTCAGTACACTCTCCTTAGAATTTTTAGAGCAATACCTCAAACGTGTAACTGCTACATGTGGTTGCTGTATGTGCTTGTAAGGTGAGAGTTCAGTACAGCAGCTCCGGTTTTCCAGAACCACATAGAGCTGCAGGGCAGCAAATATTTCACTTTAAGAAGGGGCCAAGTTTTTGTATATTGATTCTGCATCTTTTTAGATGTGGTTTAACTTCTTTTTTAACTGGAGGATAACTGCTTCACAATGCTGTGCTGTCCTCTGCCGCGCATCAGCACTGGCTCAAGGTTTAAATCAGTTTGACTTTCTCACTTTTCTCTGCGCGACTCTCTGATGGCAATTGTAGCGCCTCTCACTCAGGTCAGGGTTTATTGTTTTCGGCACAGGTTTCCACACTGTCACATTGATTTAATAGTGCTTAAGTAAAGTGGTGTATATTAATATTCAGCTTACAGGATAAGAAAGCTCGAACTTAGATCAAGTGATTTTCCCAAAGTCATGCAGCTGGTCAAGGGTAAGTTTTAACTTCTTTGTTCTCTTTGCCACTGCATGGTGCTTAGAAATGAGGGAAAATTGTTGCTGGAATATTATTAGTAGTGTAATTCATGCATCAGTGGATAATTATACTTAATGTTAAACCTCTGATTCCTTGCTCTCTCTGCTCTGTAATATGCCCTGAAAATGAAGGACATTTATAGGGAATATAAATGAGGCTGGAATATAAGTGGAAGCAGATCACCATTTGTATAGAAATTAGGGTGTGTTGTGTTTTCCAGATGTATACTAACTCTTATTTTATGTCTGTTATTAATACATACAAATAACTAAATTGTTAAATTATCATATGTATTGATATTTATACTTGTTAGTATTTAAATATATTAAATATCAATACGTATGTGATATTGATATTTAATATATTTAATGTAAATATACTTATTGATATTTAATACATTTAATGTAAATGTATATTTTGCTTTTTAGGGTTTGCATCCATATATGGACACAGAGTCTCAGAAATAGATGAAATGTTTGAAGCCAGGAAAATGATTGGCATTTGTCCACAGCTAGACATACACTTTGACGTCCTGACGGTAGAGGAAAACTTGTCCATTTTGGCGTCTGTCAAAGGAATACCAGCCAACGATGTCATACAGGAAGTATGTTATCTGTGTGGAAACCTTTACTCTTATTCACTATAAATTAGTAACCTTTTGCAGTAATCTGTGTAATGAAAACATGCTTGACAATGTAAGCATAAAAGCCTCTGCTGAGCCAGTGAGCAGAAGGCCATCTTAAAGGATCGGATGGAACTTGGAGCAAAAGGTGCGGCACATGGAAAAGCCCTCATCCCGTCTGGGGGCTCCAGCCTCTCCACGTTGGCGACGCTTTTCCTTCCACTTCCACCCGCTGCCCCTGCCCGACACACACACACACACAACCTTTGCACTGACCCCCTTCACCAGCCAGGGGTCACCCAAGTAAAACAGGCCCTCCCATCGGCAGTCTTTTTTATTTCAAAATTATTGGTGGGTATGCGTCAAAATTGGGCTTCTCCTAGTGGCTCAGCAGCAGAGAATCCGCCTGCCAATGCAGGAGACATGGGTTCCATCCCTGGGTTGAGAAGATCCCCTGGAGGAGGAAATGGCAACCAGCTCCAGTATTCTTGCCTGGAGAATCCCATGGACTGTGGCCCGCCAAGCTTCTTTGTCCATGGGATTGCAGAGTCAGACTTGACTTAGTGACTAAACAACAACAGCAGTATGTCAAAATTAAATTCTATACCAGGAGAACATTTTAAAGGTTGATATTAAATTGGAACACTTAAAAACTAGTGTTGATAATTATGTAAATGATGAGATGTAAAAAACATTTATTCACACTTTTCTTCATAGGTGCAGAGAGTCTTACTGGATTTAGACATGCAGGCTATCAAAGATAATCAGGCTAAAAAGTTAAGTGGTGGCCAAAAAAGAAAACTGTCTTTAGGAATTGCTGTTCTCGGGAACCCAAAGGTGAGCAGATAATAGTGTTGATGAGATAGTTTTAAATTAATTTGAATAAAAAAGCAACTTGTAGAAATATATACATAGACACAGTATATGAAACATACATAAAATGCTATACATTATTATGAATGTAATTATAATAATAAAGTTTTAAAACTGAAGTCAGAAAGATACACAACCTCTTGAAGACAGTGGTCATCTCTCAGAAGGGGAAGGGGTCAGATGGACTTCCCTTATGTCTGCAGTGTTTTATTTCTCTAAAAAAAGATCTGAAGTAAAATAACATGTGTTAAATTTCAGCGGTGGCTGTAAAAGTACTGTTCTGTTACTCACTGCAGTCTTCTGTACTGTTGTTGCAGTTATAGTGATAATCTAATAATAAAGACAGAATCAAAGGAATCGCTGTCTTCCACTGTTCTGTGGACTTGCTTTTCTCTGTGCCTGCTCTGTGCTGTTCTCAGTCCTGCCGACGCTGAGCAGGGCTGGGCCCTGTGTCACAAGGCTGCCAGGAGCTCGCCTGCAGCCAGGGGCCCCGGGGTCCCCCACCCTGCCCTGTTAACCCCGCTGCTGTGGCCGGGGGGGACTGGGGTCCCAGCTGATGGCAGTCGCTCTTCCTCCCAGTCCCCACCACCATGTTTCTGAAGTGAAAAAGAGTCCTCAGCTGCTTTCCTTGAGCTAATATAGAACATAATTCTCTAATGAGCCGTTGTTATATCTACAAAATCTTAACTGTTTAGCCAAAAGCAATACACTCAGTGTTGTTTTTCAGTTTATTTTTCAGTGTTTTGTTTCTCAGTTTATTTATCTGATTGTTATTATACTTAGGACTTATATATTACAGACACTAGTCTTTTAAAATTAAAACCAAAGAAAGGAGTCACATGCCAAACTGATCACTTTTTAAATTGATGCTAAGTCAGGTGTGAGTGGAAAACTCAGATCTAGTACATTTTAATACAGTGACTAAATGGGGAGGCATTTTGTGGTCCACATAGATGTTATATATTTTCATTTTCCTGAGGCTTCCCCGTCCTCCCCCACCCCTTTGCATGCAGGTGCTGTTGTTGGACGAGCCAACAGCTGGGATGGACCCGTGTTCTCGTCATATTGTCTGGAATCTTCTGAAATACAGAAAAGCGAACCGGGTGACGGTGTTTAGTACTCACTTCATGGATGAAGCCGACATTCTCGCTGGTGAGATTTTTACTTGATTTTTTAAAGGATGAGGTCTTGGGCCCAAGTGGGAATTAGACATAGAAATGCTAAATTCTGAGGAATAAATAAATTGTGCTTTCTTCACCAAAAAGGTATTATTATACTGCTTTTAAAATCACATGTTTTTGTGTTGGGGGCGAGCCCCTAACCCTCCAGGCTCGGTAATCCGCCACGAAAGCTCACAGGCCCCTGCACAGTCCCACTCCTGGCATGAGTGACTGCGGTGCAGCGGACACGGCGCAGGGCAGGGTCGGCAACGAGCAGAGGCTTTGCTGGCCCAGCGTGGGAACCAGATGCACTTCCGGGGGCCCCTCCCACAGAATCGCCCAGGGTGCACTCAGTTGTTCCCACGTGTGGGAAGTTGTTGTAATAATGTAGTGATAATTAATGTGATTATTTACTGTATTAACATTGGTGTCTCATAGGATAATCCAGAAAATGTAAACACTGGTTATTAATGCTGTCACAGATGGTAAAATTGAAACACCAATCTCTTTTTGCAGATAGGAAGGCTGTCATATCACAAGGAATGTTAAAATGTGTTGGTTCTTCAATTTTTCTCAAAAGCAAATGGGGAATTGGCTACCGGCTGAGGTATCGTTCCTTTTTTTTTTTTAATTATTTTTATTTGTTTATTTAATTTTTGGCTACAGGGTCTTCCCTGCTGTGCGGGCTTTCCCTATTTGCGGCAAGCAGGGGCTACAGTGTGCAGGCTTCTCATTGCTGTGGCCTCTCTTTTGCACAGCGCAGGCTCTAGGGTGCTCAGGCTTCAAGAGTTGCGGCTCCCAGCTTCAGTGCAGGCGCCGTAGTTGTGACATACATGGCTTAGTTGCTCCCGGGCATGTGGGATCTTCTCGGATCAGGGATCGAACCCGTGTCTCCTGCTTTGGCAGGTGGATTCTTTACCACTGAGCCAGCAGGGAAGCCCTCTGGCACTTACTTTTGCTTGAAGCATTCAGAATTTACTTTGGGCCGTTCAGAGTCATCCTAAGAAATCATGGTTTTGGGTTTTCTCCAGCATGTGCATAGACAGATGCTGCGCCACAGAACCTCTTTCTTCTCTGGTCAAACAACACATCCCTGCGGCAACTTTGTTGCAACAGAACGAGCAGCAGCTTGTGTACAGCTTGCCTTTCAAGGACATGGACAGATTTCCAGGTATTCTCTCCTTCTGGTTTCATGATTGCTAAACTAGTATCCCGCTTTGGGGACCAGCTCTCTGAATTTACTTGGTGTTTTACTTGGTTTATTTTTCTGTGTAATATTTACACGTTTCCAGGTACCCAGAGTTAATATTCTATTTCTGCTTTATTTTACTTTTACAAACCAGAAATGCTGTAAGCTAGCATTTCTTTTTTTTTTACAAATGTCATGCAAGAAATTCCTAACTAGTATGTTAACTTACATAAATAGTTGTTTGCGTTGTCAGGAAAGAAACTGCGCCCTTTGTTTGTAGGTCCCCTGGGAATAAGAATATAAATACACATACATATATACATACACATATGCACACAAATATGTACACACATACATACACACATGCACACAGGTGTATACACACATATACACACATGCACACAAATCTGGACACACATATACAAACATGCAAATGTGTATGCACACAGATGTATACACACATACACATGCACACAAATGTGTACATACATATACACACATGCACGTGTGTATATACACAAATGTGTACACATACAAATATACACACAACACACACACATATATGGTTGTGTAAGCCCTCAAGTGCCTTTCCAGTATGGTTTCATAATGAATTACATTATTATACAGTAAACCCTTGAATTATCTTATTTGTAGCCTTAATTTTCTGCATTCTGATGAGGAACTCAAACTCAGTCTTCTTTATCTGTTGAGGGATCTCTTAATAACCATAAGGATATTACTGCTGAAGATAAGTTATACAGAAATCCCATAGCATTCCTATAATTAGATAGAAACTTTCTATGTTAGCTGAATTAGGTTGAAGAAAAGGAATCACTAATTAACTGAAGTATACATCTCAACTTAGTGTACTCTGCCTATCATTCTGTCTGTAAAACATTCCTTAGTTTATATTTATGTCATGGTTCACATCTAATAGGTACATGTCCCTAAACAAGCATTCTGTGGGGTCCTCAGCAATTTCTAGGAATGTTGAAGGGGTTCTGAGACCAGAAAGTTTGGGAACCGCGGTGGCAGCACAGTAAATTCAGTCGTTTTCTACTTTTAAAGGACGTTTTAGAATCATTCGTGACAGTATGCTTAGCTTTACAAAGTTCTTTCATTTTTTTCCTTTTAGGCTTATTTTCTGCTCTAGACACTCATTCAAACTTAGGTGTTATTTCTTATGGTGTCTCCATGACGACTTTGGAAGATGTATTCTTAAAGCTAGAAGTTGAAGCAGAAATTGACCAAGCAGGTAAAAACAAATAGAACAAAACATTTTAGGCCGTGATCCCGACAGTGACTGTGTAAGCATGTATGATGTATGTTTGGGGAAGGAAAGGGCAGGAACAAACAGATAATTAAGTAGCTCAGATGTTTACAGACAGTGGTAGGTGCTGTGAAGGAAACAGTGGGGCGGTCTGGGGAGGCAGGTAACTTAAATTGTATCTCCGGGGAACATGAGGAGATGATACTTAAAGTGAGATCCAGAGGCAGGAAAGATGAGGTTTTACTGAAGAGTCTTCCAGGCAGAGAATTGCTGCCGTAGCAATGTTGACTGAGGACTGGGTTGGACGTTTTTGGTGACAGAGAAGAGCTGCCAGAGAGCCAGGGCGAGCATGGCCATGAGGAGCTCGGAAGTGCAGGCCAGGGAAGGACATGTGTAGTCTCCGAAGGTCTGCAGGAGCGTTCCGTTTGTCTCTGTACTGTGTAATGTGAAGCGTGCAGAGAGCTCTAGAGCAGAGGGGTGACATGATCTGATGCATACTTTCAGTAAGCGCGTTCCGGCTGTTGGATGGCGGATGGCTTGTGAAGGAGGTCTGGAAGCAGAGGGTGGTCGGGACGCTGTTGCCGCTGGCCCTTGTCTGAACTTGGATGGCTGTGGAAGCAGAGATAGGAGCAGCTCCGGGCTGCGTCAGGGACACTGGTGGCAGCCTGCTGCTGGGCTCCTGACTGGGGCTGGGGAGCGCAGAGCCAGGAAGGCGTCTGACCTCTGAGCCGAGGACTGGAGATGGGATCGCTGCTTCCTGACAGAAGGGGAAAGCCAGCTCCTGGAGACAGGGATTCCAGGCGTGATTTCTGCTGTGTGTTTGAGATGCTCGGTAGACATCCCCGTGGAGCTGCCCATGGGCTGTGATCACATGCTTAGAGCTGGGAGAGGCTGTCAGGGCTGAAGACACACACTCTGCGCTCACCTGTGCATGCACGGCCCTGGGGGGCCAGGTGTGGCCCCGTAGGCACAGCGGACGGGCCGCCTGAGGGTGCGCGGTAAAGGGCAGGAAGCACTGGCCGGGAAGGCACCATTACTGTGCTTGCCTTCTTCATGAGAGGGGAGGTGGGAGCCAGGGCCACGTGGTGTTTAAGGAAAGAAGGCGGTCACTTCTTGCTGATCGCTGTGAGAACTGGGTGATAACAGAAGGGGTGAGTTTGGTAACATAGAAGACAGAGAAACTGGAAGTGTGGAAGCCGGCCATGACCTTGAGGTACCGTCAGTGGCGCGGCTGAGATAAGTGTGTCTCAAGGGGAGGCTGAGAGTGGAGGGTTGGTGGGCTGCAGGGCAGGCGTGGGGTGGTCCCCGGAGTGAAGGACACAGGCGTGGTCCTCTCGGTCATGGAGGAAAGTCACTTTATGGAGAGAATGTGGTGTCAGACTGTAATCTTGCTGTTTATTTTATAATTGGAGGACAGTTGCATTACGGTGTTGCTTGTCTCTGCTGTACGCGAGGTAGATCGGCTGTGAGCGCATGTGTGTGCCCTCCCTGCCTGCACGTCCCACCCTCTCGGTCGTCACGGAGCCCCGGGCTGGGCCTCTGTGCTGTGAGAGTCTGCCACTCGCTGCCTGTTTACACATGGCAGCGTGTGCACGTCCACGCTGCTTTCTCATTCGTCCCTCTCTCTCCTCCCTGCACTGTGTCTGTGAGTCCGTTCTTTACACTAGATTGTGATTAGAGAAGGAAAGCGCACGGGAAATCCCTAGATCTCAGGCAGTTGGAGGGGTGCAGGCATGCGTCGTGTGATGGACTTGAGTGGAGACACAGGTGTGGGGGCAGAGGAGACAGGGACGTCAGGATGTGGTGCGTTGTCGGTGAGCAGGTGTGAGCCTGAGGCTGACAGAGAGCGTGACGGGGAAGGCGCTCGTGTGTTTGGTGCTCAGCAGCTTGAGGGACATGACACAGCTTCCAGGAAATGTCTGTCGTGGGAATGAAGCTGAGGCCTGTGCTCTGCTCAGGTATCAGTGGCTTTTTCTACAGCACCTTAAAGTCCTTCATGCGGAAGCCAGTTTTCATCTCCTTTTATTATTTTTCACCTCTTTTAAGTGGAATCACTCTTTAGAAAGTCATGTATTTTGATTTTTATCCCCATCAAGACGTTTCACCTGGTTTCAGTCTATTGGCATCAACCATATAACGTGTCTCTTAATTATATATATTCTGGTTTCTTTTACTTAATATAATGCTTGTAAGATCAAGCTATTATACTTACACAATAGTTTGTTCATTTCCCTAGCTTTACACTGTTCTGTTATAGGTAAACTTCATGGCTTTTTTTCCTTTGACCTGTTAACAGACATTCGGGTTCCGTCCCACGTGTGGCTGCTCGATGGGGCACTGGCTACAGATGTTCTTGTCCGTGTGTTTCCGTGAGCCTCTGTACCTCTCTGTCAGGGTCCTACCAGAGCGGACACATCCTGGTCATGAGCTGTGCACACGTTCAGTTTCGATCATGTTGCCAAAGCCCGTGACAGCCCCTCTGTCCCGTGTCGCTGCCCACCAGCTGTGTGCTTCTGTGAGATTTACATGCTTCAGGAAGGTTTCCATCTTCCTGAGGGCGATGACGTAACTTTCCATCCTTCTGTTTCGGCACATAGATTACAGCGTGTTTTCTCAGCAGCCGCAGGAGGAAGAGTTGGATTCAAAATCCTCCGACGAGATGGAGCAGAGCTTGCTTATTCTCTCCGAAAGCAAGGCTGCCCTGGTGAGCACCAACGGCCTCTGGAGGCAGCAGGTGTCCACCGTCGCCAGGCTTCACTTGCTCAACCTGAGACGCGAAAGCAAGTCCCTGAGATCTGTGTAAGCAGTCACTCTCCTGCCTGAGGAGCTGGGGTGTTTGTTTTTTTTTCAACTTAAAATTTTTTTTTCTTTTTTCTTTTTTTAATTGGAGGAACATTGCTTTACAGTGTTGTACTGGCTTCTGCTGTACAACAGCCCGAGGCAGCCCTGAGTGCACATAAGTCCCCTCCCTCCAGGCCGCCCCTGTATCAGCCGTAAAAAAGAGCACAGTCACTTCTAGTGAGGTGGGTGAACCTACAGCCTGTTACGCAGAGCGAAGGAAGTCTGAAAGAGAAAAGCAAGTAACGGTACTAACACATGTCTGTGGAATGCAGAAACATGGGACAGATGAACCTACTTACAAGGAGGGACTAGAGACACAGATGCAGAGGACGGGCCTGTGGACACACGGGGACGGGGAGCGAGGGGAGCGATTAGCCTCGACATCACATGCTCCCGTGGGAAACTGAGAGCTGTGAGAAGTGACTTTTTTAAATGAGTACCTTTCAACCGTCATGGGAAGGAAGATTATTTTGTAGATTTACATGTTAATATGCCTTCAACTGTATTTTTTTTTTTCCTTTCAGGTTGCTTCTACTTTTAATTTTTTTCACAGTTCAGATTTTCATGTTTTTGGTGCATCACTCTTTGAAAAATGCCGTGGTTCCCATCAGACTTGTTCCAGACTTATACTTCCTTAAGCCCGGAGATCAACCTGATAAATACAGAACCAGTCTGCTCCTTCAGAACTCCACTGGTGAGAGTGTGTGCAGGCTTGTGAGCCTGTGCTTGTCGGGTCTGGGTGAGGGGTGGACATAGGTCAGAGGTTTGGGTTTTAGAAATGTACCAAGATAAAGGCATGGTCTGTCTGCACAAACCTCCATTAAATAAAACCCCTCACTGATGCTGAGTAATAGATTAATGAAATTCTGGTTTAAGTGTTCAGTCGCTCAGTCGTGTCCAACTCTTTGCGACCCCATGAATCGCAGCACGCCAGGCCTCCCTGTCCGTCACCAACTCCTGGAGTTTACTCAAACTCATGTCCATTAGGTCGGTGATGCCATCCAACCATCTCATCCTCTGTTATCCCCTTCTCCTGCCCTCAATCTTTCCCAGCATCAGGGTGTTTTCAAATGCGTCAGCTCTTCGCATCAATTGGCCAAAGTATTGGAGTTTCAGCTTCAACATCAGTCCTTCCAATGATAAAATATTTTGATTTATGTTGTTTATACTCATAAAATTTCCTTTTTTAAGAGTAGTGGCATTATTCTCAGAGCAGTTTAATTCATCTCAAAAGTTTATAATGAGCAAAACAAACTTCAGAACTTGAAAACTCTTTACAAAGAGTTAGGGCATATAATATTTAATGCAGTTACATATCTACAAAGAAGTGTTTAAACAGTTTTTAAGGATTATCTGAAAAATTAGAATAAAGGACAATTGTCATGGAAATCTCTATAATCAAATACATTAAATTTGTAGTGGATATTTTTGGATTTGTTATTGATTATTTTTAATCACGTAAGTATCAAATATGAAAGAAAACTTAAAACCCATGGCTTTGAGCAAAGCTCAGAATAAAATTTTAAAAACCTGATAATAAGACTTTGGTTTTCAAAACATTAAAACCTAATTCAGAAATTGACATGAATTAGATGTTTCTACAACATCTCCTATCTGTGTAGATGGTTTATAGTTCCAGGGTTCTTGAGGAGGAAGTTAAAGTGAGCTAACAAAACAAATTTTCAGTAAAACACAGGCCGCTTCATTGCTTATCTTGCTGAAACACACTGGAGAGTTGCATTTCTTGTATCCCTTCTACACTTGCAGATCCTCTGTAGTTTAACACTTCCCAGCACTTCACCTATATTCTAATATCTTTTCATTTTGATTCACTATCAGCTGAAAACTTTTGCCCTGCATTATAATCACAGTTTGGAATGATTACAGATGACTGTTAAAATCCTCACTCCTAAATTCTAGCTGTTTATGATGTAACCTCTCTTCTTTTGGAGGAAGAAGGTACATAGTGATAGAAAACACACTTGAATAGAAAACGTTATGTTTTTTCATTTCTTTCATTAAAATTCTTATTTTGGTTTTAATATCCATTTCACGTTGCTGAAATGCAGTACCACGTGCAGCCCTATACTCTGATGTTGTGACCATTTTTTGTTATTTGAGGAATCATGTGTCATCTCAAGTATTTCTGGCTGGATTTCACTCTTACTGATCTCCAAAAATTATAGTATTTTCAAGGTTTTGTCCCATTTGATATTTTAAATATATCTAGAATTACTTACTCCTGTCTTATCAGTCTGTCTATCTGTCTATCCACGTATCTGTCCCTCCACCCAGCCATCTATCTGTTGGTCTATCTCGCTGTCAATCTTACATCTCCCAGGCCTTGCCGTTGGTCCTAAAGGTTCATTTCCTCTAGGAATCACGGCCTCTGAGTCTGTGTATTGAGGGGTACCCTACCTTCCTTGCGAGGCTTTCTGTATCGCAGGTGATGCAGTGCTGTCTTGAGAAGACAGAACCGCTCTAGCACTCAGAGATGGGAGGTGGTTAACACACTGGAGTAGAGACTGTGTCCCTGGAAGCACCCATCTCTCTGACACTAAAATGCGTGTGGTTAACGCAGTGGATTAGAGAAGAGAACATATCCCTAGAAGCGCCTGTCTCTGTGACACTAAAATGCGTGTTGTTAACACACTGGATTAGGAGTAGAGAGTATATCCCTGGAAGTGTCTGTCTCTCTGACACTAGAACACTTAATATTAACATACTGGATTAGGAGTAGAGACCGTGTCACAGGAAGCGCCCGTCTTCCTGACATTGAAATGTGTGTTGTTAACACACTGGATTCGGAGTAGAGATCGTATCACAGGAACTGCCCTTCTGTCTGACTCTGAATCCGAGTTGTTAACACACTGAATCAGTAGAGACAATATTCCTGGAAGCTCCCGTCTCTGACACTAAAAGTGTGTGCTGTTAACACACTGGATTAGGAGTGGAGACTACCCCTGGAAGCGCCCGTCTCTGACACTAAAACACTTGTTGCTGAGTCTGAGCCACCAACCAGACTGCTCAGTCACCCATAGAGTTTTCCTTTGTTTGGTTTTGGTTCTTCTCAAATTCACACTCATTTTGCTTGAATCCTGGCCTTTCCGGTGATGGACAGAGAACTGTTCCCACTCCCCAGGTGTTATGGTACAGGCTAGGCTTCGGGTGGGACTCAGCATCTTCCTCTGGCTCCAGGCATCCTGAAGACTGTAGATGGAGACCTGGACCTGAGGTCACTGTCTGAAGGCCGCTGGCGTCCACACAGTCTGTTCAGAACACACAGCAGCCCCTCAGGTGGGATGTTACCTAACGCTGCCCCTGGCTTCTGCGTCTCTGAGTAGGCAGGTGACCTCGTTACGTAACATCGCCAGGTGGGCATTTGTTCTCACAGAAGTCTGGTTGGAGCAGTCATCAGCCGGACTGCTTGTGTGATGGGGCCACTTTCAGTGTGAGTCATGGTGGCGGCGGCAGCGGCGGCAGCTGAACGTGGCCCAGTTGCTGTGTTGGCCTCTGCTCTGAGGTCTGTGCATATCTGTGTGGGTCTGAATTCAGCAGACAGGCTGCAGAGCCAGTGGTCTTCCTCGCGTCTTAGCTAGCTGAGGATAAGGAGGTCTTCAGAAAGAGCACTCTTCAACATTATTAAAAGCCCATGTCTGTTTCCCATGTCAGCTAATTGTTTATCATTTGCTGCTTTTCTGATACCAGACTCGGACATCAGTGACCTTCTTGGCTTTCTCACAAATCAGAACATAACAGTGACGATGTTTACTGACAGCGACTACATGTCCGCCGCGCCCCACAGCGCAGCTCTGAACGTGGCGCGGGCAGAAAAGGTGAGGGCACTGCAGGTGATTGAAACCTTTCCTCTAACATTAATCACTTGCTGATTAACCTTATGAGTTGGAAATTAAAATTTACTTTTGGAAATAGCTTGCTGTGTTTACTTGTAATATATTTTATGCCGTGATGGAAAACCAATATATAAAGGTTTGACGAATGTAATTATATTTATCATATTTTTTTTGTTTAAAATATCAAAATATCTAGATTCCAAACTAGGTTATTTTTATCTTTTATTAAATATTATTTCTATGATTTGTTGCATCAGTTTTCAATATAGTTAGTGAGAATTAACTTAGTTGGTGAGAAAAGCAATCATATATTCATGTGCTTGGTACATAGCAATCATTATTCATTTACATATATACTATGTATAATAACTCCTTTTTTTAATTGTAGGACTATGTTTTTACTGCTGTTTTCAACAGTACTATGGTTTACTCTTTACCCGTGTTAATGAATATCATTAGTAACTACTATCTTTATCATTCAAACGTCACTGAAAGCATCCAGGTTTGGAATACCCCATTCTTTCAGGTAAGCAAAGTTGGAAGAGTGTGTGTGTGTGTGTGTGTGTGTGTGTGTGTGTGTGTGTGTGTAAAATAACTATTAAAAGCCAATGATAATGAGAAATGAAACCTACAGACGTTCATCCTGTCTCCTCTTCTTAAAACCTGAGCTGGGGATGTTCACGTCCTGCGTCTAGGTTCTGCCGTGGGACCAGCTCAGGTCAGAAGATGGCCTTGCTGAGAGTGGTTCTGGGTAGTTTGTTTGGGGCACCAGGTGGTTACCAGGTTGTCTGAAGCATCTGCTGTCTGCACCTGGATCCCTGGGCCTGAGGGAGCCACAATACACCCTGCTGGGAATAAGAAGCACCTGGCTCCATAGGTAGCTGAGCTTGGGCATGACTGTTCCTAGTGGCGGAGAGGAGTCTCCAAGATGCCTGCTGGCTTATAGTCCAGGCATCAGTGAAGGCATCAAGATCTTTCTGAGAGTCACGTTCATTGCTGGAACCCCTCATGCACAGGTTAACTGCACTTCATGTGCAATGTCATTTTTAAGTAAATGGTGAATGTTAATTAACATGCCATATTATCCTGTGTACCTCTGTAAGAACACAAAACACACAGTCATTTGCCCAGGATCACAGCACCGAGCTGGCACTGTGGCCACTGCATGTTAACTGCTGTGCCCCCGTCTCTTCACAGAGGCGTTGTCCAGGGCCATGCCCTGATGCGTTTCTTCAGCTCTGCTGGGCTGTTAGAAAGCGTTTAGTAACTTGATATGAAGTGATCCTCCGTTCTGTTTCTCACTCTGAGCTTGTCTTTCAGGAAATCACGGACATTGTTTTCAAAATCGAGCTGTACTTCCAAGCAGCTTTACTTGGGGTTATTGTTACCGCAATGCCTCCTTACTTCGCCATGGAAAATGCAGAGAATCACAAGGTAATGACTCAGTTAAAAATCACAGGTGCAGTTGACTGTTAAGAATTCTGAGACAAGAAATTGAACTTTTCTGTGTGAGCACAAGACTTACATGCAGCTATTATTTCGAGAGTAAGTAAATGGAGCATAAATATATTTATTACAGTAAGAGTAACACCTGTCACTTATTATTTGAGTGCCTGTTGTGCACTTTAAAAGTGTTCCAGGGTGTGGATCTGAATTCTTTCAGCTTTGACTGTTGTGACTTAAGCTGCTCTGGACATTTGCTGCGGCTTTCTATGTGAACATGAGTTTTCTTTTCTCTGGCGTAAACACCCATGAGTACACTTGCTATGTTGGATGGTGATTGCTTGTTTAGTTTTATAAGATATTGTTGATCTGTTTTTCAGGGTGGATAAAACCCTTTTACACTCCTACCAGCAGTGAATGAGTGACAATAACATGAATTTTCAAAAAATGATTGTATTTGACATGCTTTATGTTTTTATGTGTATACTGGAATTGATATTTTTGTTCTTGTGTTCATTGAACACAAATGTTGTCCACTTATGAAATCATTTCTTCTTCTTAACTAATCTTTATATCCCTCTTTCATCCTCTGTGGCCAGCTCTTTCATATCAGACATTGAATTACTAGGAGTAGATATTTTTTATTATGAGTAGATGTTTTTATAGATGACAAAAATCACCTGAATAAGATTGGTAGGTATTTACATTTATGGAAGATCTTAAAATTTCAAATCATATAATGACAATATTAGGAAAAGAATGATTGTTTAAATTTTCACCTGTTCACACAGGTGAAAATGGTATTCCCTTGTGGTAATAATCACAATTAACACTCTTGTTCTACACACGAATGCATAAGAGGTTTTCAAATGCATCCAAGTATAAGTTTCACACTTAAGCTGAAAGCCCTCTGTAAGTCCAATGATACTTAGCCCTTTATTAGTGTTTTCATTGAAAGGTCAAGTGTTTAAAAGTAAGCATCCTTTTTTCCTAAACATAATTTTTATGTTTCACAGAATTTCAAAAACAGTTACATTTTGGCAGCTTACTGTTTGCACAACTATAACCCCCATGGCCCTTTTACTTTATTTTAGTTTTGTGTTTCTTAGCAGCACTGCTGTGTTTTGATGCTGAAAAATACTGTTGAAATTGGTATGCCTCAGAAATAATGAACCAGATTAAAGGCCAAATGGAATTTATATTTAGCTGTCAGAGGGCTTTTATTACCTACTGATGGAATGTGACCCTTCTTGTTGATGTAAAATTAGGAGTTTTGCAATCATTTGCTAGAGATTTTTGTTTGTAGTATGTTTAAAATTATAATCAATTTTTCCTTTTTTTTTTTTTTTAGACCAAAGCTTATACTCAGCTTAAACTCTCAGGTCTCTTGCCTTCTGCATATTGGCTCGGACAGGCTGTTGTTGACATCCCCTTATTTTTTGTGGTCCTTACTTTGATGTTAGGCAGTTTGTTTGCATTTCATTATGGATTATATTTTTATGCTGTCAAGTTTCTTTCTGTGGTAAGTTAACATCAGTTGTGCTCATGCTATTTATAAATAAAATGTTATCTTAAAAAGCTAAATGTTTATAAATGTGGCAGTCATCTGATTAAGTAATTATGATGTTCCAGAAAATAGAACCAGTGTTTATTTAATTATTGTATATGGTACCTATAACCAGTGCAGGTCGTATTGCTCTAAGTGGCTTTTAAAAACAATGATTTCACCATTATAAAATAATTCCTTGGAGCTGAGGTGATCCTTCATGTAGAAGACCTACTAGTATGTCATCAGGAATACATAAAGTTTTTTCTTTAAATATCTCCTTTGTCTCTGTGCCTGAGAATAATTTCATGAAGAGGAAGCTCTTTTATTCCATAATTTAAAATATGGCTTAAAATACTAAGGAAGAGAATGACTTGGATTCATATTTGTATGTCAGTGAATGACTGATCCTAGATAATTTCCTGTGAATTATATTAGGAAAAAGGGAAGACAGAGGTTGGTAGGTTAGATTTGCTGAAAATGAACATGGCAGCTTTAATCAGAGAGCATACTGACCTTGCCTGTTAATTTCTACCTTATAAATTAATAAATGTTTTTCTTACAAATTTATAAAATGCATTAAGTGCTGTGCATTAAAACAGAAGCTAATCGTTTGAGATAAATAAACTTGTAACTCATTATGCTTGCTTTTTATAATAAAATGATGAAATAGTATTTTACTTGGTATAAAAAAGAACTACAAATAGTATTTAGTTTTAAATGGCTTATTCAAGTTTGTGTGAACAGTTGAAAACATGAGGTTTATTGATTTAGGAGAACTGGATGGGTGGATGGTAACACTAGGTTACCACAATTTCAGTTATTTTTGGAGCGATTTGTAGAGCAGTAAAACTTGAAAAATAGTTATTCTTTGATATTTTAATGTGACTGGTACTTTACATCATATGTATGGTTAGCTACTCATTTTTAAATAAAAATACAAATTTCTGTTTTCCAGGTTTTTTGCCTTATTGGTTACGTTCCATCAGTTATTCTGTTTACCTACATTACTTCTTTCACCTTTAAAAAAATTGTAAATACCAAAGAATTTTGGTCATTTATCTATTCTGTGGTAAGTCACATTTTATACTATTTTGTCTCAGCTTTTCATGGCACATAATTTGAGAGTCACAAACTCTTTTCCTTTTTGTGATTATAGTCATAAAGGTTACTGTGTCTTTTCTAAGCACAGAACTTAGATAGCTAGTGGCAGTGTCTGTGTGTGTCTTGTTTGTCTTCAGCCCCATCCATTCCAAGACAGGGTGGTGTTTTGTTGCATTCAGCACCTAGCATGCCCAGGGTCACCTGATGTGAAGAGCCGACTCATGAGAAAAGACGCTGATGCTGGGAAGGATTGAAGGCAAAAGGAGAAGGGGATGACAGAGGGTGAGATGGTTAGGTAGCATCACAGACTCAGTGGCCATGAATCTGAGCAAACTCCGGGAGATAGTGGACGACAGGGGAGCCTGGTGCACTGCAGCCCGTGGGGATCGCAGAGAGTCAACAGTACAGCCTTATACAGACAGATTTAGCAATTGAGCAACAGAATGGCCAAGGTGCCAGCCACAGACAGCTGGTACCAGCTAACTGGCGCTTCCTGGCTAAGCATCTCCTACGGGTCCTTGTTTTATTTGGGGAGTAAAGGCTCAGTTAATGCCGGGCACACAGGAAGTTTGTATGAAATTTCTGAACATCTCTCCACCTGTTCTCTCTTTGTTCTCTCCAGACAGCATTGGCTTGCATTGCAGTCACTGAAATCACTTACTTCATGGGAAACACTGCAACAATTATTCTTCATTATATCTTTTGCATTACCATCCCAATCTATCCGCTTCTAGGTTGCCTGATTGGTTTCATAAAGGTAGGTCTCTTAGATGTTTGAATATCTTAGAAAAGCATAAATAAATACTGCCTAAATCTTTGGGATCTTAATTCTTGTACTGAAATAATTTTTAAAAATCAAGTTAGCTGCTACTACTTGATTTAAATGTTACTAATGCAGCAGTTTAAAATGACTAGAATCTTTTCAAGCAGGTATTTTAAGCTGTCAGTTCTCAAAGGAGAAGGATTGTATTCATTATAAGGTCTTTCATGCCTCAGACAATGTACCTAAATTAGAATGATAATCTGAATGCAGTCAGTATTTGTCTGGGGGGTGTTTTTCAAAGATTAAACATTGTATTAAAGGGGTGAGAGAGAATTTTTCTTGAGGAAAAATATATAAAAATTTTATTAAGCCTAGTTAATTGAATACAGTTGCTATGTGATTAGAAAAAAATTAAGTGATGAGTTTTTAGTTTAGGATGATTGCTGATTAATTCTGCCCCTGTATCTACTTCCCTCCTCTCCCCTGTTTTAGCTTCAGTTTATAGGTTTAATTTATATATGCCCTGACAGGCATATTTTGGGGTGAGGAAGATTTTAATCTAACTACAAAACATGGCTGTTAATATGGATAGCTAGCTAGTTTATGGAGGAGACATGTTTGCTATGAAATACATTTTAAAAAAATTTTTAATCCAACTATTTCTACACATTGCAGCAAAGAAAATGGTGTCCTCCACTCATAAGGCTCTGACACCAAACATGGGCTTTTCCCGGGCATGCTGCAGTTCTGACACTGCAGTTAGTGCAGACTCGGGGGGTCGAGGGCTCAGTCCTGCAGGCGGCCCCCACTTCAGATTCCAGACACAGGTTGTGGGTGCCCCCGTCACCCCGCTTCTGTCTGACTTGGACCCCTTCTCGGAGGTTCGGTGATTTGCCCCAGCGGCTCCCAGAACTCAGGGGAGCACTGGATTCCCCGTCCCAGCGTGTCACAGTGGACCCCTAGGAGACACCAGGGACCGAGGGCCGCAGGGCAGGGCTCCTGCCGCTGTACCATTCGTGGTGAGCCGCCCCCCGCCAGGGGTGCTCCCCGCGCCCCGGCTGAGAAGCCGGTGGCTCCGTGCCTTGGCGAGGAGGCGATGAGTGGTCTCTGGGGCGGTGGCCTGGACTGGCAGTGCCAGCTCTGGGGTCTGCTGGCTCCTCTGGCAGTCGGCCTGCGTCCCCTGAGGGTCCCGTCAGGAGCAGACTCCACGAGTGGGAGGGGCTGGTTCCCCTCACCGGTCACTCAGAAAACCCCCAGGGTTCTTCTAGAAGCTTTGTGCCAGAGACTGTGGACAGAGGCCAGATCGCATTGTATCACGGTGTTACAGCTGCATACACATTTCCAAACATTCTTGTCTCAGATTACTTGGAAGAATCTTCAGAGAAATGAGGACACCTACGATCCGTGGGATAGCCTTCTGGTGGCTGTTTTATTGGTAAGAAGTCACTTGACCATAGTTTGGTCAAGAGGTTTTAACCTCTGTTTAGTTGTTATCCTGTTGCATAAAAACAAAGGCATATGAGAAGTCAGGTGTGTGAGTTACTGCTACTGAATGTGTGTTTTGTGTATTGCATACATCCATTTTAATATACTGGCTTTTTGACATGTCACTAATTCCATTTAACAATAATTTTGGCTTCCATAGAAGCAAAAAACAAAGATTTAAAAAAAAATTATATAATTTACGAAGCTGACAACAAATTAACTTTGCAACAGTAGAAAAATATGCAGAGATCATTACTAAAAGTCTGTCTTGGTTTGTATTAACATTTATTTCTACCTCATTGTATGACATGCAAAAAAATTTAAAAAGATGATGAACTTTTTCAGTGATGGTAAGGAACCTGATGTATTGATAGTGATTTTTTGGTTTTGTTGGCACAGGCAGGGGAAAAAATAACCAAAAATGTTCTAGTCATGAGCTGTTTTTCTTTCAGCCTTATCTGCACTGTGTGCTGTGGGTTTTTCTCCTGCGGTCCTGCGAGAAAAAATATGGTGGCAGATCGTTAAGGAAGGATCCCTTTTTCAGGTCAGTTTTTAATTTTCATGTTTTTTTTTACTACATTGACAGAGTTGTGCAACCACACCATCATGTAATTCCCTGATAGCTCAGTTTGTAAAGAATCCGCCTGCAGTGCAGGAGACTCTGCTTCAATTCCTGGGTCGGGAAGATCCACTGGAGAAGGGATAGGCTACCCACTCCAGTTTTCTTGGGCTTCCCTTGTGGCTCAGCTAGTAAAGAATCTGCCTGCAATGTGAGAGAGACCTGGGTTTGATCCCTGGGTTGGGAAGATCCCCTGGAGAAGGGAAAGGCTACCCACTCCAGTATTCTGGCCTGGAGAATTCCATGGACTGTATAGTCTGTGGGGTCACAAAGAGTCGGACACCACTGAGCGACTTTCACTTCACTTTCTCATTTCCATCACCCCCCCCCCCCGGAAAAGAAACCTTGTACACATTAGTAGTCACTTCCTTTCCCCCCTCAGCTCTCTATAATCACTAATCTGCTTCCTGTCTATACATCTGCCAATTTCACAGTCATATAAATGGAATTACACAAGATGTGGCCTTTTCTTGTCTGGCTTCTTATACTTAGCATAATGTCCTGAAAGCTCACCCATGCTGAAGCAGGTGGCAGGACCTCATTACCTGTTTGTTTTTGCCAAGAGATACTACTTTGTAGAGGCTTCCCAGGAGGCTCAGCAATATAGAATGCAGGAGACACAAGAAATGCAGGTTCGATTCCTGGGTCAGGAAGATCCGCTGGAGGAGGAAATGGCAACCCACTCCAGTTTCCTTACCTGGCTCACAGAGCTCTCTCTTAACATCAGAGCTCAGGTTGATGTGTTTTTTTTTCCCCCTGGTCTTTTCTGTACTTAGTGCTTGAATTTCTTACTATTACCTGAAAATCTGTTTATACTTTTAGGACTCTTTCAACAAAGTCCAAACACAGAAAGTTTTCAGAACCACCCAACAATGAGGATGAAGATGAAGATGTCAAAGCTGAAAGGCTAAAGGTCAAAGAGCTGATGAGCTGTCAGTGTTGCGAGGAGGTGAGTTAGTCTTTATTGCTGGGTCGTCTGCAATGGTCAGCAATGGTTAGCTCCTCGCACACAAGAAGCAACCTGGGAAATAGTCCTCTTTCATATGAATCAATCTGGAAAAAGTCCTGTCTTTGAAAAACTATTTTTGTCCACCTAATGGCAACCCACTCGGGTACTCTTGCCTGGAAAATCCCATGGACAGAGGATCCTGGTCGGCTGCAGTCCCTGAGGTCACAAAGAGTCGGACACGACTGAGTGACAACACACACTTTTGAGTAAGCCATTATTTCAGCCATAAATGGGATATTTATTTGTACAGTACCCCTTATTAGGAAATATAATTCTTATGACATGGACATGAGGTGTATACTGCCTTTCATTTAGTGATAGATATTTGATTTATAACTCTCTTTTAAAATCCTATTTTCCTTATTAGAAACCAGCCATTATGGTCAATAATCTGCACAAAGAATATGAAAACAAGAAAGATTTTCTTCCTACAAGAAAAGTAAAGAAAGTGGCAAATAAATATGTCTCCTTCTGTGTGAAAAAAGGCTGGTATTTAATTATTTTTCTCTTAAATAACTTTCCCAGAAGAGTAATTCTCATTTTTCAGTTTGATTTGCATTTGATGACTTTTCTTCTCATTCCTCCAGGAGAGATCTTGGGACTGTTGGGTCCAAATGGCGCAGGCAAAAGCACGATTATTAACATCCTGGTTGGTGACATTGAGCCGACTTCAGGCCAGGTATGGTCTAGGGTGTGGCCTATACTGAATATGGTTTTAGTTTTTTTCCCAGTAGTCATGTATGGCTGTGAGAGTTGGACTATAAAAAATGCTGAGCATCAGAGAATTGATGCTTTTGAATTGGTGCTGGAAAAGACTATTGAGAGTCCCTTGAACAGCAAGGAGATCCAACCAGTCCATCCTGAAGGAAATTAGTCCTGAGTATTCATTGGAACGACTGGTGCTGAAGCTGAAGCTCCAATACTTTGGCCACTTGATTGGAAGAGCCGACTCATTGGAAAAGACCCTGATGTTGGGAAAGGTTGAGGGCAGGAGGAGAGGGGACGACAGAGGATGAGATAGCATCACCAACTCAATGGACGTGAATCTGAGCAAACTGTGGGAGATGCTAAAGGACAGAGGAGCCTGGCGTGCTGCAGTCCATAGAGTCGAAAAGAAACAAGACACGACTTGGTAACAAAACTAACAACAGTGACAAATGGGATTTCAGTGCTCAGATTTTATGTTTCTGATGTTAATTTTTTAGGAGAGCTTGATCAGATCATGCTCTCTGTGAGAATACTGTACATAGTGAGATTTCCGTGCACACATGCAGAGCACACACGTGTACAGTGTTCCTGTTTTGTGGTGGCTACAAGCCCAGGTGGCTCGTCCGCTGACTTAACAGTCACCCCCGTGTTGACCTCAGGAAGTGGAGGAGCTGATCTGAGCCTGCCCTCAGCCAGCCTTTGGTGACGGGCGCATCTCTCAAGCTCTTTGCAGGAACTTTGCACAACTGTCCCGCTCCCACCTCCCGCCTCCTCCACACCAGCTGCTCTGGCTCATTGCTTTCCCAGAGAACGCCCAGCACACTTTACTCTTTCTGTTGCCTTGGGTGTTGCTTATGTTGACTATTCCTTACTCAATAGAAAACCTGATAATCAAGTTCACTTATTTCCTTGGCCCAAATAGCACCTTTCAGGGTTTCCCTGGTGGCTCAGTGGTAAAGAATCCACCTGTCAATGCAGGAGACACAGGTTTGATCTCTGATCTGGAAAGATCCCACATGCCGCTGAGCACCTAAGCTCACGCGCCACATCTGAGTGTGTGCTCGAGAGCCTGGTAGCCATGTTCCTGAGGCCCGCGTGCCCTCAAGCCGGCACCCCACAGCAAGAGAGGCCCCCGCGGTGAGAAGCCTGCTCACCGCCACTGGACAAAGGCCACTGAAGCAACACAGACCCAGCACAGGCAGAAATAAACATATAAATGAACACGTACAATTAGCCCCTGATCCTCGTGGTTAAATCTGAGGCTCCCTTCCCCCCCCAGCCCTGCATCCCTGGTCCCCGTTTCTGACCAGGTCACTCACCTCCAGCTCAGCAATATAGGTCCTGTCTTCCTCAGAAGGGAGAGTCTGCCCTCACGTTATCCTGACTCTGGGAAGGAGTTTGAAGTAATCCACCTGCCACTTCCTTTATGACGTTAAGTGAAGCAAAAGCAGCCCTTGCACTGTTTGTCTTTCTGCAGGTCTTCCTAGGAGACTACTCTTCACACCCAGCTGAAGAAGACGACTCTGGGAGGTGTATGGGCTACTGTCCCCAGATCAACCCCCTCTGGCCGGACATCACCCTGCAGGAGCACCTCCAGATCTACGGAGCCGTCAAAGGGCTGAGAGCCAGTGACGTGCCGGAGGTCACGGATCGGTAAGGCCCTGCCTTCAGCACCCTGTCATCTGGGGGAGTCACGACGCACAGCTTTAAAATTTCACAACAGGCATTTCCCTGGATCATAGCTTTCGTGGAAAAAGATCATTACTTTCCATATATTCTTTTACCAAATTATGACAGCTATGAAAATGAAAACATTTCTATTTCTAAATACAGAATAAATGGACTTATGAATTGCCATGAAACCTATTTTAATTTAAAGTGAACCTTTTAGTCAAGATGTTGATTTATTTGAAATGAGCTTCTACCACTTAACTGTTCTAGGGGAAAAAAAACTGCGTCAGGGATCACAGTCTGTATTATTAACTATCTCTGGGTATCATGGCTTACTCATTTCATACCATCTCTTTTGCAGAATAACAAATGCACTTGATCTAAAAGAACACCTCCAGAAAACTGTAAAGAAACTTCCCGCAGGAATCAAGCGCAAGGTACGTTTGTCAGACCGTGCGCGCATGTCCAGTCCAGCGCCTGGCATTGCGCCGGCCGAGTGTCTTACAGCCCCCCGTGTTTGTCGTCCCCCCAGCTGTGCTTCGCCCTGAGCATGCTGGGCAGCCCCCCGGTCACGCTGCTGGACGAGCCGTCCACAGGTATGGATCCCAAAGCCAAACAGCACATGTGGTGAGTATGAGGCAGGGACGCGTGAGACCCTCCACGCTGTACCGTCGTTACCGATACATATTCAGCGTCCTGCACTGAAGGAAAATGCAATTAAGGATTTCTAGAGATCCCCTTAAACTTAATCATATTTTTCATGAAGTGTTAACAATACATTGTGTATTCTGGGACCAAAATGAGAATGCTGTTGTTGAATAGTGTTTTTAATGGTTTTCTTCTTGTCTAAAGTAACATAAGTGAATATCTCATAACCGTACTGTTTAGAATGTTCATTATGTACACTGAAACCCTCTGCTAAGTAGTTGACAGACTCTTTGAGCCTAGATTGCCATGTCTATGAAATGTGAGGTTTGGGTCAGACACATGTTAAGATTTCCCTGTGATTCCGTGGCTATTTATGTTCTAACATGAAAAGCCTTCAGTTTGTATAATTGGTTGGTTAATACACTTTCTACCCATAGGGACACTTGAAATCATGAACTTTTATTTCCACTTGACAAGCTTTCAGAAATAAGGTAAATTAGGATAGAGGAATCATAGTTGGGCAGAGTATAATAAGTATAGCAGTTGATATTTGGTAAATCTGTTAACCAAAGAGCTGGATTTTTTAAAACTCCGGTGTTTTCATTAACGTTCAGGTGCCATCTTCCCTTCTGTTCGTTTCATTTCTGTTTTGTAGGAGAGCAATTAGAACCGCGTTCAAAAACAGGAAGCGCGCCGCCATCCTGACCACGCACTACATGGAGGAGGCGGAGGCCGTCTGCGACCGCGTGGCCATCATGGTGTCGGGGCGGCTGAGGTGGGCGTGGCCGGCGTGGGCGGGGCGTGGGCGGGGCGTGGGCGGGGCGCCCTCATTTCAGAGCCGCCTCCTGATGCGGATCAGTCTAAGTGTTGAGAAGTGCTTCCCTGTGTGAGTGCTTAATCAGCTCTCCAGGGAATTACTTGGAAATGTGTTCCTTTCTCTCCACAGTTGGCCAGCCGTTCTGCCTGTGGAGACTCCGCGTTCTCTCTTACCTGTGCAACTTTTACATAAATTGGCCAAGGACTCCAGCATGAGAATTTTACTCAGCCATTCTTTTCTCTATGATGTCCTTTATTTTCGGTTGCGCTGGGTCTGTTGCTGTGAGCAGGCTTCCTCTGGTTGTGACGACGGCGGGTGTGGGCTTCTGCCTGCGGTGGCTTCTCTGGTGGGGGCGCACAGGCTCCAGGCGCGGGGGCGTCAGCAGCTGCGGTCGCGGGCTTAGTTGGACTGAGCTCATGTCCCCGGCGTTGACTGGCAGACTGGCCGCTGGGCCTCCACGGAGTCCTACATTATCCTTAAGTGAGAAACCACCTTTGAAACTGTCAGGTCCTTTCATACCTATACATTTCTTCTAAAATTCACTGCAGGTGTATTGGGACAGTCCAGCATCTGAAGAGTAAATTTGGAAAAGGATACTTTTTGGAAATCAAGTTAAAGGATTGGATAGAAGACCTGGAAGTAGACCGTCTTCAAAGAGAAATTCAGTGTATTTTCCCAAATGCTAGCCGTCAGGAAAGGTAAAGTTTTTAAAAATGTAGTTGCATTTCTCTATAGAGCAGTAATCATGAAAATCGGTTACTGTATTAAGGATTGGGGGGGAGGAATGCTATCATTATTGGACTAATGTAGTTTGATGAATGACCTTCATGTCTAACTTATTTTTAATGTTAGATCTTTCAATATGTGATAGTACTTAAAGTTTTGACAGCTTTTGTTTGGTAGTATGGAAAGAGTTATTTTATTGTGCATGGAAATATTTTAAGATTTCAAATGATTTTTATCTAAATAAGTGCCAAAATAAATTATTGGAGTTTTATTTTGAAGTTTTAAAGTGTTGAATTTTTGTCTTCAGAACACACAGTAGTAGTCACTTCTGAATTTTCCTTCATCTTTGCTTTCAGTTTTTCTACTATTCTGGCTTATAAAATTCCTAAGGAAGACGTTCAGTCCCTTTCACAATCTTTTTCTAAGCTGGAAGAAGGTGAGTAATAATTTGAAAAACACTGTGAGGTGGCTTTCAAATTATGAGGGAATTTTATGAAAAAGTTTAGAAGTTGGGTCTCAGTTTATTGCAGAAACTACAGTTAGTAAGAAGATGACCTTCTGTTAATTGAATCTAAGCGATAGGAAAATACAGCCTGGGATTTTGTCAATTAGCTTTGTTGTTGTGTAAGCCTTTCACCCTCCTGAGTGGACGTCACCCCAGTTTTTCATGTTGCGTCTGAGAAAGTTCAGTTTAATTAGCCCCCACTACTTCAGTCCAGAAGCTGGAGCATTGGGTTTCTTGAGTCCTCACTTTGTGTTAGGCCGGAAGGAGCCATGGGAGCAGGAACCCAAGGGCAGCAGGAGAAAGGAGAGGAGAGTTCGCCGTGCAGAAGGGCGGGCCTTCCTGACCCAGCCTGTAGAGACGTTGGTGGGATCTCAGCATTTTAAAAATAAATGTTAGGTGGGCTGCAGACACCTCACCAGGAGAGAGAGGCACCTTCTGGATGGGGCATGTGTTCAGGTCTAGGTCATTTTATAAAAAAGCATCTGAAAACCATGAAGTAGCCTGTGTTTCCTGGTGCTTGCTTTATGATTAAAGGGGACATTAGAAGTAATACGGGAGAATTAAAGGAGTGAATAGAAAACCAGAACTTTGATATTGGATTAGATTGCAAAAGGATCTAAAATAAATATAAAGAAGTATATGGACACAGGGCTGATATCTGGAATCTAGTTGCAGAACTCCAGGACAGACTGTGCTGGAACTGTGGGGGTGGGAGGTAGAGAGCAGGGATCAACAGAAGCATGAACCAAAAGGAGTAACGCGGCAGAAGCTCGGGGGAGGACGGCGAGGAGCTGCTGGGAGAAGGGGCAGCGGGATGCGGCCGTGAACCTGCGCGGCCCCGTGAGCCCTTTTCCAGGGCTCTGGGTGGGCGGCCTGTGAGCCCGCGCGCCTCGTGAGCCCGCGTCCAGGGCTGTGGGGCGGCCGCGGGCAGGGAAGGGGAGGCAGGTAGGGGGTGGCGTCACTGACAGCCTGCAGCCGAGTGGCCGATCAGAGAGATGAAAAAAGCCCATTTTAGCCGCTCAGTAGGTATTGCCATTTGATTATTCAAAAATATTACTAAGGGAAATACTATTTTTTATGTTGTCACAGCTAAACATACATTCGCCATTGAAGAGTACAGCTTTTCTCAAGCAACGTTGGAACAGGTATCACACAGTTAACTGTTAAAAGTTCTTCTGTAGAAGAAAGGGTGCAGTATCTAAGTGTTTAGGTTTATTTTGGAGAGGGAAGGAGATTGTGAGCCAGAGACCGGTTCCTGTGGAGTGTTCCTCAACTGTGTGAATTTTAAACAACTTGAGGTTCTCCATCTGCTTATTTCGAATAGCTCATTTTTTTTTTTTTTAGTTTCAAGAAAATGAGTCATGATGGATGGCATTCATATTAGCACATCTGAAATTACATTGCTTAAATATTTATAAATTACCGCTTACCACAGTGCTACTTTATCAGTCAAAAACAAATGATCTATTAATCCTCCAAAATGACATTCATCTATATATGGGATTAGTGGGGATCATTCTGTTTAAATAGCATTAAGTGTATCTCCTGATACTTGAGTAGTTCGTGTATTTAGGTACAGTCTCATGCCACTGCTGATTTATTTAAAATGTTCCTAGGATAATTGCAGTGCAGAATACTGTACTCATTTATTTCCATGTAGGTTTTTGTGGAGCTCACGAAAGAACAAGAGGAGGAAGACAACAGCTGTGGCACCTTCAACAGCACACTGTGGTGGGAAAGAACACAAGAGGACAGAGTCGTATTTTGAATTCATGCTGCTTGCCCCGCTTCCCGCGTTTCTTTCTTTTACGATTTAGTTTTGGTGTAACAGTTTACAGCTTGAACAATAATTGAAGAGCCGAGAAAGCACTTGGGGTTTTCCTGATGCCCTCCATTGAAATGCCATCAGTTGTGTGTCTCGCTTTTCTTCAAATAAAACTTGCGCACAGCAGCGTGAGCCTGCATGTTGGCATCTGCAGTGTGTTGTGCTGGAGTCTGTAGGTGAGGTTGACTATGTCCTTGTTCACTTTTCAGAAGCAGTGCTTGTGAATTTCTGGTTTGAAGACATAGTGATAGAATCATTTTGAGCAGCTATCTGTAAGTTTATACCATCTAGTTACATAAGTATGTAATGCCCCAGTCTAAATAAGAAGACAAATACATGGAACAGAGACATAAAGCAAAAGTCCGCTTCTCCTTTTTACTTTCTAAAAGAAACTGGAAGTTGGCCTGCTAAAAAGCTAAACACTGGACAGGCTCCTGGCAGAGAGAGGTTTGCAGGCTGTGACATTCACTGGGTAAGATGCATTAGCCGAAATAACTGAAAGGAGACCTTGTTCTATTAGGTGATTGTAGACATAAGTAACTCAGGTACAGTTCTTTTGCTTACGGTAAAATTCAGAGATGTTTCAGTTATTGTGGCGGACTGAGTCTAGAATCTTAGGATGTAACAATCTGATTCTTCGGTGGTTTGGGGCTAGAATGACAAACATCTATAGGGCTGCAAGAGTTAATCCATACCTTCTCTTCCACCCCGATGGAAAATGGAAATCTTTTGTCCTCTTCATTACAAAGAATATGTTTTATTCTATAAATGAACTTTATTATTTGAATGTCTCTCCTTTGTAGAGTTTTAAATATATCACTGTGAATTTAGTTACTCACCTCAGATTCACTTTGGAATATGGTGTAACATAGATAAACTTGTGGTCATTAAATGAAGGAAAAGTAAATTCTGCACAGTTCTCTTTAGTGAGAAACCAGTTCCCTTCCATGACAGAGCTGGAGGTTTTGGTTAAGGTATCCATCCATACAAATACTTCTGTGTAGACCCCGTGTGTGGACTGTGGGGCTATAACATAAATCGTCCTGTGCCGTGAGCTCAGTCGTGTCCAGCTCTGCGACCCCCTGGACTGTTGCCTGCCAGGCTCCCCATCCATGGGCTTCTCCAGGTAAGGACACTGGAGTGGGCTGCCATGCCCTCCTCCAGGGGATCTGACCAACCCAGGGGCCAGACCCGGGTCTCTTGTGTCTCCTGGATTGTCAGGAGTGTTCTTTACCACTGTGCCACCTGGGAAGCCGCACTTCACATCATATCTCAACCAGATGAATGAAAATTACCAACTTTGGGAAAACAGATACATTAGGGGTGTGATTATACTGTGTGACAGAGAGTCTTAGAGAACAGCAGGCACCACAGAAGGGTTTGGTGCCGAGTTTCTCTAAAGACGCAAACCCTTTGATGAGGCTGTTACCTCAGGTGGTGAACCTGAACTTCTCGCTGTGCTGTGCGCTCAGACGGCCGGGAGTCAGGAGTCCTTTCTCGGCCTCCACAAGGGGCACGGCTGGCGTTTCCCTCTGCTGCCCTGCCACATTCCTAAGGATCCAGGCGCCTTGCCTGGTGTCTCAGGCCTGCCTTCTAACTGAACAAGCTGTCTCAGGACCTCCTGGCATCTGCAACCCGCATCAAAGTTATTTCTCCTCGTAGCGTTCAGTTGGCACTAGAGTCTGACCTCTTGTTACCACGGCACTCGCCTCCCTCTACAGACCTTTGGTTCTGCACCTGAGAATCTCACTCTTAGAATCTTTAGTAAAAGCTGCCACTTTTCAGCTGTAGCACTGCATGATGAATACAAGTCCAGAAACATTTGAGGGAAAATCTTTCCCTTTATAGATGAATTAATAAGCAACACACTGTACTTTCTAAGCAAGTCATGGCAAATTGGTTGCTGTAAATTTAAAGAGATTTCTTGTAGTGTCTCATATTAACATAACACCTGGGGCTTCTCTTTGGGGATACGATTTTCAGCTGTGCTCACTGATCATAATTCGCATTTATCAGGTTCATTATTGTACTGTTACTGTGCTCTTGTAAGCATTTTTTTTTAAAAACTCATCAAAAGTATGATTTAACTACTACTTAGGAAAAGCAGGGTGAGCCGAGCAGGAAGAAAAGGACACAGCAAGTCAAATACGGACTTTATCTTTACTGACTGTGCAGTTCAAATGTCTTAAATTATAACCTCAAAGCTTTTTTTTTTGTATCAATGCAAATAAATATATATATTAGGAAGAAGCTAGGAAAAAACCATACCCCCTGGCTTATGTTTTCCATCCACAGTCAGATTTTAACAGTCAAGGTTGGACTTCACGGAGTGACGGTGGTCAGTGACCAGCATGGCAAACGTCCGTCTGCAGCCTCAGGAAGGAGATGGGAGAAGCAGAGAGATGAGCAGACTTCACACTGTCCCTTCCTGAGCCTCTTTATCTTTCTGGCCAGTTTGTTCTCAGTAAAAGTCTGCAGGTTTCCCTAAAAGACTTCTTTCCTTTAAATTGCCCCAAACTATCTAAAATCAGCATTTTTATCATTTAAATGTTTTTAGAGTAATTCCACCGACATTTTCATGATCAAGTTTCAAGCGGTGGGTCTTTGGATAAAACCGTAACTATTCTCTTTGGCCTTGTAGGATCTTACAGTGTAGTAGGAGGATGTTAGAAACTTGGGTTATTTAGCACTCAGTCATGTCCGACTCTGCGACCCCATGAATGCAGCCCACCAGGCTGCTCTGTCCATGGGATTTCCCAGGCAAGAACACTGGAGTCGGTTGCCATTTCCTTCTCCAGGGGACCTTTCCGACCCAGGGATGGAACCTGCATCTCCAGCAGAGGTAGGCCTGTTCTTCACCACTGAGCCTCCAGAGAAGCCCCCAGATACTTGGGTCCTAACTCTAATACGATGTGATGATGCTTTGCTGGCTGTACAAACGATATTTTATTGGGGTGCAGTTCTACTGAGGGTTAGTGGTGTCCTGCGTTTATTGTTCCATTGGCTACACATTTTCTTCTGATTGTACTAAGAATCTGACAAAACATTATGCTGTATTTTTTTGTAATGCATTAATAGATGTTCATCTTTTAAAAATAGAAATGCTTCTCTCTAATGTATTTGTAATATTGCTAAATGATTTTTCATTTTCTTTCCTGAAAGAACATGTTACATAAAATGAAAAAATCTGTTCTCAGGTGAATAATTTTTATATCAGCTATTCTTATAAGGTAAAAGTTTACTTATTTTTTATTCATAATGCATTACATGTAATTAATTCTCAAGGCACCCATTTAAGAAAAGTAAATATGATTATAGTATTAGTAATAAGCTTTAAGAACTGAAAATTTAGCACAATTTTTCATTTTGTACGAAATGGATACTTTGTACTTAGTGTATATTAAAAATGAAGGAAAAACCTGGCACTGAAATTGTTAGCAATTTATTTTTAGTATCTGTTCAGTGTTTTCAAGAAGGAACACTGGTAGTTGTCATTACTCCGTTGCTGTTGCGTCTGACTCTGCAGCCTCACAGACTGCAGCACGCCAGGCTTCCCTGTCCTTCACTCTCTTCCCCGAGCCTGCTCACACTCACGTCCGTTGATCTGGTGACGCCATCCAACCACCTCACCCTCTGTCGCCTGTGTCTCCCACCCTCAGTCTTTTCCAGTGAGTCAGCTCTTCACATCAGATGGCCAAATTATTGGAGCTTCAGTTTTAGCATCAGTCCTTCTAAAGAATATTCAGGGTTGATTTCCTTTAGAATTGACTGGTTTGATTTCCTTGCAGTCCAAGGGGTTCTCAAGAGTCTTCTCTAGCACCACAGTTTGAAAAGAATCAATTCTTTGACACTCAGCCTTCTTTACGGTCTAACTCTCTCATCTGTACATGACTACTGGAAAAACCATAGCTTTGACTATTGGGACCTTTGTTGACAAAGTGATGTCTCTGCTTTTTAATATGCTGTTTAGGTTGGTCATAGCTTTTCTTCTAGGAGCAAGCGTCTTTTAATTTCATGACTGGAGTCACCATCCACAGTGACTTCAGAGTCCAAGAAAATAAAATTCGGTCACTGTTGCCCCTTTCCCCCCTTCTATTTGCCATGAAGTGATGGGACCAGATGCCATGATCTTTGATTTTTTAATGTTGAGTTTTAAGCCAACTTTTTCACTTTCCTCTTTCACCCTCATCAAGATGCTCTTTAGTTCTTCATTTTCTGCCTTTCAAGCCGTATCATCTGTGTATCTGAAGTTGATGATGGTTCTCCAGCAATCTTGATTCCAGCTTGTGCTTCATCCAGCCCAGCATTGACAGTTACCTGTGTTTTAGTTCACATTCATATTTTAAACTTAAACTAGATATTCTTGTAGATCTTTTTTATCTTAAGTCTATTTTGTAAAAATATAAAGCAATCATTTTTCTTACATTTTATTACATTTAACAGATTAAATTATTTCCAAGTATTTAATATTTATCATTTTCCTTAGAATATTTAAATAAATTGATTCAACACTTAGATAAGGTTTTAAATTTAATGAGCCAATGTTTCTCAAGGACCTAAGCAGCTCTTGCAAATCTAATTAATCAAATGGTTGATTTTATGCAGCATAAAAGCAGACAGCATACACAAAACTACATGATTAGAAGTCTTGCTGCCACCCTTGAATAAATGCAAAGCCTTCCAAAGGGTATCAGTACAGTAATCTAATTATTTCCCCCATGACTGTGCATGGACCTCACCAGGGTCATGGCATTTGCTAATTAAAGGGCCATCTAAGGTCACTGAAGTCCACCGTTGGATAACCTGAGACAGACGGATGAAGCAGGTGAGGCGGCTGGGTAAGGCTTGGAGCTTCTCGAGGGCGAGAAGCGGAAAACCCGTCTCCCCTCAGAGTAGGCTGGCGCCCGCCCCGGGGACTGTCTCTTATGTTCGTGCTTTGACCTTTGGGGCTTTGGCTGTTGTTCAGTGGCTCTGTCGTGTCCGACTCTCTGGCCCCGTGGGCTGTAGCCCGCCAGGCTCCTCTGTCCGTGAACTTCCCAGGCAAGAACACTGGAGGGCATCTTCCTGACCCAGGGGTGGAACCCGGGTCACCTGCATTGGCAGGTGGGTTCTTTACCGCTGAGCCACCAGGAAAGCCTGAAGCGCAGCTTCCAACCCCTCCAGTTTCCAGCCACTTGGGCGCCGGGTGAGAGCCGCCCCGCTCGCGGGCAGCGCCTGGCAGAGCCGGCGAGACGGGAGCGCTTTCGGCCACCAGGTGGCCCCAGCGCGCCGTGCAGCGGGCCGCGGGCGGAGAGTACCTGCGACGCAGGGCCCCCGGGTTCCATCCCTGCGGAGGAAGATGCCCTCCAGGGTTCTCGCTGGAGAACCCATGGACCGAGGGGCCCGGCAGGCTCCAGCCCCCGGGGTCACAGAGCTGGACACGACTGAAGGGACTTAGCACGCACGCGTGCAGGGACACGACTGAGCCACTGCACTAACGCCGGGGCCCAGGAAGAGCCCAAGCGGGAGCCAGCAAGTCAGCCTGGAAGCTGGAGGCTGCATCCCGCAGAGCGAACGGGTCATCCTTAGGCTAGTTCACGTGGGAAGAGGCGACAGCAGGGTTCAAAGCGTCCGAACAGAGGACAAGAAACGCCAGGGAGCTGGAAGGCGTCTCCGGCATTCTTCAGAGGGAAGGGGCGCACTCCCATGCGGCCCAGCTCGAGGCCGGGCTTCAGTGACATCGTCAGCGTTGATTCCCCTCCCTAGCTTTTCTCTAAGGAGCCGCCAAGTCAAGCCTTCCCGGTCCCTGGGCAAGGCAACTAGTGCTGTGTTAGACACCCCAGTCGTGTGTGGCCCACTCTGCGACCCCATGGACTGTAGCCCTCCAGGCTCCTCTGTTCCTGGGATTCTCCAGACAAGACTACTGGAGTGGGTTGCCATTTCCTTCTCCAGGGGATCTTCCCGATCAGGGATGGAACTGGAGTTCGCATTGCTGGCAGATTCTTTATGTCTGAATCACCAGGGAAGCCCTGTGGGGAAGCCTCTATCATTGTCTCTTAAACAAAAGTGAATTTTATTGGTAACTGGAATAACTGGGAGTCAGATGGGCAGAGACCCAGAGACCATAAAACACCTCCAGGAAATGAGTTCTGGGGGAGTCACTGGTAATAAAGATATGATCATGGTCTGATTTTTACTGCTTCAAATAGTAAAACTAGTGATACATACTTGAGAAAACTCAGGGGTTTTTTTTTTCCCATATAAACGAGGACTTAGGGATGTCCATGATAATTTTCAGATGGGAGAAAGCATCAAGATGAGTCAGAAGTGTCACTTTATTGGAATATTTTGATTGTTTAAAAATTTTGTTTATTTGGCCATGCCAGGCCTTAGCTGCAGCTCTAGGGATCTGGGATCTCCAGCTGCAGCAGGAGGGCGCTAGTTCCCAGATTAGGGATCCAACCTGGGCCTCCAGCATTGGGAGTGTAGAGTCTTAGCTGATGGATCACCAAGGATCCTATGATCTACTTTTGCATAACAAATCACCCCAAAATGAGGCAACTTAAAGCAATAAAGATTAACCAGCTCACAGTTTCTATAGGTCAGAAATTTCAGCATAGCTTAGCTGTATGCTTTTAAAATTAATGACCAAACAGAAAAAAAAAAAGGCAATTTGAGGTAAGGGGAGACTGAGGAAGGGAATATCAAGGATAAAAGATGTAATTAATACAGAACCATGAAAGGAAACAGGAGATTACAAAAAATAGAAGAGTCAGAGGATGAGACCTATTATCATAAACATTTATTCCAGGAATTCAACTTCAGAGAATTGTAAGGATTATTAGAAAACAGAAATCATAAAACATTAGAAAACAGAAATCGTAAAACTGAGTCTATGAACATATTGTTTAGAAAATTCAAAAAAATCTCCAATGATAATAAATAAAAGAGCTCAACAAAATTCAAAATGAAAGTTAAAGTTAAGTCGCTCACTCTTGTCCGACTCTTTGCAACCCCGTGGACTGTAGCCCACCAGGCTCCTCCATCCATGGGATTCTCCAGGCAAGAATACTGGAGTGGATTTCCACTTCCTTCTCCAGGGGATCTTCCCCACCCAGGGATCGAATCCAGGTCTCCTGAATTGCAGGCAGATGCTTTAACCAAAATTCAAAGTAACATGCAAAATTAATCCTCCTCTAGACGGGCAGCAATTAATTTGTTTAGTCACTTAGTCCTGGCCAACTCTTTGTGACCCTATGGGCTGCAACCTGCCAGGCTCCTCTGTCCCTGGGATTCTCCAGGCAAGAATACTGGAGTTGCCATGTCCTTTCCAGGGGATCTTCCTGATCCAGGGATCAAACACATGTCTCCTGCAGGGCAGGTGGATTCTTTACCTCTGAGCCACCTGGGAAGCAGTAACTAATTAGAAAATGTTAAAAAAAAAAAAAAGAAATCCTATCATGTTAGTAATGGAAAGTCTACAGTATGTACCAATACATCTTGCTTGGTAGCAAGGTGGGTACGTGTTCATCAGGAGGAGGTGACCACTGGTTGACCCCAAAGCTGGATCCAGCAACCTCAGGGGCCCTGCCCCTCACCCACCCTGGAAGGTTCTCCGCCCCTGCCCCAGGGTCCCACCTCCCCGGGGAGCGGGTGCCCAGGGCGCGGCCTCCAGAGGGGCTGCTGTGTCTGTTGAGCCCGTCGGGACCGACATGGGACCAAACCCGGCTGAGGCGTCTCCATGAACTCAAGAGAGTCTCCTGTTTCTAATCTGAGAATTGTGTAAAACTATCTTTACCCACCTCATAGGTTTGCTTGGAGTGTAAACGAAATAATTCATTGTAAACCCTTGGCATGCTTTCTAGCAGCTTCCCAGGGGACGCAGCGGTAAAGACTCTGCCTGCCAGTGCGGGAGACATAGACTATGAAGGTTCAGTCCCCGGGTCAGGAAGATCCCCTGCAGGAGGAAATGGCAACCCACTCCACTCTTCTTGCTTGGAATCCCACAGACATGGGAGCCTGGTGGGCTGCAGTCTGTGGGGTGGGAAAGAGTCGGACACAAGGAACACGCTTGCACCTGCGTGCATACTCAGAGCACAGAGGAACCAGCCAGCAGCAGACACCACTTCGCCCCCGCGCAGAAACGTCTTTGCTCACGTTTTTCCTGTATAAGTTACTCTCATTTCTGAGGTCATTCTCGCGGCCTCCATTCAACTTCCCTTCTTTTAAAATCTGTTCTCTTCTGTGTTGGCTCTCAGAGTTTTAATCATTCAAAGTTAATGGAGACTTACTCAGGCCTCGGTTTTTAAAAATCCCTTTTGGAATCTGATTGCTGTTTTGCCTGTGCCAGAAAGATAGAGCAATAAACAAGCACACGTCACAGGCTCAGGCACGGGCCGTGGCTGCAGCCTCCCTGTGGCACAATTGGACGGAAGAAAGCAGCTTCCCAAGGAGGGAATGTGTCGGGCAGGCTCTTTCCACACAGACCATGGCCTGTTTTTAGAAGCCAGACTGAACGAAGACAGCCTTAAGGAAAGCTCTTGAAGGATTCTTTAAAGTCTTCTGAACAGAAAGAAACCAGGGCATCAAAGGCGCATCTTCGTTCTTCACTCTTACTTTCCTAACAGTAAGTTGAACTTGTTTTTACCTTTCGTTCCACATAAGGTAATCAGGCACAAAGGGCAGAATCAATGGCAAGTGTCTTGGTTGACATGGTTAAAATTATTATATAGTTGTGATATTTCTAAATTATTCTGCTTTATACAGGAGACCTAATGAGGAGTTTCATTTTCTCAACTCAGTAAAATGACATTAGAGAATGATAGTAAACTGGAAGGTAGATCCAGAAACGTGCGTAAATATTATTCTTTTTCTATGTCAGATTTGCGCTTCTCTGGTTGGCCATCTGAGAACTTGCAGAGTTTTGTTTTTTGGGACTGTGTACACAGCAGGACAAGTTGCTTCTCCTCGTGGTTTTTTTTTTTTTTTTTCTGTTTTCTTTTCATGAAGATGAATGTTTTCCCTTAGAAACTTTCCCAAGTTAGAATTTAGAGATTATTTTGGCATTTGGTAGCTTTACCTTTTCCTTTTATCAAGCAAAAGAAATCCAGCAAGTTATATAAATACTGTAGTTTGTATGTAGCATCAGCATTTATTCGAGTGCATTTAAGTCACCAGAAGTCTGGAATTTTAAACTGAAAACACAAGAGAGCCCTCTGACACGCGTGGTGATCCACACACATCAGTCACTCGAGTCACACTCGCCAGCCGAAGCTTCTGGTTTCTGCCTGTGTATCTGACAGACTTAATTCCTAAAGGGGAACCCGTGAGTTTCAAGGGTAGAAATGTGCTCTGGGTTCCCGAGAAGGACCGTGCGGTGATTCCACCTGCCTTTACCCCTTGGCTTCCTCTGTGTGTGCGCTCAGTCGTGTCCGACTCCGTGCAACCCCACGGACTGTGGCCCTCCAGGCTCCTCTGCCCACGGGATTCTCCAGGCAAGGCCACTGGAGTGGGGTGCCCTTTTCTCCTCTCGGGCATTATTCCCCACCTGGGGATTGAACCCACACCTCTTATGTCTTTTGCGTTTGCAGGCAGATTCTTTACCAGTCAGTCAGTCAGTCTCAGTTCAGTCGCTCAGTGGTGACTCTTTGCGGCCCCATGGACTGCAGCACGCCAGGCTTCGCTGTCCACCACCAATCCCGCGGTTTACTCACACGCGTGTCCGTCTAGTCAGTGATGCCATCCAACATCTCATCCTCTGTCTTTACCACTAGATGTCATCAAATCAGCCTCCAAAAGCGTGCCTTTCAAAGTGCAGATCTCCCGTGGACAGGAAACCAGAGGCGGTTTTATTCCTGTTGTACATTTTTAAAAAGTACTAAGTCAAGGGCAGATGTGTTTAGGATTCTAAACGTTGTTGTTGTTCAGTCACCAAGTCATGTCCGACTCTTTGTGACCCCCTGGACTGCAGAACAGCAGGCTTCCCTGTCCATCACCTACTCCCGGAGTTTACTCAAACTCATGTCCACTGAGTCGGCGATGCCATCCAACCATCTCATCCTCTGTCGTCCCCTTCTCCTCCTGCCTTCAGTCTTTCCCAGCATCAGGGTCTTACATTGCTAACATCTTATTCTCTGGTTTAATTTATTTTTACTGGGGTACACTTGATTTACAATGTTGTGTTAGTTATTTGCTTTAGATTGCTGCAAATCAGGATGTGGCAGGAAAATTTGCTTTTGAGACAAAAAGGAAAAGACCTCCCACACAATAGCCCTTACCTTGTTCATAACAATTGAGCCTTCAGAGAAAGGTCAGCTGGCAGGACATTTTGTATTTGTTACCACTTTATACTCTTTAAAAAAAAACTGCATGTGTGTTAACGGGAATGTCAAATGAGGCATTCGGCCAGGGCCCCTGGGACTGTGTGTTCAGGAGCTTTATTTTAACTTTTTTTCTTGCCCTTTTTCTTGCCTGGCTATTGCTGTTTAATATTGATTTTGTCTTCTCTGTCAATGAACAGGACAAAATGATTAAAAAAGAGAGGAGCGTGTGTCAACAAACTCAGGCCCTTCTGCACAAGAATTTTCTTAGAAAATGGAGAATGAAAAAAAAGAGCTTGTTGGTATGGTTCACAATATATATCTTTCCATATTTGGTGAATGAAAGTCTGTCATTTAATATTATGCCATTTTTATTGCCTTTTTATGTTCACAAATTCTGTGGGCTAGTTGATTTGGAGTTCCCAAGGTAATGTTTTGCAAACGTTGCACAATAGCATAATATTTATGGCAAAAGATGCAGGCTCATATGTTTGCTCCTAAAAAGCAAAGTAGATAACTTTTCTTTGAACATAACTAGCCGTTCACCAAGTAAGTAATCCACTTGAATCTTGTGGAGTTATCCTGGTTTACCCCAGGCCAACTTTAGTGTAAGAAGAAAAGCGGGGCGGTGGGGGGGAAGCAAAATGAAGTAAACTTTAAAGGGTGAACCATAGTACTCTACTGGGGACGTTTAGACAAGATTCTGTGAATTGTTTTTTGTTTCATCACGAAGTCCTGACTGACTCTTTGCAACCCGCTGGGCTGTAGCCCGCCAGGCTCCTCCGTCCAGGGGACTCTCCGGGCAAGAGCGCTGGAGTGGGTCGCCATGCCCTTCTCCAGGGGATCTGCCCGACCCAGGGATCGAACCCGAGTTTCCTATGTCTCCAGCATTGCAGGCAGCTTCTTTACCACTGAGCCGCGAGGGAGGCCCTTGTTAATTCACAGGACTGGGGAAATTGCTTTTGAGTAACAATTTGGGAACGTGGGGGGATTTCTTTTGAAGATTATGCTTTTGCAAACTTGGAGGAGTTTCAGGGAGCCGGGTCACTGATTGTCAGCATCTTTGCCCTCTGTTTGGTTTCTGGTATAAGGTCAAGGCCATCAAGATGGGGATATTTGCTGTATGTTCTCATGAAATACACCTGGAGCTGCCTTGGCCACACCGAAGCTGTGTTCTGTTGAAAACTAGCAGTTCTTTTTTTTTTTTTTTCCCCTATTTTTAAAATTTTTTATTTAAATTTTTTATTTTTTTTTGAAGCACACAGGTCATCCTTAGCTCTTGAAGCATTCAGTTCTAATATTTTAGTTGCTGTGTTGATAAAGGGTAACCTTTACAGTGATAGTCCAAGTCAATTTTTGAAAAGCTTACGAAAATGTTTAAAATCTCAAAGGTAGAATGACTGGCCCAGTGAACTCACGTCCTGTCTGGTTCACCTACAACCGGGATTTGACACCTGTTAGCATCTGCCGCTGTGGCTTCACCTCGTCATCTCCCTCAGCTCCTCTCTTAGCACATATGACACGACCGCTGAAGGCTTCTGCTAGCATCCTCGAAAACCAAGGACAGGCTCCTTCGTAACCATTAGTGCGCTTTAGAAAGTTTGCGATTAAAAAAAAAAAGAAAGTTTGCGATAATTGTCATCTAATTCCATGTTGAGATTCAGTTTCCTAAAATTTCCTCTAAAATACCTCTTAAAATATTTTTCTGACTGTGTCGCCTCTGGGATCAAAGTGGGCGCTCGCGCCTGGCCCCTGAGGAGACGGGCGCGGCCTCCGCCCCCGGGCCCTGGAGCGCTCCCCAAAATGCCGCTTTATGTTGGTTCGTCCAAGCCCGTGAGCCCACAGCTGCCTCCCGTTGAACCCCCTCTTCTGTGTTGCCTGGTGCTATTCATGCTGTCAATTAATGCATCCCTTTACCACCTGCGTTCCTTTTCTATTTTTTTTAAACTTTTCTAATTAAACAACTTTTATGGAAGTACAGTTGATTTACAATAAGGGCTTCCCTAGTGGCTCAGTGGTAAAGAATCCGCCTGGAATGCAGGAGACCTGGGTTCGATCCCTGGGTCGGGAAGATCCTCTGGAGAAGGGCATTGCAACCCACTCCGGTATTCCTGCCTGGAGACCCCCATGGACAGAGGAGCCTGGCGGGCTACAGTCCATGGGGTTGCAAAGAGTGACGTGACTGATTTACAGTCATCTGCATTTCTTGTAAACAGTATTTACATTAAAAAAATAGATTTTTAACTTCAGGTTAAACCCTTTGACAAAAGTATGTCTTATGGGATGCTGTGTACTTATATTTTATCCATATGAGGGTGAATAATCGGGAGTATATGAGGGGTGCTATGATTCTAGGTTAAGATTAATGGACATACTTGGTGTTGTCTCAAAGCTATATTTGGAGATAAATCCATCCCACGTTTGCTATATATTTCAAATCTTTTTTGGAGATTAAAAGGTTTTTTTTTAACTGATGTATAGTAGCTGTACAATATTACATAAGTTCTTACAGGTGTCCAATGTAGTGATTCACAATTGTAATGCTCCACTTGTTACAGAACACTTGCTGTATTCCCCGTGTTGTACAATATATCCTTGTAGCTTATTTTACTTTATTTTTAATTTGTTTTCACTTGAAGGATAATTGCTTTATGGTGTTGGGTGGGTTTCTGCCGCACACCGCATGAATCCGCCTAGGTACACACGCGCCCCTCCCGCGTCAGCCTGCCTCGCCGCCCTGCCCGGCCCGCGCCTCCGGTGTCCCAGGGCCCCGGGCAGAGCTCCCCGAGTCAGGCTGCCTGGCGTGGGAAATGGCGGTCTCCTTACCCGACGGGTAGTAACTGAGAAGGGGGAGCGGGGCGAGTGACGTGAAGCCGAGCTCGGAGACAGTGCTCCCGCCTGTCCGAGAGCCCGCGATGACGTGGCCCCTTTCTCTTTTGTGCGCTGGAGGAGTGGGCGATGGTGCTGCTCCCGGGGCTGGCTCTCTGCCTCTTGACGGAGTTCTTCAGAGCTATGCATTTCCTGGAACAGCCGCCTCAGGTCCTGGGACGTGTGGATGAGTTTAATGACTCCGACCCGGTGTTGGTGGCCTACACCCCGGTCACTAACGTGACCCGGAGCATCATGGATAAGGTGGCTGCAGCCTCCTATATGAAAGGTGTGTGGTTCAGTGGCCCACGCTTCATTATTATGCAACCTATTCGCATTTAATTTGAAGTCTGTTTTGCAAGTTGAGTTTATTTACGCAGCCCGTGGGTCAGTGGTTTTCCACTGGGGCAGGATCCTCATTTCACACGGGGTGGAGGGCTTGGTGTGGAGCTCCAAGAAAGGGGAGGTTTCAGAGGAACAGAGATTTTGTTGTTCTTGTTCAGACACTGTCAAGTCTGACTCACTGCAACCTCATGGACTGCAGCACACCAGGCCTCAAGTCCTTCACCATCTCCCAGAGCTTACTCAAACTCATGTCCATTGAGTCCATGATGCCATCCCACCATCTCATCCTCTGTCTTCCCATTCTCCTCCTGCCTTCAATCTTTCCCAGCATCAGGGTCTTTTCCACTGAGTTGGCACTTCACATCAGGTGGCCAAAGTATTGGAGCTTCAGCTTCAGCATCAGTCCTTCCCGTGAACATTCAGGGTTGACTTCCTTTTGGATGGACCGGTTGGATCTCCTTGCTGTCCAAGGGACTCTCAAGAGTCTTCTCCACACCACAGTTCGAAAGCACCAATTCTTTGGTGTTCAGCCTTCTTTATGGTCCAGCTCTCACATCTGTACATGACTACTGGAAAAACCATAGCTTTGACTATCTGGACCTTTGTTAGCAAAGCCGTGTCTGTTTTTTAATATGGTAGACTCATTCATTATACATGTTATATGAGTTTAATTCTTACGATAGTGTTCTTGACTCCAAAGAGCCCGGGTGGGTTCTAACTTCACCTCTGATTTTGAACACTGATTCTTTGTATGCCGTTTATTACTTCTGGCATACATTTTCATATGATAGAAATCTGCTTATGATTTGGGCAGAGGAAAACCCACCAAATTCCAAAGCATTTCTACCGGTCATTTAAATTATTTTTAATTTTAAAATTATTTTAATTGCAAAAGTAACAGCCAACCTAAAACAAGTTAAGCAGTACAAACTTGTTTGAAGCAAACAATGAAAGCTTTTGCCTTCATTCAAGCCACCACTTCCTCCTCTAAAAATTTCTGTGTATCCTTCTAAGATAATACACACACACAAACACACACATGGTCACATATGTAGACATGTGTGCACACAGGTACACAAATTCAGTTTTCCTTGACTTCAGTGAGGATTATCATTATGCTAAATTATTGGGAACTGCTTTGCATACAGGGGAACCAGGGTTCCAAGTCTCTTAGCTAAGATTTTCATAAGCGGCAGAGGAGTTGTGTCCCGGCAGCCTTAACTCTAGGCTCTTTGCCCTCAGCTGGCATTCTCAGATTTAAAGATGCTAAGATGAAAGGAGCCAGATGCTTTTTCTCCCTCAATGAACTCAATAATTTGATTTACCCCAACCAAGGCCCCGCTCTGTCTAACTGAGGACCGGGTGCTGTTCTTGCTCCAAATTCAAGTCCTGGAGGATCGTCAGAGCAGCAGCCCTCTGGGCCATAAGGTTAGGGAAGTAAATCCTTAGACAAAGAAACAGGCCCGGAAGCTGATGCTCCCAGACATCCTTAAACCCCGTAGCAAGCCAGGACAGTTCTTGCTTGGAAAACACCATAGACAGAGGAACCTGGTGGGCTACAGTCTGTGGGGTCTCAAAGAGTCAGATACAGCTGAGCACACACACAACTGCTTTTTAAAAAGCCATATAGTTGACCCTTGAACCTCCGCGGGGCTAGAGGAACCTACTCTTCAGGAAGTTGAAGATCCGAGTAATTCCTCGTTGGCCCCTGTGTCTGTGTTTCCTCAGCGTCCGAGCTTCCTCCATTCAGGGTTCTACAGCCTCACATTCCACCAGTGCCCGGACAGTGCAGTAATGCAGCATTTACTTCGGGCAAAAATGGACATCTGGGGGGTCCCATGCAGCCCAAACCTCTGCGGTTCAGAGTCAGAGGCATATCGTTCACACCTTCTCACGTATTTACATGGAGCCTTAAGCAATAGGACAGTCTTGCAGCCCTCAGAGGCACCTGCTTGGTGGTGCCATAAGACATGGCAGCGGTGGGCTACGCCGGAGGCTCAGACGGTAGGCAGGAGACTGGCTCGGGAAGATGCCTGCAGGAGGGCAAGGCCACCCTCTCCAGCCTTCTTGCCTGGAGTATCCCGTGCACAGAGGAGCCTGGCGGGCTACAGTCCGTGGGGTTACAAAGAGTCGCAGGCGACTGAAGCAGCTTAGCACACACGCACCCATAGCACCAATAACTGGGTGGGAAACCTAAATGATTGCTATTGGTCTTGTGTCCTCTAGTAGTAAAGTTTATGTAATCAGTCCTATTTTTCACACCTGGCAGGAAGAACAATCCTTGGGATCCCTAGTGAAGACTCCATGGACAGAGTAGGTCCAAGGAACAACTCTGAGATGGTGGGAATTGTGTTCAACGACACTTTCTCGTACCGGCTGAAGTTCAGCTGGGGACACAGAGTCCCGATCGTGAGAGAGAACTTCGAGTACTCAGGTAACCACCGGGAACTGGTTGCAGTCGTCTTTGCTGCCTCGTCCAGCCCTCTATGGGAAGTGCCTGATGGAAATGTTAATAAAGTCAAGAAAAGAAGCAGTGTGCTTTTCATTTCCGAACTTCAGGGTGTTTTCCTTACAGGATGAGTCTCACTGTTTTGTCAGCCTTTTAAGGCTGCGCTCCTTTGGTGCAGTTTTGCTTTAAAAATGCTCTGGATTGTGTCATCCTGGACTTTGAGCGGGCTCTCAGAGAGTTCACTCTAGAACCAGGGTTAATGTTTTCATTCCGTTCATTGATTTCCGTTGCGTAATGACGTGCATGTTTTTCTTCTTTAAAGACCACTGTTTGGCTCTAGAGGATGAAGCTTTCTGTCTCCTGTCCACATACTGGGAAAGCGGGTTTGTGGCTTTTCAAACTGCAATTAATGCTGCAATTATAGAAGTAAGTGCCCAGCCTCAAGACCTGATTTAAATCTTCTGTACTTCTCCCCCATGTTTCATCCCTGCCTCCTCCTCCATCCTGCCCTCCTAGGAGAGGCTGCTCTGTTTCCTTCTCCAAGAAGTCGGAAGCTGTTGGAGGCATAGCCTCCCGCTTCCCAGCATGAACGATGCGGAACCACAGACCTGCCCCCTGCACCCGCTCTCCCTCCCCGTCCTTCCTGCCCCTCCTCAGTGCCAGGGCTGGAAACACGATCCTTGCCCACAGTACCAGAAAGGTTGCACAATGGGTTTTCCTGTCCACGACCTCTTTCTTCAGCTTCCCCTTTTCACCGAAATTCTCTTCAGTACTTAAAATGATCAGTGTCTTTCCTTCTTATCAAGGCCTTCTCCCATTCACAGTTCCTCAAACACCCTCTTTCCCCTCTTTACTTCTTGAAAGCATTGCTTCCTTTAAGCTCAACTCAACTCAATAAAATTCCTATTCCCACCATGCCACCAAAATGATTTTTCTGAGGTCAGTAGCAACGCTCATGTCCATTAACACGTGACATTTTCCTTCCTTGTCTTTCCTGGTCTTCTAACTAAATATCACAGCATTCACCTGGTTTTCCTTCACTTTTCGAGCAATTCTTCTCAGTGTTCTTGCAATCTTACCCATCGTTACACTCCCAGCTCTTTCAATCTGTAGTTCTACAAGGGTCTATTCAACGTGTTTTTCTCCATACTTTCTCACACGGTGTCATCCTTTACCATAAATTTATTTACAGTTTGCATGCTGATAACTGTAAGAACTCTGCTTTAATTGTTGACCAGTAAACTTGTCCTTTAAAGGACCAGAGAGCAAGTATTCTGCGGTCTGGGGGCCAAACAGTTTCTGTTGCAAATACTCAACTTTCCATTTTTAATGTGGAAGCACTCATAAACCAATGTGCGTGACTACATTGCAGTAAAACTATTTACAAACACAGGTGATGGACAAGGTTGGCGCCACTGTAGTCCTGAGTAGCTGACTATTTACCTTGATGCCCCATAAACAATTCAGATTTCTATGTTCAAAACTGAATGTGGGAGTTTTTCTTTACACATGACCGAGCCTTTAAAAAATTTTCTCTATCTCATGCATGCATGCTCAGTCGTGTCCAACTCTTCGATACCCCATGGACTGTAGCCCACCAGGCTCCTCTGTCCATGGGGATTCTCCAAGCCAGAATGGGTTGCCATCTTCCTGACCCAGGGATTGAACCTGCATTGCAGGTAGAATCTTTACCCACTGAGTCACCTGGGAAGCCTTTTCTCCATCTCCAGTGAATGCCAAGGCCAGTCACTTAACTGGGGAGTTATCAGGGATCACTTCCTCTGCTTCACCATTACTCTTCTCTCTCACCCAGCCCTGTTAATTGTAAGCTCAGCTCTAGTCACCTCTCTTCAATTCTGCCACCAGTGCGTATTCAGGTCATGGTCATCTCTTGCCTGAACTGTGAGAGTCATTTATGTATCCAGCCTCATCTTCCTCCCTCCACCTCTATCTCACCATATTTTAAGCTGCTAGAAATATATAAATTCTTCTATATGAAAATGAGAAAAAAAACTGTGGTTTTCTAGTCTATTTCTTCTATAGTTAACCTAATGCATTTGTTTGTTAACATCCCTATTTAGGTCACAACGAATCATTCTGTGATGGAAGAGTTGACATCAGTTGTTGGAATAAATATGAGGACACCCCCTTTCATTTCTAAGGGAGAAATTGTAAACGAATGGTTTATTTTTATTTGTATTATTTATTTCTCCCCTTTTGTGTATGTTGCATCATTAAACATTACAAAGGAACGAAAAAAATTTAAGAAGCTGATGACAGGGATGGGTCTTCGACAGTCAGCATTTTGGTGAGTTACCTGTGTATCCCACGTTAATACCTGGGGGAACTCATTGGAAAGGACCCTCATGCTGGGAACGATTGAAGGCAAAAGGAGAAGAGGGTGGCAGAGGATGAGATGGTCAGATAGAATCGCTGACTCAAAGGGCATGAGGCTGAGCAAACTCCGGGAGATGGTGGAAGACAGAGGAGCCTGGTGTGCTGCAGGCCATGGGGTTGCAAAGAGTCAGACACGACTTAGCGACTGATCGGCAGTGATAATGTTAATTTTAACATTTGTTGTGTGTTTGTTAAGATACTTTTAATAATTGCTAGGCAAAAGTCTTCATGGGCATTATTTCATTGAATCCTCAGAACAACCCTATGAGATAGTTAACACAGTCACTCCTGTTTTACAGACGAAGTGTGAAAAGAGACCTGCCCCGATCACACAGCTAGAGGGCACAGAGCCACACGTTTATAGCCGACCTGACCCCGGTCTGTTCGTTTTCGGAACGTGTGCTCTGGACTCTTGTACACCACCTCTCACGTGTTTGCGCACGTGCGACATTCTGAATTAATTCTCTGTTTCTACTGTAGGCTCTCCTGGGCATTGATGTATGCTGGCTTCGTCTTTATTGCATCCATTTTTATGAGTCTGGTCATAAAATTATTCCAAATGATTATCCTTACTGGATTCATGGTGCTAGTCACGCTTTTCACTCTGTATGGCCTGTCTTTGGTGAGTTGGCAAAACATGCTTTTCTCATCCTACAAGTCTCAGATATATAAGCCAGTACCATGTTTCTTCAGGATATTGGTAGCCTAGAGCTTCTCATTTTTGTATTCTGGTTTCTGTATGTTTTGGTTCATGTGATGAACGAGTGAATATTGCTAGTTGTGATTCTCAGCGGGAAAAATATACCCCCTGGAACTTTTCTTTCTTCCTTCAGATAGCACTGGCTTTCCTTCTCTGTGTGCTGATAAAGAGACCCATCCTGACCGGCGTGGCAGGCTCTCTCGTCACCGTGTTTTGGGGCTGTCTGGGCTTCACTGCACTGTACAGTCCGCTCCCGTCATCACTGGGGTGGGCTTTATGTCTGTTCAGCCCTTTTGCCTTCACTGCTGGAATGGCTCAGGTAAGAACACAGCCATCTAGTGACTATTTATTAGAGTTTCAGCATTATTGAGACAGTTTGGTACTTCCTCAAGCTTAATGATCAATCACCCTGCATTTAAAGAAATTATGCTATTGAAAAGTTAAATAAAAAATCTTATCGGGACTTCCCTGGTGACCCAGTGGTTAAGACTTCACCTTCCAACGCAGGGGGTACAGGCTCCATCCCTGGTCGGGGAGCTAGGATCCCACAGGCCTCTCAGCCAAAACTAGAAAAGCAAAAAGAAAGCATAAAACCGAAAGAATGTTGTAACAAGTTCAATAAAGAATTTGAAAATGGTCCTCATCCAAAAAAATCTTAAAAAAAGGTCTTATCAGAGTTATCAAACAGATCATTTGTAAACTCTTAGGAAAATTAAATGAGAAAAATAATTGCTCACGGTCTGAGCGGGGCGCGGGGCCGGGCCCCATGAGTTAGAGTCAGTCCTGTCCCTTCCCGCGGAGTCCCCCTGGGCGGGTCACCGGGCTTCTGGGGCTTCTCGCTGCTCGTCTGCAAAGTCAGGATGCTGGAATCGAGCTCATGGGTAACTGTGCTGTTATTTATGTGTGAGGCTAGAACAACGCAAGGTGAAGCTTAGCTATGATCTTCGCCATCTGTTTTATCTTTATTACCCTTAAAATCACCCTCCTCAAGTCTCCAGTACTTATCTAGTGTTTTAACACGTCTGCAGCATGCTGATTTTCATACTTCCTTCAAAAGGCCTCTCACTTCCCTGCCCTCTCTGGGTTTCTCTTCCCAGAATATATTATTTTTGGTTGCTTTCCCACTTCTCTAAATCCCCTTCCTGAAGATTTCTGATTAATGAATCAATTAAGTTTCTGTTCTTCAATTGTCCTACATTTTATTTGTCAAAAGCAACGTTGCTACTCACAACTTCACCATGCATTTTTTAAGGAAAAGGAATATTAAAATTAAAATTGTATTTGCTTATGCAACTTCATTAAAAGAACTTCAGTTTTATAGGTTTACCTAACTTTGACTGTAATTTATTCTGTGTGGTCTCAGATTTCACATCAGGAGTATCACATGAGTGCTGTTGTTTTCCCTGATCCCTCTGGAGAGTCATACACAATGATAGTGATTTTCTTCCTTCTGGCATTTGACACTCTGCTCTACTTAACATTTACGTTATATTTTGAGCATGTTTTGCCTGGTAAGTAATAGTGTGATGTCATTAGAGTTGAATTTAAAGTAATTCTGTGTCTTGAAAAGTGGTGTCCAGTTCTTTGTTGACTTGTCATTTTAAAAGCATTTCTATTTGCAGAGGAAAGGAAAAACATCCAAAACAGTAATTTCCTCATTTTCATCTCACTGTTTAATGATCCGAATGGGACTGTTTTGTTGAGACATTTTAATGAAAAACCACTTGCATTTCTGTTGGTTTATATCTTTTATAAAAGTAAGAAGTAAAGAGTGTGTGTGTGTGTGTGTGTGTGTGTGTGTGTGTGTGTGTGTATTAACTGGGGAGAGGAAAGGAGACACTTATATCAACCATTAGAGAATACTGCTTTTTAGCACTTGAATTCACAGCCATAAGATAAGATAGCTCATTACATCATTCCTGCTAATATTTGGCTCTAGTAAACTTGTTCTTCTGCATCTCAAAATATTAACATTTACGGTGCAATGTTAATGGATAACTTCTTCTCTTGTTCCTTTTGTGAAAAAAATCAGTCTAACGGGAATGCTTTATATAATGTTCTACAAATAAAATAATAAAATAAACTCTTCAACCAACTTATAAGTAATTATTATAAAACTCAAGTGTAGTCTACACACACAATCCCAGGAGCTAATACATTTGTATTTCCTTTTGTGTGTGTGCTCAGTTGATAAGTCATGTCTGACAGTTTTGTGACCCTGTGGACTGTAGCCTGCCAGGCCCCTCCATCCATGGGATTCTCCAGGCAAGAGGACTGGAGTGAGTTGCCATTTCCTCCTCTGGGGGATCTTCCCGACTCAGGAACCGAACCCAGGTCTCCTGCGTTGCAGGCCAATTCTTTACTATCTGTGCCACCAGGGAAACCCCTTGGTGGCATAGGCAATTTAACTATATGAAAAGACTTGTTCTCCAATACTTCCATCTAGAATTTATTCCTATTTTAATAGGCAGCATTTCTGTTCTTTCTTGTTAAGTCCTCCACGTGTTCATAATTAGTATGCTTTTCTTTTCTGAATAAAATGAATACGCGTAAAGATCCACGTACCTACCAGTTTTTATGTCCCCACTTTTTTCCTTGCCTTTTCACAGCGCGGCTTCCCTTTCTGGCTTGCTCACCGCTGGCTGTTCTCAGCTCAGGTTCATCCTCGAGCCTGTCCCCTTGCCCACATTCAGCTTCTGAAGCCTCATCGCACTCTTCTTTTTGTCTCTCTCTTCAAAGACCCTTGTTTTCCAGCTCTGGTTTCCCCTTATGTTTCCCTCCACGTCCCCAGCATCTTTCTTTTCCTTCGAGCAGTTCCATATTGTGTCCCCCGCATCAGTTCCTCTCATGGTGTGGCCCTTGTTCGAGCTTATCCCCTTGTATCTGCTTACAGTGATGGCTTGTAATACAACATGACACGTAGAAACTCTGTGTTGCTGTAGTTCTCCTATAGTCTCTGGAAAAGTCTATTGAATTTCCTCTTCTTGTCACCAGTAAATTCATGTTTCGTGGATATATCATTAAAGTTCCATCTCATTTTATTTTCTCTGATGCTTTAGATCCATAGCTGCCCTTTCTTTTAACTGTTGCTCTATATTCTCATTTCTTATCATTAGAATATAAGTTCATTTAAATGTCAAATATTTTCATTGATTCTACCATTCATGTAAGTTCACTGGTGGCTCAGTGGTAAAGAATCCACCTGTCCACACAGGAGATGCAGGTTTGATCCCTGGGTCAGGACGATCCCCTGGAGCAGGAAATGGCATCCCACTCCAGTGTTCTTACCTGGGAAATCCCATGGAAAGAGGAGTCTGGCGGGCTACAGTCTATTGGGGTCATAAAGACTTAGACACGACTTAGTGACTAAACAACAAAAATAGCAAAAAGGAGGGATGTGGAGAGAAAATTGGAAGAAGGCAGTCAAGAAGTACAAAATTCCAGTTATAAGATATATAGTATCCATGCACACATGATGACTGTAGGTAACATGCTGTATGATATCTAGAAAAGCTGTTAAGAGAATAAATCCTGGGTTCTCATCACAAGGAGAATTTTTTTTTCCTTTTCTCATCCTATCTCTATGAGATGAAGGATGTTAGCTGAACGTGTTGTGGTCATCATTTCACACTATTTGTGAATCAAACCATTATGCTGTACTCCCTAAACTTATATAATTATGTATGCCAATTATTTCTCAATAAAACTGGAAAAAATGAATAGGAGTCATTAATGTGTAGAAAAAATTGCTATCAAGCCACACGGTGACAGGTGCAGTTCTTCACTGATGCTGTTTGCTTGATTCAACATGGAATCATGTCTTTATGGCTCAGATGAAAATGGCCAGCGGCATTCGCCACTGTTTTTCCTCAAGTCTTCCTTTTGGTCCCAACACAAAAACACTCACCGTGAAGTCTTCGGGAATGAAATGGATTCTGAGCTCTCCTGTGATGATTCTTTCGAGCCAGTGTCTCCAGAGTTCCACGGAAAAGAAGCCATAAGGTGACTAACAGTTTGTGTGGCTCCATGCACGTTGAGGTAAAAGTGTGATAAATTCACTTGCCGCAAGGACAACCACTGGTCAAATGTTATGGATGATGTGGTTTTTAAAAATTAATTTATTTTTAATTGAAAGATAACTGCTTTACAGTATTGTGTGGGTTTCTGCCATACATCAGTGTGAATCAGCCCCAGGTGCCCACACGTCCCCTCCCTCCCACCTCCCTCCCACCCCCCACCCCATCCCACCCCTCTAGCTTGTCACAGACCACCGGTTTGAGCCCCAAGTCAGGCAGCAAATCCCCATGGCTCTGTTTCACAAAGGAGCGTGTGTGTGTCAGAGCCTCTGTCAACACTTCCCACCCTTTCCTGCCCCCAGTGAGGCCACAAGCCTGTTCTCTGTGGCCGCGTCTCCCTGCTGTCCTGCAGATGGGCTCATCAGTACCATCCTTCTAGATTCCACAGATATGCGTCAACATGCGGTATTTGTCTTCCTCTTTCTGACTTACTTCACTTTCTGTAATAGGCTCTAGATTCATCCACCTCGTTAGAGCTGCCTCAAACACAGTTCTTACAGCTGAGTGATATTCCATTGTATGTATGTACCACAACTTCTTTATCCATTCCGGATGATGTGCTTTCATTCTTTAAAAAATTTTTTTTAAAATTACAGTATAATTACTTACAGTATTGTGATGGGTTTTGCCATACATCAACATGAATCAGCATGAGTTGATGATGTGTTTTTGAAAGTTCCTTTCTTTCAGATATTTTTGCTTTCATCCTGAAAGATTTAATAATTAGTAGCTTCATGACTTTCTGGTAAACTCTGAGCTCTCCAAGCCTCATTTCTTCCCAAGAAATGTGTGAGGTAATTCCACAGAACAGTGACTTCTTCTTGAATCAGTGAGATAATTAAGCAATATGTCTGTTACATAAAAGGAACTGTGCATGTGTCAATTTATTATCCATTTGGATTTGATATCCATGTACAGATATATAATAGAAAGCTGTGTTTGTAAATCTGAAGCTTTGAAGAAAGGTCTAAAGACACAGATTTGAGAATGAGAATTTTGGTAAGAGAGGAAGCAGAAAGAGGGGGTGGTACCGTATGGCAAAGATCTGAGAATAAGAAAAGGAGTTGGTCAGTATAGAGTCTGTAAGGAGTCCATATGGTATGCCCAGAAGGGATATGAGAACGAGGTGGAAACCAGAAGACAACAGAGCTGCGAACAAGAAGACAAGGGTGTGCAATGGTCAAGTCGGTGATGAGGTTTATGAAACAAGGGCTGAAAAGCGACCACTGGGTGTGCTGCTTGGGACGTCATGGGTAACTTCACTGAGAATGGCTTCAGTAGCGTGGTGGAGTCCCAGGCTCTGCGTCTTAGGTGGGGAATGAAGGCGGGGACAAGAAATGAGACAGAGAGCAGAAACTACTATTATTTTGATAAATTTCCCCGAGGAAGAGGGAACGATTGAATAATCAAGAGAGGGAAGCCTCTCTCCGCCGCCCCCCTCCTTCGCTTCTTGCTGACTCTCTTCCCACAGTAGCTCCCCCTCATTTGCTAACGCAGCTGGAAGGCATGAAATGCCCGTGTGGTGAGATCTGAGCCTCCCTGGAAATCCCTCTGGGTGTGGCAGGGGCTTTTCCCTCCTCTTCCCGTTAAGATGGATCCTCTTACCAGTTTGCTGGAAGCCCATCCCGCCTCCATCCCCTCACTCAGCCGGTATTCCCACCATGCTCCTGAGAACTCGGACAATAAAGCGCTCCTTTGGTGAAGTTTAAGGTCAATCATGAGTGGTAGTGTTGGCAGGTAGCGTCATCTGTGTCATTAGAAACTATTCACCTCATAGTTGCTCAATCTTCTTTCAGAATCAGAAATCTTAAAAAAGAATATAAAGGAAAGCACGAAAAAGTAGAAGCATTGCAAGGTAAAGAAAACAGCTTCAAATTGTTTTGATGTTTCTAATTTGAAATGTTTTTCGTTTCTTAAAAATACAAATAGTCATAATGGAAAATTAGAGAATGAATATAAATAAAAGGAAAATTTTTTTTTAATTTCTACTATGATGCATAATCACTAATACATATTTTTCTATGTATGGATGAGACATTCTAAGAAATGGGATTGTACTAATCATGCTGGTGTATAATCTTTGACTCTACCTTGGAGCATCGCCAGATTTGTTGGTATTAATATTTTCATAGGGCTTTCATCATCTGTTCTGGGCTGTGTTTTGCTTTATTTTTTATTCTCTCACAATTTAACCCCACAATTTACATCTTCAGGGAGTCCCTTAAAAATTCTGGGATGCTCATAGAACTCTTTGCTGTTTCTCAATGGCATTAGATAATTTTTCAAATGTTAAAACATTGTCAAATTGTAAGCATGCATGTATGAAGATGCCTGTGATGCGTGCTGGATCCCAGCAGCCCTCTCTGAGACCACATCCACACTGGTGATAGATCAGAGCTGACTGGTGCCAGGGCAGCTTCAGCACCCTGTCCTTACGGACCCCCTTCCCTGCTAAGATAGAGTAGACAGCATACGCTGCTCCTTTGCCTCTGGATCTGGCTCTGGGACCCTCAGCGAGACTGCCTCTTAACAGAAATGGAGACTTGCCTTTGTCCAGGAGGTACTAATACATACTCTGCTTCCTCTGTTTTTATCCTCATATCTCTGGCTTTATTCTCTAATATTAATGTATATATCCCTTGACCTTCAAAGTATTTGTGGTAGGGAGGAAAGTGGGAATTTATATTCCCAGTCTTGATCTAATTTATTCAGAGGAAGTGATGCTTTGTCTTCATAAATAGACACAAGTAGATATATAATTATACAGAAGTCATATTAAAATACAGTGAAATGAAATGAAGTGCTGAGGTACACTTTACTCTTTTAGTTTTTTTTTTTTTTTAAGGCCTACTTCATTGGCGTATAATCCAAAGTCTAACTTTCACATTTTATCCTGAAATAGGCATATGTCTTGACATCTATGAAGGCCAGCTCACGGCAATTCTTGGACACAGTGGAGCTGGTAAATCCTCTCTGCTGAGCATCCTTAGCGGCTGGTCTGTTTGCGCCGAAGGTGAGAAGAGACTTTCACAAACCAAGGTGGCTGATAAAACAGCTTCCTCACTCTGATTATGTGAAAGAAAAATGTTTCTCTGAAAGAGGCTTTTTGCAAAGTTGAGCCATTTAAAATGAGAAATGTTTATTTCGTGTTTACATAAATTATAAAGCTTGTATCTCTTTTTCACTATTATTTGTCATTCCGTGTCTACTTCGCATTGCTCTGGACAATAGTATTTATGTCGAGAATAATCTGCATCTTTTCAATGTATTAATTATGTAGCTATAAAATGGGAGTTTCTTCAGTGAATATCCTATATTATCACTCTCTGCATAGAGTTAATATCCTGGTGTTAAAGACCTACATTTTTTTTATCTATAGGATCTGCCACTATTTACAACACCCAACTCTCTGAAATAATGAACATGGAAGAAATCAGAAATTATATTGGATTTTGTCCACAATTTAATATCTACTTTGACTTTCTCACTGTGAGAGAAAACCTCAGGCTATTTGCAAAAATAAAAGGGATTCCACCAAAAGCAGTGGAACAAGAGGTAGATGCACGTATTAGAATTGATGACTTTGGAAATAATTTACTTAGTTTGCTCCTGATCATATTTTTGTTCAACTATTACTTTACTCTTTGATAAATAAAAATTAATGGAGTTCTAGAATAAGTTCTTTCTAACTGTTAGCAAATTAAGACTGCTTCAGGTAAAATATTTTCTATTAATGTGGTGTTTTTGATAGGTAAAAGGAGTTATGATGGAATTAGACATGCACAATATTCAAGATGTCATTGCTAAAGACTTAAGTGGTGGACAGAAGAGAAAACTCACATTTGGGATTGCCATTTTAGGAGATCCTCAAGTAAGAGATAAAAATATCTTTGAGATTAATTTGGATCGAAGGGTGTAAAATGATTATTAAAGTCCAGACTGCATTTTAGTTGCCAAACGTGAGAGAAAATTTATAATAAAGGGTCATGCAAGCCCGTTAGGGATCTGATGAAGGACTGTTTGAATGCAGACGTCATACTGGGTTCCGTGTTGTTTTCTGAAGAGCCTCTCTAAACGGAAGATGCTCTAGCGTGCTCTCCACTGCAGGCTTTGCTCCTGGACGAGCCAACTGCTGGACTGGACCCTTTCTCAAGGCACCTCATTTGGAACTTCCTGAAGGAGAGGAAAACTAACCACACGATTGTGTTTAGTACCCAGTTCATGGACGAGGCTGACATCTTGGCTGGTGAGTCTTGGTTTCTTTATACTGACTTGGTATTCAAGGGCTTAATATGAGAGAGATTCTAACTCCTGTTGGAAAGAAGAGAATCTCAATTGCCACGCCTTTGAGAGAGGGCATCCGAAAGTGGCACTTGGCCTCCAGGGCATTCTGACCCCCCAGTGAGTTCTCAGACTCACAGTTTATGTATCTTCCTGTCTGTAACTTTCTGGGATGTTTGTATTAATCACAAGTGCATATTTTTAAAAATCTGAAATGCCAGTGTTACTTTTTATGTATGTGTGTGTGTGCTAAGTAGCTTTAGTCGTGTCCGACTCTTTGCGACCCCATGGACTGTAGCCCGCCAGGCTCCTCTCTCCATGGGATTCTCCAGGCAAGAGTACTGGAGTGGGTTGCCGTGCCTCCTCCAGGGGATCTTCCTGACCCAGGGACCAAATCCACGTCTCCTGCACTGGCAGGCAGGTTCTTTACCACTAGCACCACCTGGGAAGCTCTATTATGTATCTGTGTGTGTGTGCGTGTTTGTATATATGGGTATACAAAAATCTGTGGCTTCCCACTGAAGTAGCTTAGCACATGCACATACAAAAATATGTATTTTTTTGTTGAGTAGAAAGGAACATTGAGCTGGGAAAAACTTTTTTAAATTTGCAGTCCTTTGGTGCCTTTCTATGGAGATCCTTTCCTTACTGAATGAGGTGTTGGGTATGAAGACTGGAGAATTAGAGATACAGCAAACATTTGCCTTGGAAATCGTGGCAGGTGGGGAGGACTTGTTTCAGTGAGGCAGGAGATCATGTAGAGAAGGAATCTGGGGAAAATGAAGTCACAAAGGGTCTCAGGGAAGGGAGAGAAATGTTTGCTGTTGATGTGCCTTATAAGAGTATCTGAAGTCTCGCCCATGAAATCGAGGTTAGATAGGCTTTATCTGTTGTGTCAGTTATCTCCTGCCGCAAAAGTGCTGTCACGAGCCATCTCGAAGCTCAGTGCCTCAATCGATAAGCATTTACTTGGTCCATGTATTGGAGAGTTGGCAGTTGAGCTGGGGATTGAATGGCCATTGGCTTTTGTTTTTGTTGCTAAGTCATGTCCTACTGTTCGTGACCCCATATGGACTGCAGCACGCCAGGCTTCTGTCCTCCACTGTCTCCTGGAACTTGCTCATATTCATGTCCATTGAGTCGGTGATGCCATCCAACCATCTCATCCTCGTCGTCCCCTTCTCCTTCTGCCCTCAATCTTTCCCAGCATCAGAGTCTTTTCCAATGAGTCGGCTCTTTGCATCAAGTGGCCACAGTTTTGGAACTTCATCTTCAGTATCAGTCCTTTTAATGAATATTTAGGGTTGATTTCCTCTGCAAGGGTAACTTAGGTAACTCAGCCCCCTGTAGGTGTATTACATCTTCTAGGAGTCATAGTCCAGGCAGGTTCTCATGGCACTGATTGAGCCTTAAAAGTGCAAGACCCAATGCATAAGCCCATTTCAAGCCTCTCTGTGCCCAGGTCACCACTGTCAGTCACATGCTGGAGGCTGGGGGCAAGCAGCGGCATCTAGGAACTCAGTGCTACCGAGGTTGCATTCACCCACCCTGAAAAATCCAGCCAGTTTTGGTCTCCAGAGTAGAGAATGTTCCATATAAGGAATTTGCAAAATTTATTCTTTCTCTCTTTCTACTCAGATAGGAAAGTGTTTCTGTCTAACGGGAAGCTCAGATGTGCAGGGTCGTCTTTGTTTCTGAAGCGGAAATGGGGTATTGGATATCATTTAAGGTAATGTATTCTGGGTGTTGTTGTTGATAAGACTGTATCCACAAGAGAGATGATCATATTGTAATTCCATGTAATCCTTTAGAGCTGTAAGAAAAGTCAGCTTCACTTGGGGAGGGGATTGATTTACAAAAGACACTACGAAACATCTCCCTCCTTAACATTTTCTTATTGGTTACACCTTGGTTTTAAGCATGCAAATTTCTAAAAATGTCTGTATCTTTCAATACAACATTTCTGACAATATTTATAAAGGAAAAATCTGCAGTTGTGTCCCCCTAAAAGCAGTTGATCATTTTTAATAAAACGGTTTGTCTCAAAAGTCTAAAATTGTATTCCAAATCCACTTCCTAGAATGTCAGAACCAGTTACTGATGTTAGCAGGATGTGCCTGTAATGTATACAGAATGTTTAACCAAAAACTGTCTTTTTGTGAGCAGTCGTTTTGGAGACGGGCTTGAAGGACTCATGCCTCTTTTGAAAATTTAGTTTACACAGGAATGAAAGGTGCAATACAGAGAGAATCACATCCCTCATCACACAGCACATCTCAGATGCCAAGTTAACCGCAGAAAGTGAAGAAAAACTTGTGTATGCGTTGCCCCTGGAGAGAACAGACAAGTTTCCAGGTAACAGACTGTGTGATCACATAGAATACAGCCACTGGTCCACGGTGACGCTGACTGCATTTTCCGCAGTTCTCCAAGCTGTGCTCTAAAGCTTCTACACCAAAGTATTCATAAGTACTCTCCCTCCCATTTCTAATGTAACGGAGTGTGTTACTTACACAGGGTTTTGATGAGAGAGCAACTAAGTTTCCCTGAATGTAGTCCACTGAGAAACTCGGGTTTGCTCTCTTCATCAGCATTAAACAAAGCTTCGACTTATATCTTTTCGGAAACAGCAGAAACCTTTTATTTCTATTTGAGATACAGGCTCAATAAACCTTATTTTTAAAACATTTATAAGCAGGTCTGTAGTTTCTTGGTAAATTATAATTTTAATTATGAATGTCAGATACTGATTATAAAAAAAATTTGGGAAGTACAAAGAAGAAAATTCAGTTTACTCCATGCCTCCTGAATTTTTATTTTGAATTTTTTTGAGTTTTTAAATAGACATACAAACACACACATGGACATAGCAGTGCAGGAGATTTTAAAGTTTGTGGAACTATAACAGAGATGTAAAATAACAAAAATGATTTGAAGGACAAGAGAACACCTTATAGGAATGTTTTTCTTGAATTGCTGGTATCTCTAATGTGAAAACATTTTCAGATTTATCTGTCTTGAGTAATTGTTAGAAATTAGTGTTTTAGTGTACTCTTTACCAATAATAATTGCATTGTTTTGTTACTCTGCTTTTTAGATCTTTGCAGAGACCTTGAAAACTCTTCCGACCAGGGCATAATGAATTTTGGTGTTTCCATGACAACTCTAAGTGAAGTATTCTTGAACCTAAAAGGCAGATCAGCAATTGATGAGCCAGGTATAAAAATGTGTGTCTAGAAGGAAATTAAGGAAAAAGAAAATGACCATGAGTTAATTCATATTTATCTTCTGTGGAATTCTAACTAGAAGGTGAATTAGGCATAAAGGGGGCCATCCACCTTTTAAGGTATCGTAAACGTTTGATAGTAACATCTTCAGGCTTGGGACCAGACCCGTCTCCTTGTGACTCTGTGCACCTCCCCTGTCGGTTCTAATCTCTTCCCTCTGCGACGCCCACCACTGTCCCTCCGTAGTTCTCTGCTAACATCCTAAATCCGGGTTTTGTCTCTTTCTCGCCATTCCCTGTAAGAATGTTCTCTTGCCTAGCTAACCAACTCATTCTAATTAACATATTCATGGCAGATAATTAAATAAGATGTTATCTTCCCTTACTTTATAATAATAACTATTTGAAGAATTTAGAAGCCTACTATGTACCAGCCACAGTGCTCAACTGTTGGATTCTGTTTTTTTTTTTCTTTTAAACCTGATTTTATTTTTATTCTTTAAAAGCATTTATTTATCTGTGGCTGCATGGGGTCTTCGTTGCTGTGTGTGGGCTCTCTAGTTGTGGCGAGAGGGGCCTGCTCTCCAGTGTGGGGCACGGGCTTCTCCTTGTGGCGGCTTCTCTTGTTGCAAAGCATGGGCTCTGGGGCACAGGCTCAGTTGCCCCAAGGCTTGTGGGATCTTCTCGGATCGGGGATCGAACCCGTGTCCTCTGCATTCCAAGGCAGAGTCTTAATCACTGGCCCACCTGGGAAACCCAGGATTCTGTTGTTCTTAATCCCCATAAATGACTTTATTTATATTATGACGTAGGTGAGAAAGTGAGATTTACACATTTGAACGATTAGCCACAATCATACAGCTCAGGTGTGGCGTGGTGGGACTCAAACAGGAGGTCTTCATGGACTTTCTCTAACTTAACACCACGGTGTCTTGAAAAAGTCACTGACTGTCAACCATCAGTGATAAATTGATCTCTGGAGGAGACGAAGGAAGGAGGAGAATTTTTAGGAAATTCGGCTGTGGAAATTTATCATGGTGTTTTTGCATAAGACACGCTCTGCAAAATTCCCTCAGTGAAGAGCTTTCACTACAGATACAAATGAAGTCATGCTTCTCTAGACGCTGAAACCATGTCCTCAAACTGACTCACTCCCTCACTGAAAGTGCATCCATTACATTTGTTTGAAGGAAAGATTTGAATGTAAAAGTTATGGATATCAGTAGCTGATGTGTTAGAAGTGTTGTTTCAAATGGTCTAACATCATTTCTCAACGTTTCTAAAGAGAAACCGTTCTAAAGAACGTAACCTCTGGTAACAGTTTATCACATGGCTACAGACCCCGGTGTCGGCGGACCGGCGGGGATCAATGTGAGCCCAGGCTCCGGCGTGGAGTCTGAGGTCCAGCAGACGCTGTGTGCCCTTCCTGAGGCGAGAAGGGCCGGCAGCTCGGCAGCTCTGTGGAGACGACAGGTCTGTGCGGTGGCCAGACTCCGCTTCTTAAAGTTGAGGAGTGAGAGGAAGATTTTCCTGTCCTTGTGAGTGTCACACTTTTTTTAAAAAGTTTTTGTTGTTGTTGTTGTTGTTATTTTTAAAATATTCATTCCCTTGCTTACTCTCGTCTGCGTGGGGGCCCAGCCGCAGCGTGCGGTCTCTCCCTGTGGCGAGCTGGCTGCTCTCTGGCTGCAGCACTCGGACTTAGTTGCCGCAAGGCATGTGGGATCTTAGTTCCCCGACCAGGGATTGAGCCCGTGCCCTCTGCATTGGAAGGTGGATTCTTAATCACTGGCTCGCCGGGGAAGCCCTTATCAGACTCTTCAAGTCTCTTTAGTCCGTATATGCAAAAAAGGTCCCTATGTCAAGAAAATAAGTCTATTGATTTCTTCATTCATGTAATAGGTTTCTTTTGAGTGCCTGCAGTACCGTCCTGCAGTGGTAAATACCACTGAAAAGGCCTTGAGACGTACGATCTGTCAGGGGGAAAAGCACCAATTAAGTAGCTCCCTGATAACCATGCTGTTTGTTCAGTACAACACACATCTTTACTGAAGCCTATGAACTGTTCTACAGTTGTTCTACTTGCTTCGTTTGAGTAAGATCTGTGCCCTTCTGGTAGTGTTTACCTTCTGATTGGGGGAAAAGGTAAAAAATGATCAATGTAAAAACTAAATACATTATATAATAGTTTATACAAAGCAGAGTAGACCAAGAAGCTGGGGAGGGAGTTAGCATTCATTCTCAATAGGTTGGGTCAGTGTTGGTCTCATTGAAATGGTCACCTTTGAGCCAAGACTAGAGAACGTGAAGGGATTAGCAACCAAGTGGTGGAGAATGACGGCTCAGAACCAAAAGCATCTGTTTTATTTAGCAAAAGGGAGGTCCTTCAGGTTTTACGAAGAGAAAGCCTGAACGTAAATAATGGTTGTGAGGTGCTTGACCACAGAGGGAATTTCTACTGTTCTTTCTATGACCAGTAGCTGAAGGGAGACTGCAGTCAGAAGGAAATTTCATTATTTCTTTATGAAGAGAGAACATGCTTCAGTGATGATGGGAATAAGCCAGTAGCAGGAGCGTCATGGAGGATGAAGGAAAGATGAGCTCAGTGTGGGAGGTCTCGGGAGTGGCGAGGAGCAGGTCCAGAGGAGCACTGAGGCCCGGCCTCTGATGTGAGTGTCGCCCGTGACACCAGAGGGGTGGAGTGGGGCCTCGGGCACGTCCCTGGATCTGTCTTCTTCGTCGTTGATAAGACCGGAGGGAGGTTCTCTCTGGTGGGCTTCGTCGTTCTTTCTCTAGGAGCTGTGAGGCTGATAACGAGTCTGAGGTCTGACAGGAAGGGGATTTTTGAAAAGAGTGGACGCGCATACTTGCTAGTGAAGCAGAAAGATGGCTTGGAAGTATTCACTCAAGGTTGGTGGAGTGAGCTCTAGGATCTGAAGCTGGTGTATTCAGTATTGCATCTAGTTTCATCATAGTTAAGATACATGTCAAGTAACAGCGGGCAGAAGGTCAAGTTTTACTTGAAATCGTGCGTGTGGCACGCTTGAAGCCACAGTGTGAAGCATGGCTCCTTGCCCTTCAGAACTCCCGAGACGGGCCCTCTGAGTCCATCACACTTTTTTATATCAGATAAATCTTTATTATGTTGAATTGGCTCATTGTTCTTTTCGGGTCTACTGTTAATATATCCTACTCTGCTGTTTATTCTTTCTATTAATTTTTGAGAGTTTTAATACTGAAACCCAACTAAAAATCTTAATTTATCCAATTAAACAATAATTGTAACGTATAGTGAAACTATATGTCACTTTGTATTTTCCAAGTCTCCTGTAAATGTTATCATACTTTTACAATTTAAAAAAATAAAAACGAAAGAAGAAAAGAATAAACAACAAGAGTTAAAAGATATTTTAAAAACAGTCCCTAGGTAGGCTGTCTGAGGTCCTGCAGACTCTTCCGCACGTCCTGGTCGGCCAGCACGCCCGCGGAGGGACCCTCTGGATCTCACCTTCTCCGCTGGTCCTCCGTCCGCCTCGGACACCTAGCAACGTGATAGGAATTATGCAAAAATGTGGGCTCACTTTCAGATTAATCTCACTCTAGTTTCCATTTTGTGTAAGTAAATGGCATATCTGAGTGTTGAATTCCCATAGGTTGGCCTTTAAAGAGTGTGTCTGTGACTTAATCAGAGGGAACATGTTTTAGATTCACGTTTTCATTTTCTTTGACTTAGGTTAGTGGTGTTCGGAATTGCTTTAATCCCCACTATCTTTGAGAAGATCATGTACTCAGTGTTTTTTCATGATGATCGCTGGGAGTTTTCACCCGGAATGTACTTCCTTTCTCTGGAACAGCTCCCTCAAACTCCTCTGACCAATCTATTGATCATCAACAATACAGGTGAGAAACAGACCTTCAATTTAGTCTCAAATTTTTTTTTTTTGGCTATGCCATGCAGCCTGTGGGATCTTAGTTCCCTGATCAGGGACTGAAGCCACGCCTTCAGCAGTGAAAGCGTGGAGTCCAAACCACTGGCCCACCAAGGAAGTCCGTAGTCTCAATTTTTACTATTAAACAGCTTTGAGGAGCGCAAACTTGTCTTGACAACAACACGAGGGTTGAGAGCAGCGCTTGTCTAGCCTGCCGCATCTTCCAGTTGAGGAAACTGCAGGACTCGTTTTCGAATCACGAGAAGTAACGGACAGAATGGAAAATGTCAAGCTCGCTTGACTCCGGGCCGGTCTCGTGACCCGGTCACCAGGGCTGTCAGCGTCGTGCTGAGGTCCCCAGGCGAGCAGGACTGTTCGCGTCACCAGAGCAAACGCGTCTGGGTCCTGAGGGGGGGATTTTGTGTGTGTTACTTGCAATTACAGACGTTGCGGAGTTCTGAAAAGTCTGTACAATTCACTGATGGAAAGTTTTATTTCCATGAGAATCACGAGTCTGTCAGGAAATGACTAAGAACTGCCAGAGAACGGAGTTCCTGGAGAGGGTGGGCTGGAGCCTGACGTCCCAGTCAGGGCGCGCTCCCTCGCGCCCCGAGTGTGACTGGGGGGCTCCACCCGGCCAGGCGCACTGCTCCTGCACCGAGGGGGAAACTCTCCTTAAAGCTTTGGCACCGATTTTCCTGCTCTCATGCTGCCCTTCTTCACGGGCTTCTTCAGGATCCGATATTGAAGACGTCGTGCAGTCCCTGAAGCGTCAGGGCCTCGTCTTGGAACTAGACGATGCTGGAAACAGAAACGGCTCCGACGACCCTTCCTACAACGGCGCCGTCATCGTGTCTGGTGGACACGAGGTACCTTTGCTCTCACATACTTTTTAAAAACGACTGTCGGACCAAATTCTATTTTTAAATAGATTTTATTTTAAACCAGGGGGGGAAAAGATCTACTTCTGTTTACCACTCAGTACATTTGCCTAAAAGACACACACATTCAACAATTCAAATTATAATTCCAAGGGAAATGATAGATCTGAATCTTTTTTTTTTTCCTTCCATGTACTTTTTATCATGCATGGCTTTTGGCCACATCCAAATAATTATGAATCATAGAAAAGCAGCTCAATTACTCTATAATCAATATAACCTGAACACTGCTTTGCCACTTTTTAGAAGAAGGTATGAAATTTTAATCCTCTACAGGGCACATTTTTCACCTTCTTTAAATTTTTTTTTTTAACCTGTTATGGAGTTTATTAAGAATAGTTATTCAGGGTAGCGATAAAAGAGACTTGGATTAGAGTGGAGGGCAGAAGTGATAAAAGCAACAGGTCTGCATTGGACAAGGAGAACAAAGGAATCAAAGGTCTAGTTAGAACCACGTGTCTAAACGAGAAAGATCACGGTGGAGGTAAGGGGAGTTAGGGTGAAGAGTTCCATTTTGGATAGGTTCGTTTAGATGCTGGTGAGCCATCTAAGAGAAGATATCAGTAGACAACCGGCTATGCAGGATGAGATGACCATTCACCTGAGCTGTAGATGTGTGGATTCCTTGGGGGAAGAAGGTAGGTTAATAAGCAAAGGAACACTTAAGGAGGCCGGCGAAACTTCCACCCCATCTGGCCATCATCACATCATCACTTAGGAAACTACAAAGATACCTAGGCTCCTGTGGGCTAAGGACGGTCCCAAAGCGAAGTTCCCAGAGCCGAGTATAGCACAGGCCCATCATTCTTTATTTCCGGGGTCTGCGACCCACATCAAATCGGGTCAAGTAAACGTAAACACCGCCAAAATGCCCAGAGTACTCCTACGGAAGCAGGCGGTCACTGAGCGTGAGAGGAGCCGGGGAGCGCAGCCTCCAGGGAGCTGTAGGCTGACGGCCACGGGCGTTGGCGCAACCTCCTCGACAGGCCTGCAGGAATGCTGCGCCAAGTAGATTGAGCCTGCAACAGCTATTGCAGGACCCTGGTCGGAAAATGCAAATCTGACCTTGCTTTCTTGCTTGGATCATTTGGCGAGGACGAGTTCTCATCAGTCAAAGGATGCATTCATAGTCCTAAAGTAACATTCAGTGTCTTTTTCATCACAGTTTAGTACCCATGGTAGCCTTAACATTTCCTAATTATTCTTCAAGACGATTCTGGACGCTTCCTCTGAGAAAGGGGCTTGCTTTGAATCTCCTTCCTGTGCTTCCACAGCACTATCTTACAGTTCAATAATATCATTTACAATCACGGCTAGGTTTCCCAAGCGCTTACATGGTCATTCTAGCCTAAACTATTTACCCTCACCAGCTCATTAATTTTCACACAACTGTCTGAGACAGTTGCTATCAGCCCCATTCTGCAGATGAGGAAACTCTGGCCTAGACACGTTGGTTCACTAGTCAGGGACAGTCTCCCACGAGACTACGAGTTCCAGGCTGGCACCGAAGGACTAGCTATTTGCTTTTCTGCGGGCCACGCCCTGGGGCGGGGTCTGGTGACGACACCATGTTCCACGGTGCTTTGCGCGTGAGCGCTGCCATTGGCCCGGCCAGTCAGCTCCTTCTTAAAAGTGAGGTGCGGAGTGGTTGCTCGGTTTCTTGGGGCGGGGACTAGGCCTCTGGCTGGAAGGTTGGGGCTAGTGCGGGGCAGACGCCTCGGTCAGCCATGGCCCCTGGGCGACAGCGACCCCCGCAGGCATGCCCGCGCCCAGGAGGGGAGGAGGGCACCCAGGTCCGTGCCCCACGGCGCCCGAGTCCGCGACCTGGCCCTCGCAGGGAACAGCCATGACACCTCAGCGAAACCCATCCGTGAAGAAGAAAGACGGAAAGGGGAAGGGCATTCAGGCGGTAGCGAGACGCAGATAGGGCGAGCTTGTAGGGTCCCGGGCCCTGGGCTTTGTTGCCCGTCTCCTTCCTATGCGGTCCGAGGAGAGGGATTTTGTTCGCAGTTTTCTGAAGAAACCAGACCTTCCTGTTCCGTAGTTTCCTGCGTTTGCTCTGTATTTTCTTGAACACTGCTAACTGGTTTCTGGATGTTTTTACACTTTTCCTCCAAATCACAGAATCTCTCCTCCCGAAGACTGATTAACTGGTAAAGTTCCTGTGAATGGATATTCTTTGCTTTCTTCACGTCTTCAGTTAAGTTTTCACACACCTTCTGTGATTCAGCCAAGGAAGAAACTGTATTTTCTTTTAGTTCATGTAGATTGTTCCACAGTGTACTAAGAAAGCCATCCATTTCCTTCTTCTGATCTTCTCTCTTATTAGCCACAATTGACGAAGTCTTGAAAATATTCTTCAGTTGACTGTTGATTTCCAGTATAGATACCACTGCTGCTGCTAAGTCGCCTCAGTCGTGTCCGACTCTGTGCAACCCCATAGACGGCAGCTCACGAGGCTCCCCCATCCCTGGGATTCTCCTGACAAGAACAGTGGAGTGGGTTGCCATTTCCTTCTCCAATGCATGAAAGTGAAAAGTGAAAGTGAAGTCGCTCAATAGTGTCTGACTCTTCGCGACCCCATGGACTGCAGCCTACCAGGCTCCTCCATCCATGGGATTTTCCAGGCAAGAGTACTGGAGCGGGGTGCCATTGCCTTCTCCGATACATGCCACAGTGGGGGATAAAGCTGTTCCCAGTGAACTGAGGAGGTCAGTCTTAAGTACATTAATCAATTCCTGAAGTACAGTTTCACTTTCTGCTGCTAATGACTGTTCTTTCAATATCATTAGACATCTGAGAAACAAGTGTAGACAGACACATTTTCTGGAATCGATGTGAGAGATCCAAGTGCTGCTGCAGTAACAAGTGTCTAAAGCAGAGACACTGGACGTCAGCAGGGTACCAAACAAAGTCTTGTGAACTTATAGCATGGCCTTTTGTTTCGTATTGCCATCCTTAATTAATTCTTCTATATTATTAAACAGACTATTCAAGTTTTTGCCAAAAGCATCTTGAGCTTCTGCATTATGCTGATCAACTGGCCTTCTTATGATCCATTTTAGAATGGAGACCAAATACATCTTTTGTAGTTTCTTCAGCTGTGTTGAGCAACCTTTTTTCAGCATCATGAAGTCTCTCCTCAGTACTTTCCAAAGCCGAGGTGATATATTCTTCAACAAGCTGTAATTTTGTTTGCTGAAAATGTCTTTGAGTGGTTTCAAGTTCCTGTGTCTTACTTTGCAGGTCAGATTTGCACTGGTTAAGTTCATTTTTACTATCCATAAACAATTCTGTAACCCTGTTTAGCTCTCCCTCAACAGCAGCAATTTTTTCAACAAATTCTACAATTTCTTCCTCTTGAACAGTTAGTTTTCCATTCATAGCTCTAAAATTTTCTTCAGTAATGTACACTCCATTTTTTTCATGAGTTGCAGCAAGATCCTGTTTCAGACGCTCTATCTCTTCTGTATATTCCTTAATCAGAGCTTTCTTGGTGAGTTTCTGGTTAACCTCAGGCTTATCGAGTATGTTCTTTGCTCTATGAGCATATTCCAATGTGCTCAGAGTTTCCTCCAGATTGAGAGATGCAGGAGAAACTGTTGCAATGATAGATGTTCTTGTACGTCCCCCAAGAGAGTCCTGGAGGATTTTAGTCAGTTTAGATTCTCGATTAAGGAACATGAGGTGTTCTTTCTACAAGAGCAGTAATAACCCTTCCCAGAGTCAACAGGGACGGACTGACATTTCAGGCTTCCCGAGCTCTCTTGTCAACTGCTCCAGAACGGCCAATGTTCTCACTGCTGTCAAGATCAACCAAGTTCAACTTTCCAATTTTAACAAGCTCCTCTCCATCAACTGTGGTTTCTTTCATATGTATTGTAACAGAAAACTGAGTGGGATCGACTAGAGTAGGCGTTCATCAACGTTGCTGCAGTCGTCCTTTTCGCTGCCCCCTTCTCCAAAATTTGATAGACTTCATCCTTGTTGTGTACTGTAATTTCTTCTAAACCTTTGATTATCACTCCCCTTTTGCTATGGGTATCATCAAACATCTGCAGTCTCTCAGAAACATCAGAAGACAGATTAAAGAGATCAAAGAGCTTGTCATTATAGATTTCCAATAGTGACACTTTCAACTGGAAATTCAGTACCGTTATCAGTAATTTTCTCAAAAATCTGATGAAGAGTACGTGGACTTATACCAGCCAAAGGATCCTCCTCCCAAGTATACTCTTCGTTAGGGGACCTTTCACCTTCCATTGTAAAGGTTTTTCCAGTACCGGTTTGTCCATATGCAAAAATAGTGCACTTATAGCCCATAATAACTTCATCCAGAATTGGACAAACACCACTTCGTAGTATTTGCTTCAAAAACCATATCAAAAGTGTATGTTTTCCTTGAGCTTTTGTCAGAAGTGCATGACTTAAGGGGTCTTAGTTCCCCAACCAGAGATTGCACCTGGGCTGTGGCAGGGAAGGCACCGGGTTTTAACCGCTAGACCACCAGGGAACTCCCGCTGCTATGCACTCTCTCAGTGTTTTAAATAACTTCAGTTTTATTTGCCAATTATACCTCAGTAAAGCTTCCTTGATAGCTCAGCTGGTAAAGAATCTGCTTTCAATGCGGGAGACCTGGGTTCAATTCTGGGTCGGGAAGATCCCCTGGAGAAGGGAACGGCTACCCTCTCCAGTGTTCCGGCCTGGAGAATCCCATGGACTGTGTAGTCAGTCCATGAGGTTACAAAGAGTCGGACACAACTGAGCGACTTTCTCTATACCTCAATAAAGCAGAAAAAAGCAATACTGTTTAGTAGATTAATTCAAACATTACTGGAGTATGTAACATAGAAGGTAAAATTCTCTTCATAATTCCACTCGTTTTTCCATATTATATTTATGTTAATGCATTTAGTAATTATCTTCTACACTCTTTTCCTTTATAAAAACACAACTCACTATATCTAGAATGGTCTCACATTCAGAAATATATTTTCTAAATTGAAATCATATTAGACAAGTCCTACAACTTTATTTGTCACATAGATTCTAGATCTTTGACATCTTTCCATGTTCATGAATGTTCATTTATTTCACTTTTAGAATAAGTCACTTAAATTACAAAAATAAAGCATTCTTGTACCAATTCCATTAGGGAGAAGTGTCAAGGAAAAGCTAATTGTCTCCTTCTTACCCTAATTCCACCCTAATAATTTACAGACTATGCAATAAGGAGATTTACTCTAATTTACAGTGTATATTTGTGTGCCCCCCCCCCCTTTTTTAAAGGATTACAGATTTTCAGTTGTATGCAATACCAAGAGGATGAACTGTTTTCCTGTTCTTATTGGGATTGTTAGCAATGCCCTGCTTGGAATCTTTAATGTCACAGAACTTATTAAGACGGAGAGTAGCACGTTTCCACTCGTAAGTAGAGGGATAACTTCTGTGAGAGGCAGTTCAGCTGGGAGGAAGGGGCAGGGGTGCTGGAGCCTGTGCTTGAGCTTGCAGCCTGCTCCCTGCGAGCCCTCCTGCTTCCTGGGCCTCTCCTGTAAGAGGGGGATGTCCTCGGACCTCCTGTACATGAAACTGTGAGGATTAAGTGAGTTTATCAGGCGCCTACAACAGAGCCTGGCACGTACCGTCGTCATCATTCTGCAAGTATTTCTTGAGTATCTGCCATGACCTGGTGCTTCTAGATGCTGGAGATAAGCATACGTGGCACAGGGAAAAAAAAATCCGACCTTAGGGAGTTATCTTTTTGTAAGGGAGAGAGTAAGCTTTCAATACATGCTTGCCATTATCCTGAAAGATAAGAGTTTTTCACCTCACTTAATGTTTAGCTTCATTACCATTTTTAAAATTTTAATGGAAAAATGTAAATGTATAATAGAATTCTGGTAAGTCCAATGTACCCTATTGTTTTTGACCCTTTATGTGGCTCTATTTTTTCCATTCATTTACCACCACTTAATACACTATCAAGTCATGTTTTATCAATGGCCCCACTCTTGTGTCTGGTTGAAAAATTGTGTCTGGTTAAAAATCACAGCCAGCTCCTTAAGACATAGAACCTGAAAGAAACAAGATCCTAAAGGACACGGAAATATTGAAAATGACAGAGAACTGTTAAAGAACCATGTTAGTAATTTGGGCTTTTTTTGGTTCATAGTCGGGAATAGCTTTTTACACTTCTTAGGTACCCAGTACATATTTTCTGAAATTAATGCATGAATAGAGATTGTCTTGGAAAGCCTAGAGCACCCAGAGAAACCTCCAACCCAAATTCTTAATTTATGTCAGATTTCCCTGGGGGAATTTACTGAGCATTTCACAGTCACTGATTAAAGCAGGTGTGGAATGTATGGTCTAACCCTCAACTTATGATTATTTTTACAATTTTAGTGTTCTGTCACTTTATATATTACAGTGTCCTTTGGGGTCTTGGTTGTTTTATCTTTTATATCTTGTGGAGTGCAGTGCAACTTTTGATAACACATGATTTTAATAACCACTTCTCAGCCTTCAAATGTTTCCTAACAGAAGTGTTTGATTATGGTAGATATGGCGCTAGTGGTAAAGAACCCTCCTGCCAGTGCAGGAGACATAAGAGACACAGGTTCGATATCTCCATCGGGAAGATCCCCTGGAGGAGGAAATGGCAACCCACTCCAGTCTTCTTGCCTGGAGAATCCCATGGACAGAGGAGCCTGGCGGGCTATAGCCCATGGGGTCGTACAAGAATCGGACACAACTGAAACAACTTAGCACCTAACAACTTAGCACCCAACAGATACAGATAAGCAAGAGAACCTGCTGTCTGTCTTCTTAACACAGGCATGTAAAATTAAGATTTTAAATTTCTTTTGAAATCATGCAGTTCCTGGGAATGGAACCTGCCTTTAAGGGTAACAAACATGTTTGCTCTTTGTTTGCTTCTTAAATCAGATATATCCTTCCATTTGGACATTTTCACCCTTTCCCTAAATGTATTTGATCCTTGTGTTTGAGTGTGTGGTTGGTAACAAGCGCAGTAGCTTACGGATATGTTTGGAACTTGCAGGACGACCCAAGATGGGCAATTGGCATTTTGGATTTTCTTCTGTTGCTTGTTGTAAACTGCCTTTCTCCGTACATTGGGATGAGCAGCGTCAGCGATTACAAAGTAAGAGCATGGTGAGAGGAAGGGGGCATGTGGGGGGTGGGCGGAGGAGGAGAGATGCTTCTATCTGACTTCAGTAAACTGGAATTTTATTGTCTTATACACACAGGATAGCCCTTCAAGAAAAACGTTTACACATGAATTGTATTACTCTAATCTAAGTATGCATTTTATTAAATGGTTCATCGTGATGTCAAATAGGTGAGACAGTTCATGATTGAACACAGTAAAGTAACCTTGGTTTTAAAGGGACTCACCCTAGGGACTTTGCTGGTGGTCCAGTGGCTAAGACTCTGCACTCCCAATGTAGGGGGCCCAGGTTTGATCCCTCATCAGGGAACTGGATCCTACATGTTGCAACTAAGAGCTCGCATGCTGCAACCAAGACCCAGCACAGCCAGATACATACATATTTTTACCAAGGGAATCACTTCACGTCAGCTTCAGAGGTGGAAAATGCACACCTTTTTGACTGTGTGTAGTTAATCTACAATTCTAAAGGGAATTTTTTAGTGTGAAATATAAACTATATGACATTTCCTGCTTTTTGACTCCATTCTTGTAAAGGGGGCTTTAAATCAGCTTGAGGCACAGGTCAGATGTTTCCTGCAGAGTCAATGACCTCCCCATCCCTCCCGCCCCCGCGGGGTGTCAGGTGATTTGGAAAATGCTCTTTCTGGTCACGTGCCCTCTGTGCTCAGTCATGTCTGACTATTTACGACCCTGTGGACTGCAGTCCACCATGGTCCCCGGTCCATGGCATTTCCCAGGCAAGCATACTGGAGTGGGCTATCCTTTCCTCCTCCAGGGGATCTTCCCGACCCAGGGACCGAACCTGCGTCTCTTGCGTTGGCAGGTGGATTCTTGACCACTAGCACCACCTGGGAGACACACTGTTTTCTTTGGAATAGTATTAGTGTCTTAGTTGTCCTGTGGCCTGCTTCCTAAACCCAGGCTAGCAAATTCCTGAAGGTCGGATTTGCTATATAAAAAAAGGTAGACTTTTCCAAAAAAAAAAAAAAAAAGCTGCTGCAGAATACTACTTCTAAAATTTACTAAAAATTAACATTTTCATAGAAACAAAATACTTCTTTTACCCAAGATTTCAGCCTCACCCGTATCCCTTCTGTTTCTTCGCCAGCAAAAAGCTCAGTCTCAGCTACGGATCTCAGGCCTCTGTCCGTCAGCATACTGGTGTGGACAGGCCCTGGTGGACATCTCATTTTATTTCGGGATTCTTTTTTTGATACATTTAATGTACTGCATATTTTTGGAATTCACAATTGTATTAGAATTCGTGTTTGCTCTGGTAAGTGATCATCTGCCCCCAAATTCCCCAAATATAATAATAGAATTAAAACAAAAAAACTCATTTTTGTTAACACTTTGTGCTTGACCAAAGGCATGTACAAGAAAATTGCCTTTGGCAGCTTTGTGATCCGATCCTCTGCCTGCCCCCACCCCGCCCATGACCCTGTCTAACCTTGCTGTTAATGCTGTATTGTCAGGCAGTTTGCGTGGCCGGCTGTGCGGCGTGTCTCATACTCCTCACGTACGTGATTTCATTCCTCTTTCCCGTGGGAAGAAAAACTAACGGCTTTTGGTCTCTCAGCTTTTTTCTTGTAAGTATCTGAAAATGTACACCCATGCATATTTATATGAAGTTTCCCTGAAGTTCCTTTTCTAAAACTGGACAGTTAAGTGTAAATACTTGGAAGTGGAACCACTTCCTTAGCACTTTGGTCTTTGTTTGGCCATGTTCATGGTTTAAGGTTTTAGTTCATTTTTTTTTTTCCTGTTCTCAAAAGTTTCTCTTTGGCACTTCTGTTTCTTTGGAAAGAGATGAAACAGCTATAGAAATCCTGACCTGTTCTAGCTGAAAGGCTAGATCATTGGAGTTAATTCCCTCATTTTATAGAGTGGGGAAAATGTTAAAGGATGAGACCTGAGCCCAAGTTTCTTAACTCAGGGAGGTTGCCTCCTGAGTAATTAATTCTCTTTATTAAAAAAAAAAGTCGTGCTAGGTGGCCATATTGACAAATAACATAAGCAAGCAAGTAAACAGAGAAAAGTTTTATTGAGAAATAAAATTATTTATTACTTTACACATATTCTGCTGCATCTCCTTCCCCAGGCCTTGCTGACATCTTGAGCAGGCTCTCATACATTTCTGACCATTTTGGATATTAACATTATCTTGTTTCTTTCATTAAGATTTGCTTTAAGTACTAAAAAAGGACCAGTCGAGTCCGAAATGTAACTTTAATCTTATAAACAATGAAAATTTTCTTCTCCAGCTGCATTTCAGGCATGCCTTTAGTTTGAGGACCCTTGGTGAGAAAAGGAAAGATGTTCTATCCTTTCTCTCTTTCTTATGGACTTGCCTTTCTCCTGTCTGTTCTGGGGACATGGTGGAGGGATTAGGGTCAGGAGACCAAGGTCTTAACTTCTCTAAGGCTGTGAGAGTTACGCTGGTGGTCATTGTGGGTGGTATCCAAAGATTGGGTTTACTGTGGGCAGAAATGTCATAAATGCAACCAGTTCGAGAATTCATTGCAACAGTAGACATCTTAAAAGTGATTAAGTTGCTTCTTAGCTTCTAAATCTCATCCCTGTATACCTGTAATTCTGAGCCAGTTTTATTGGTGGTTGTGATATGATAGTTAAATGTTATAGCAAGGTAATATCTCCTTAACCATTGGAATTGGTCTTGATCTAATTCTTTTTTCTCATGCATCCCAATAGACAGGTAGATTTGTCAGTTTTATTCTCTAATTTTGCTTTATATGTTTTGAGACTATTATTTTGGGTATGTTTCAGTCTGGAAACTACATAATGACCCTGTTTATTCTGACAGTGGCTTTATGACCAAAAACCATTCAACTGTGTCTAAATTATCTTTAATCTTTGGCAGATTTTTAAAACCTCAGTTTTGCTTTTCAGAACTCTGATTCTGTTTCAAATTTGCTGAACTGTTCCTCACAGCCTTTTGATACTAGTTTGTGTTTTTCTTAATTCCACATGTAATTTACATGTGGAATTTAATTTACATGGGTACATTTAATTGAAATATTTGCATTTGTTGTTTGATGATTCTAGTAGCTAAAGTCTTCAGATAGTTTTAATCTATAGTTTTCCCCCATCTCGATTCACACTTAGTAGATTGTTGCCTTGTAGGTTTGATTTTTTTCCTTAGTTGAGGGTTCATATTTGGTTGACCTTTAAGTATGGAATCCTAGGACTTCCCTGGTGACTCAGATGGTAAAGAATCCACCTGCAATGCAGGAGACGAGGGTTCAGTCCTTGGATCGGGAAGATCCCCTGGAGAAGGGAAAGGCTACCCGCCTTGAGTATACTTGCCTGGAAAGTCCTGTGGAGAGAGGTTGTAGCTGTTGTTGCTTGTTGGAAGGAAGAGTTAATGGAAGGATTATTTTAATTTTTCTAATGGGTTAGAAATGATGGATGAGCTAATTTGTACTATAAGTAAGATAAAAAGAAAGGGGCCTTTCCAGTGATTAAGAATTTGCCTTGCAATGCAAAGGGCGCAAGTTCAATCCCTGGTCCAGGAACTAACATCCCATAAGCCACAGAGCAACTCAGCCTGTGCAGCACAACTAGAGAGTCCCTCGGCCCCAATTAAGACCCGATGCAGCCAAATAAATAATTCTTTAAAAAAAAGGTGAAAGAAAGGGATGGAAAGGAGGAAGTAGGGTGGTCAAAGACAAGTTCTCTTCCTGCACTGTTAGATTTAGAAAGCTTAGCTTCAGGTTTCTGTGGGACTGAAGCTACACTGACACACGTCTTTCTAAAACAATACCCCTCATAACCATAATGGTATGGCCAGTGAACCTTTGAGGAGGTTCTGATTAAGGTCCTAAAATACGCTGATGAACCCTCAGATTATTTCAGTTTATATTGCTTTTTCTGTGAGAAAATATTTCTTGTGCTTGTGGAGAGAACACTTTAAAGAGTTTTTTAAATTCTATGATCAGTTTCATATACATAAGATCTTGGTACCTGACACATCATAGGTTGACTCATTGACTAGATGTATGGACAGCTAACTCATACAATATCTCATTATTTTTTTTTAAACTTCTGTTATTCAACTGCTCAGTCATGTCCGACTCTTTGTGGCCTCATGGACTGTAACACACCAGTCTTGCCTGTCCTTCACTATGTCCCAGAGTTTATTTAAACTCATGTTCATTGAGTCGATGATGCCATCCAACCGTCTGATCCTCTGTTGCTCCCTTCTCCTCCTGACCTCACTCTTTCCCAGCATCAGGGTCTTTTCCATTGAGTCATCTCTTCAGATCAGGTGGCCAAAGTATTGGAGCTTCAGCTTCAGCGTCAGTCCTTCCAATGCATATTCAGGGTTGATTTCCTTTAGGGTTGACTGGTTGGATCTCCTTGTAGTCCAAGGGACTCTCAAGAGTCTTCTCCAGCACCACAATTCGAAAGCATCAATTGTTTGGTGCTCAGCCTTGTTTATGGTCCAACTCTCACATCTGTATATGACTATTGGGAAAACCATGGCTTTCGCTATACGTACCTTTGTTGGCAAAGTGATGTCTCTGCTTTTTAATATGCCGTCTAAGTTTGTCATAGCTTTTCTTCCAAGGAGCAGGCACCCTTTAATTTCATGGCTACAGTCACTGTCCGCAGTGATTTTGGAGCCCAAGAAAATAAAGTCTGTCACTGTTTGCATTTTTTCCCCATCTATTTGCCATGAAGTGATGGGACCAGGTCCCATGATCTTAGTTTTTGGAATGTTGAGTTTTAAGCCAACTTTTTCACTCTCCGCTTTCACCTTTGTCACCAGTACAAGTTTGATGCCTGAAGCAGAGCCCCAAACCACTGCTCTGGACAACCCAGAGGGATAGAGTGGGGAGGGAGGGGGAAGAGGGGGACACATGTGTACCTGTGGCCGTTTCATGTTGATGTATGGCAGAAACCATCACAATGCTGTAAAGTAATTATCCTCCTATTAAATAAATTAAAAAAAGAAGAGGCTCTTTAGTTCTTCTTTACTTTCTGCCATTAGAGTAGTGTCATCTGCATATCTGAGGTTATTGATATTTCTCCTGGCAATCTTGATTCCAGCTTGTGCTTCACCCAGCCCGGCATTTAACATGATGTACTCTGAATGATGGGGCTTCCCTGGTAGCTCAGATGGTAAAGTGTCTGCCTACAATGTGGGAGACCGGGGTTTGATCCCTGGGTCGGGAAGATCCCCTGGAGAAGGAAATGGCAACCCACTTCAGTATTCTTTCCTGGAAAATCCCATGGACTGAGGAGCCTGGTAGGCTACAGTCCATGGTGTCACAAAGAGTCGGACACGACTGAGCAGCTTCACTTCACTTCACTTCACTCTGCATATAAGTTAAATAAGCAGGGTGACAACATACAGCCTTGAAGTACTCCTTTCACAATTTGGAACTAGTTCATTGTTCCATGTCCAGTGCTAACTGTTGCTTCTTGACCTGAATATAGGCTTGTCAGCAGGCAAGTGAGGTGATCTGGTATTCCCATCTCTTTAAGAATTTTCCATAGTTTGTTGTGATCCACACAGTCTAAGGATTTAGTGTAGTCAATGTAACAGAAATAGATGTTTTTCTGAAATTCCCTTCCTTTTTCTACAATCCAACAGATGTTGGCAATTTGATATCTGGTCCCTACCTTTTCTAAATCCAGCTTGTACATCTGGAAGCTCTCAGTTCATGCACTGTTGAAGCCTAGCTTGAAGTATTTTGAGCATCACCTTGCTTATCATGTGAAGTGAGTGCAGTTGTGGGGTAGTTTGCATTCTTTGGCATTGCCCTTCTTTGGGATTGGAATGAAAACTGACTTTTTCTAGTCCTATGGCCACTGCTGAGTTTCCCAAATTTGCTGGCATAGTCCAGCACTTAGCAGCAGCATCTTTTAGGATTTGAAATGGCTTAGCTGGAATTCCATCACCTGCACTAGCTTTTTTCGTAGTGATGCTTCCTAAGGCCCACCTGACTTCGCACTCCAGCACGTCTGGCTCTAGCTGAGTGATCACACCGCTGTGGTTATCTGGGTCATTAAGGCCTTTTCTGTACAGCTCTTCTGTGCATTCTTGCCACCTCTTCTTAATATCTTCTGCTTCTGTTAGGTCCATGCCATTTCTCTCCTTTATTGTGCCCATCTTGGCATGAAATGTTCCCTTGGTATCTCTAATTTTTAAAAAATACTTATTTATTTGGCTGTGTCAGGTCTTAGGTATGGCATGTGGTATCCTCAGTCTTCCTTGCAGCATGCTGAATACTACGTTGCAATTTGTGGGATCTAGTTCCTGGGTCAGGGATTGAACCTGGACCCCCTGCATTGGGAGCGGAGTCTTAACACCTCCAGGGAAGTCCCCAACCTCTTGTTATATAAGTATGGAGGGCAAGAATTTAGGCTCTGGAGTCAGACAGCCTAGGTTTGGATTCTAAATCTGGCATTAAATAGCTGTAAGATATTGGGCGAAGTGACTTCAGCTTTCTGAGGTTTAGTTCTCTGAACTCAGAGAAGATGTATCAGTAGCACTTTACAGGGTTAGGACTGAGTCTCTCCAAGAGCATTCGCTATCACAATGCTGGTAAATTGCTCATCAAAGTACTTGGTAAATAGTATTCTGTAGATGCTAAGAGAAGTTTCTATTCCCTTCTTTATTCTTTTGTTATTCCTAAAACTGTGGTACTACAATACCATTCGACAAGAGGTTAATTGTATGCTAGTGCTGAAAGCATATGAGGATTTATGTTCATAAAGTAAAATAATGGCATACTCCCCTTTTTTAATTGTTGCTGCATATCCGTGCCAGATAGTACAGCATCTTTTAGATGTTTATGTCAGACTTTAATTGTAATCATGTCTTTCAGTTGTAATAACACTTTGATGCTTCCTAAAGAGGCAGTCCTCTCAATATTGTTGTACTTAAGCTGAAAATTGAAAATGGGAATATCTTTCTAGGAAAATAGATTACTTATAGAAAACATATTACATTAAATATGACTGAGCAAATTATTTCTGTGGATTTTTTTCCTTTAGATCTCATTATTTATGCTCATCCTCCTGGGACTAACTCATTCTGAAAATATTATAATTATATGTATAATTTTAATACCTTCGTGCACTTCAATTTTTTTTCTTTCCGAAATGATAGAGGTAAGCAGTTTTACCTATTTTATTTTTGACTTTGACCATGTAACTTATTAATTAAATCTTTTCTGATATGGGAGCAGGTACATTTAATAAAATTTTAGAAATTATTCAATTGCTGGTAAATTCTGAAAAGAAAACGTGAAAAAATTGTATAGAGTTGAAAGTTGCAAATACCCTGAACCCATTATTCATACCCGGAAGGAAGCAGGTAAATCCATTTAGAAATGCAACAGGAAACCCAGCTGTGGTTTATGAATTCCAAGAGGGGATTGTAAGAAAGGACTATGTTTTTCCCACTGTTACAGAACTCTCTCCTCACCGTGAAGTGGAAGTTTCCCATTTCAGTTTTGATAAATATCTGAAAATTATTTTTGTGCTTAGCTCTACCTTTCCCTATAACAGAGGACTGCGGGGAAGATGTGATATTTTATGCTCTTTGTACCACTAGTGTCAGTAAATTGCTCTGGGGGTGAGTGATTGGTGCAGGAAGGAAAACAAGATGCTATTAGGAACTTCTGGGAGAGTCCAAGTACCACTGAGAATTCTGGGGACATGATAATGAATCTCAACTACTTCACATTTGTATGTTTAGTCACTTCCACTAAAAAGGAACTTGTGAATCCCTACTGCACAGAATTGGGGCTTCCCAGGTGGCTCTAGTGGTAAATATCCTGCCTGCTAATGCAGGAGACATAAGAGATGTGGGTTTGATCCCGAGGTCAGGTAGATCCCCTGGAGGAGGAAGTGGCAACCCACTCCGGTATTCTTGCCTGGGAAATCCCGTGGACAGAGGAGCCTGGCAGGCGACAGCCCCTGGGGTCACACAGAGTTGGAGACAACTGAGGTGACTGAGCACACATGCGCTCACGCACTGCACAGTCAGAATACAGGAAGTATTGGAGATGATAACCAAGGAAAGATGTCACCTCCCAGCAGATTTTAGTGTTGGAGAACAAGTCTTGTCCCAGTTCACAGAACATTCCCTAGTGTCCTGTGCAACAGCAAGTCATAGGATTCAGGCGTATTTAACGTAAGAACGTTCTATTCGTGATGCAGAGAAATTTCATACAGCCCTGTTTTTCTTCAGCAGTTGTATCGAAGAAGGTCCAGAAGTCAGGACTCTGAGAGAAGTGGAATTGGTGAAATCATTCTCCTAACAATCTTCATAGTAAGAAAATATTTCTACCTAAGTATATACTACATGGGATTTATAGCCACATGATATGCTTGTTCTTATTCAAAGAATGGCAAATTGAAATATTCCCCCAAATGCCTGCTCTTACTGTTCCCTACGGGCTTCCCTGGTGGCTGAGTGGTAAAGAGTCTGCCTGCCAGTGCAGCAGACACCCACTCCGGTACTCTTGCCTGGGAAATCCTGTGGACAGAGGAGCCTGGCAGGCCACAGTCCATGGGGCCCCAAAAAGTCGGACACGACTGAGCAACTAAACCACTACCATCACCACCACTGTTTTCTGGAATCAATGTAACGGTAATGAAGTGAAGTCGCTCAGTCGTGTCCATCTCTTTGCGGCCCCATGGACTGTAGCCTACCAGGCCCCTCGTCCACGGGCTTTTCCAGGCAAGAATGCTGGAGTGGGTTGCCATTTCCTTCTCCAATAATGGTAGTACCTAAAGGTATTTTTCTATATAGAGTGTATGCTTAGTCATTCTGTCATGTCCGACTCTTTCAGACCCCATGGACTGTAGGTCACCAGGCTCCTCTATCCATGGGATTTTTAAGGCAAGAACAGTATAATATATACCAGAAATTCTAAAGACTAGATTGCTGTTATTATTGCTGTTACTATACATTGCTGATATACGTATCCAAAGACAATTTGAGGTGGTTTATAAGAAATACCAAAGGTGCTGTGTGCCTAAAAATCATTTCAATGTGGATTTTAAAAGAAGCTAATTTGAATAATGAAGAATAAATAGAACAAAGTAAGTAGAATTTTATACTGGGAAAAAATACTGAAGCAAAATGTAAATATTATTTCTGTGCATTATAGTAAATGAGGAGTAAGGGGAAAACAGTGGACCACAGGCTTCTTGTTTTCTCTTTTTGGCAAAAAGTTTAACGAGAGAAAATTTCCTAAATTTCTATAAATTCATAAAGGTATAAAATACATACATTTCACACAGACGTTTATATACTGAATGTTTGTTCTTTTTATTTTACTCAGTATACATGGAGATGTGTCATACATGGTGATTTTCTGCTGACCATGAATAAATGCTAAAGTTATACAATTGTTTAACCTCCACATGTTTGTGTTTTTTGCAACTTTTCCTCTTATAGTTGATTTCTAGTCTCAGAGAGTCATGGTTGAAAAGGATGCTTGTTGTGATTTCAATTTTCTTCAACTTCCCAAGGCCTGCTTTTTGGCCTAGCACGTGTCTGTTCCAAGAATGTTCCATGTGCACTTAAAAGGGATATATTCTACTGCTTTGGGATGAAATTTACATGTATATATAAAGTCCAGTTGACCTAATACATCACTTAAGGCCAGTGTTGCTTTATTTACTTTTTGCCTAGATGATCTGTCCATTGATTTAAGTGAGACATTAAAGTCTCCTGCTACTGGAGATTCCCAGGAGACACATTGGTAAAGAATCCACCTGCAATGCAGGAAATGTAAGAGACGTGGATTTGATCCCTGGGTTGGGAAGATCCCCTGGAGAAGAAAATGGCAACCCCCACCCCCCCACCTCTGCTCAGTATTCTTGTCTGGGAAATCCCATGGATAGAGGAACCTGACAGGCTACAGACCATGGAGTAGCAAAGTCAGACATGACTGAGCACGCATGCATCACACATCACTATTAATGTATCACTGTCAGTTTCTCCTTGTATATCTCTTAATATTTACTTTATTTAGGTGCTTCTACATTGGATGCATATATATTTACAGTTGGTGTCTCTTCTAGTTTGATTGCTCCCTAAGTCATGAATATCCTTCTTTGTCTCTTATCACGGTCTTTGTTTAAAGTCTGTTTTGTCTGATGTGAGCATTGCTACTCCAGCTTTCTTTTCATTTGCATTGCAGGGAATACCTTTTTTCCATCCCCTTACTTACAGTCTGTGTCTGTCTTTAGATCTGAAGTGAGTCTCTTGTAGGCAGCATATATATAGGTTGGTTTGAATAAATTTCTCCATGTGATTTTATAAGATTTTTATCAAATTATGAGAAAATGATCAAATCTCCTATGACAGAAGGCATATATTTCCCAGGGAGCTTGAATCCCAAGATGATACTAATATTCTATTCATTTTTCATTGCCTTTAGCCGTACCTTCAGATGATCATTTTTCTTTTTATTATACGGTGCCTGGAAATGAAGTATGGAAAAGAAACAATGAGGAAAGATCCATTTTTCAGGTTGGGAGAACATTAACATCTGAATATAATTTAAACATTTAATGTGTATAGCAGTACATTTAACATCATTTTATTAGTATGGATTTACTATCCAAACTCTGGGCTAGGCCCACTGGGAAATATTATTCTGAAAAAATAAAACAAAAGCAAAAAAAATGAGAATTACATTGAATGCAGTGAGTACAGTTTCTAAGACATGGGTCTTGTGATTTTAGACAAGTTGGGTATTTATCTTGTGAACTGCACACGTAGTGGTTAAGCATCAAGTGTTGTTTTTCTCCTGCTTATGAGAAGTACGGGTCTCTGAGTAGAAGATGCAGTGATGAAAAATGAGTTCATCATGAAATGTTTGAAAAGGCAAGAGAGGCCAGTTATGGTGATCACTTATGATGCAACGTGATGATGACCTAGATGGCAACAGACTGAAGACGAAGTCTGTATTTGAGAGGCTTTAGAGAGCTGGTCGACTGGTGGGATAAAAGGTTTTAAAGAGAAGAAACAGTCAAAGAGTATTTCATGGGACTTGGCTACTTGAGGGAGTTATTACTGTCAAGGAGAATCTTGTAGGTCATTAAGTAATCATTTATATTCTTGTAAAACAAAGAAAAAGAATTAAATTATTGAAGCCATATTCTCCTGGTAGTGGTTGTACAGTGAGAATTTCATTTTAATGTTATTTTATTTTCTCTGTAGAATCTCTCCAAGAAGAAGGGAATATCGTCCAAACCCAGAAGAACCGGAAGAAGAGGATGAAGACGTTCAAGCAGAAAGAGTGAAAACGGCGAATGCACTCACTGCTTCCAACTTGGACGAGGTGAAAAGCAGCGGCTGAGCCTCCGATAAAGCACTGAGATAGTCAGCTTGTCTTGTTCAGTGGGCAAAGTGTTGGTTTTAGTGTGAAAACTTGCTATTGCATCTGTAATCCTTCCATTTGTAGTTCATATTCAGGTCATTACCTTTTGAAGAATTTATCCAGTCATCACTCTTAATTTTCTCTTCTTCCGTTTTTTTTTGGTGGATTTTAATCTTCATTCATCAGAGCAGTTCAATAATTCTGATATTCTTCATCAGTTTTTAACAAAATCCCACATCTTGAAGAGTTTCAATTCCATTTTGCCACATATTGAAATTGTGATGTCAATAATTCTAAATAGCATATAAAAAAAGCAGGTGAATTTATACTGCATTAAAATTAATAAGAAGGCCAATTAATGCAAAAGGCAAGGTTAGCATAACACAAAGGAAATATGTTTGCTTAGGAATTAGTTTCATAAGAAGTTGATAAAGAAGTCCTCATTCGTAAATGTACATTTGAGAGTTTTATTTGAAACAAGGGGCTAATTTACTATTGGCCCAAAAATCTGGTTAAATTCATAGCCTAGGAAATGAAAGGTGAAACATGAATGCACAAAATATGCAATATTTAAGAGGAAAATCATGCTCTCCCATGTTTTCTAGAAGCCAGTAATAATGGCAAGCTGTTTACACAAGAAATATAAACAGAAAAAGAAAAGATGCTTTTCAGCCAGAAAGACAAAAACAGCTGTTCGGAATGTTTCCTTCTGTATCAACAAAGGTTTGGATAATGTTTTGTTTATTAGGATGTTCCTTATTCTCTAGTTTTAGCACTATGAAGGGAATGATTTTCCATTCTTCCAGTCTGTTCATATATCTCAGTTAACATGTAATTATAAAAATACTAGACTTGCTGGCAGAGAGAAGTTTTTATTTCAAAATCCTGTCCCAGATCAAATGTCAAAAAAACCAGCTGATCTTGGATCCAGGTGTCCAAATTCTTCTCATGTAAATCCAGTCTTTTCACTAATGCAGATGTGACAGAGGTGCTATCTGAAAATGCTATTTTATTTCAAAACATTCCGGAGCTAAGTGATTTTAGGCTAGTCGACTCTTTAAGTACAAAAAGTGATGGTGAACCTTTTTCCAGGTGAAGTTTTGGGATTGCTGGGGCACAATGGAGCTGGGAAAAGCACTTCTATTAAAATGATAACTGGAGACACAAAACCGACCGCGGGAGTGGTACGTGGCGTGGGAGGCGGCCGGCTCACAGCCAGGGGGTGTCCTGTTCAGCCTCAGTGGCTTCTCCGTGGTGTTCTCATCAGCCAGTCCAGTGGTTTCTGTTTGACTGAAGTGTCGCTGATTTACATGCTGTGCCAGTGTCTGCCGTATGGCAGCTCAGCTCCGTTCCGTTCGCTCTCGGTCATGTCTGCCCCCTGCTACCCCATGGACTGCAGCATGCCCGGCTTCCCTCTCCAGCAGAGTGACTCGCTTATACACGTATATACATTCTTTTTTTTTTGACATTCTTCTCCATTATGGTTTATCACAGGGTGTTGTATATATCACAGGTCCCTGTGCTCTAGTAGGACCTTGTTCTTTATCCATCATATATATGTTTATATATATATGTATATATATATATAGTTTGCTTATATCAACCCCAAACTCCCAGTTCACCCCTCCCTCCCCACGTCCTCCTTGGCAGCTACAAGTCTGACCTCTATGTCTGTGAGTTTTCTAGATAAGTTTATTTGTGCCATATTTTAGATTCCACATATATGTGCTAATGTGTGATATTTGTTTTTCTCTCTCTTACTTCACTTAGTAAAATAATCTGCAGTTGCATCCATGCTGTGACGAATGGCATTCTTTCATTCCTTGTAATGGCTGAATAGTAGTCCATCGTACATATGTACCTCATCTTCTTTATCTGGTCCTCTGTCAATGAATGTTTAGGCTGTTTCCGTGTCTTGGCTGTTGTGAATAGTGCTGCTGTGAACATAGGGGTGCATGTATTTTTTTCTTTTTTTTTTTGATAATGATTTCATTTGGGTATATGCCCAGGACTAGGATTGCTGGACCACATGGTAATTGCCTTTTACGTTTTCTGAGGAGCCTCCATACTGTTTTCCATAGTGGCTGTACCAGCTTGCATTCCCACCAGCAGTGTAAGAAGGTTCCCTTTTCTCCACACCCTCTCCAGCATCAAATGATTAAAAAAAAAGAATACACAGATGAATTTATAAAACACCTCTTGCATGCTGAAGAAGGGCTGTAGCTGAGTGGTCGTTTTTATCTCCTTCAGAAGTAGGAGGATCTCAGAAGAAGGCAGGTGTGAAGCTGACCTTTGTTGCTCGATGCAGGTGGTTTTCAGTGGCAGTGGAACAGCTCAGATGCAGCAGGCAGGAGACGGCTTCGGGCGCCTGGGGTACTGTCCGCAGGAGGACGCGCTGTGGCCCGACCTCACAGTCCGAGAACACCTGGACTTGTACGCAGCCGTGAAAGGCCTGGCCAAAGAGGAGGCTGCTCTCAGTGTCTCAAGGTGCGGAGCAAAGCCTCCAGCATGCTGTTTGTAGCTGGAGGAAGAGGGGACACAGAACTTATTCATGAAATGTGGAAAGGAGATGATGAACCATGCCTTTAGCTTTCATGCAAATAAAATGACTGCAAATCTGAATGAGAACCAAGTCAAGACATGTATTGTTTGGGACCCTGTGAAGGAGGCTTTGTGCACTCCTTTCTGCTTGGAAGTGCTGGGGTGCCCTAGACGTTTTAAGCACGGACATAATCAGAGTGCTTCCTGCAGGCTGGCAGACACGCTGAAGCTGCAGGACCAGATGGCGCTCCCTGCCAAGGCCTTACCCGAAGGGGCAAAGAGAAAGGTAGGATGGGGCGAGGCCGGGCTCCCCCCGAGCGCCCCCAGGCCAGCGCCGACGCGGCTCCTCTCCGTTGCAGCTGAGCTTCGCGCTGAGTGTCCTGGGGAGCCCAGCCGTGCTGCTTCTGGACGAGCCGACCACGGGGCTGGACCCCGAGGGGCAGCTGCATATGTGGTGAGGGGCGTCACGTTAAGTGTCAATCATCTAAGTCCAGAGTGATGGCTCATTGAGGTTTTTCGTTTTCTCCACTAACCTTTGAGGCTCAGACCCTCTTTTGTTTGATTCAGTGAAACTCAATATCTTGATAGCTTAGACGGTAAAGAATCTGCCTGCAATACAGGAGACCCAGGTTCGATCCCTGGGCTGGGAAGATCCCCTGGAGAAGGGAAGGGTAACCCACTCCGGTATTCTTGCCTGGAGAATCCCATGCACAGAGGCGCCTGGCGGGCTGCAGTCCGGGGGGGTCACAGAGTCGGACAGGACTGAGGGGCTACCGCTCACTCACTCAGATTTCCTCAAGGAAGGAAAAGAATTGCCATTTTAAGAACCAAGTGGCTTTTTTTATTCGGTTGACTTCTCTTTCTCTTACTAGTCCTCCCCTGCCTCTTTCTTCCTCTGTTTTATTTTCAGTTGTTGAAAGTCCTACAGTGTGGTGTTTTCCTGTTCTTCAAAACAAACACCAAGTTAGTCACACTTTTCAGACATCTGCTTTTCATTCTGTGAAGCCTGTTGATGTGATGATATAATTACCTAACACAATTTTTCCTCTTTCTCTCCAAAGATTTTTTTTTCCCCAGCATTCTCTGTTTAGGCCTCCTTGTCATTCCCATTCATCTGTTTTCCCAGATGACTTTCGAAGTGCAAACAGTCCCTTACTCTGTCTCTAGGCAGGCAATCCAGGCCATTGTTAAAAACACGGCGAGGAGCGCCCTGCTGACCACCCACTCCATGGCCGAGGCGGAGGCCGTGTGTGATCGCGTGGCCATCATGGTGTCCGGAAGGCTGAGGTGGGTGCCCGGCTGATGCAGGGGCAGGAGAACCCAGGAGGTGTCTTTTCTTTCAATTCTTCTTTCCCTTCCCTGGACCAGGTGTATCGGTTCCGTTCAGCATCTGAAAAGCAAGTTTGGCAAAGACTACTTACTGGAGGTGAAGGTAAAGGCACTCACCCGGGTGGAGCCTCTGCACATGGAGATTCTCAAGCTCTTCCCCCAGGCTGCTCGGCAGGAGAGGTGAGGGCCGCCCCAGGCGCGAGGCCTCCAGCACCCACAGCCTCGTCTCGTCCAGAAGGCGGCAGGAGGGCGCCCCGGCTGCCTGTGGGTCACAAACAGGCCGTGGAGGGGCCACTCGGAAGAAGGGGGGGCCTCCCTGACCGCCCAGCGGGAGGCCGCCTGGGACGCGGGAGACGCGGGAGTGATTGCTGGGTCGGGAAGATCGCCTGGGGGAGGACATGGCAGCCCACTCCAGGGTTCTCGCCTGGGGAGTCCCATGGACAGGAGTCCGGCGGGCTACAGTCCACAGGGTCATAAAGAGTCAGACACGACTTAGCGACTAAACAACAACAAGGAAGCACAGGTTAGACAACACTTGAAAAGTTCTCAGTGAGTGTTCCGTATTGAGAACAGGTGGACAGTGTGTGTGTCCGTGTGTGTGTGTGAACTGTGGAATGAGAGAGATGAGGGGGGAAAGTACAAGCTTGATCATCGATTAAATGGTTTTTTTTTTTAAACAGCCAATGAAAATTCTGTATCAGTCTATAACATTTTACCAAAGATAAAATTATACTGAGACCTCGGACCGACTCCCATGCTTCAGAAAGGCTGACGTTACCTTAATAGGGTTTAGGATGTCCCTGGGGATTCTGCAGGCAGGAACACTGGAGTGGGTTGCTGTCTCCTGCTCCACAGGCTGTTTGGCTTTGTCTATCCCACTGACTTCTTTGGCCCCGTCAGGGCTGAGTCGCAGCCCACGGGCTCTTCGCTGACTCGCGCGGGCTCTTTCTCATGGCCCACGGACTCTAGCTTTGGCGCGTGGGCTTTCTTGCTCCTCGGCATGTGGGACCTCAGTTCCCCAACCAGGGATCAAACCAGAGCCCCCCTGCATTGAACAGTGGGTCCCTAACCGCTGGACCACAGGAAACCTCCCTGACTCTATCTTAAATTAATTGATTAGAAATCATTTGATCCTCTCTATAGTTCCTTTGGGCTCCCCTGGTGGCTGAGACAGTAAAGAATCCACCTGCCATGTAGGAAATCTGGTTTCGATCCCTGGGATGGGAAGATCCCCTGGAGAAGGGAATGGTTCCTTTAAAGTCGTATGAGGTCAGCTGTGAGTTACAAATAAAGATAAGCAAACCCATGTGAATAGCAGACTGAGCCGGAATTTCATTGAAAGGTGTACGGTTTTCTTACATACTGCTACTCTTTTTAAAGACTATTACTTTTGAGCACGTGTCGTGCTGGAGGCTGGAGGCTGTGTATGGACTAGGCAGTAGATAGACAAGGTTCTTACGGTGCTTGAGGAAAGAGTATTAGCAAAGGAAGATGCGAATGAATGAGGGGATGACATAAAGGGTGGACTTTAAGGCTGAGCAGGTTTGGCCAGTGGAAAAATGCGGATAAAAGTCACTCTTTTGAGAAAACATCACATGTAAATGCTCCAGTCAAGAATGAGCTCTCCGCACAGAAGATGGAGAGAAAGCTCACGTCCATCATGTGTAATGAAATGTCTGTACATTTGTTCTCTACCTGTGTACCTGTTTCCGCTCTGCAAATAGCTTCATCTGTACCACTTTTCTAGATTCCACATACATGCATTAATGTAAGATGTGTACTTTTCTCTTCAAGGGGGAAGGGGCTGTGGGGTGAATCAGGGAGATTGGGATTGACGTGTACATTATTGATAGTGTGTATAAAATAGACAATTAATGAGAACCTACTGAAGGGGAACTCAGTGCTCCATGGTGATCTAATGGGAAAGGAATCCAAACAAGGGGGGCTAGTATATTTATCTATATATGGCTGATTCATCTTGCTGAATAGTAGAAAGTATCACAGCCTTGTAAAGCAACTATGCTCCAATAAAAACTAATGTAAAAACCCCAAAGCAAAGACATAATAAATAATAAAAAGGAGAAAGTTATTAAGTTTGCGTGAATTTTATTTAGTTCTTTTGAGAAGTCTAAAAGAGAAGGACCAAACAATGTTCATTGAATTGTGCAACATGAGATCCTGGATGAACATATTTGGGAAGTTTAGAGGTCAAGGAAGAATTTTTTTAAAGGGAGAGAGCTCTACAAGTTTTAATTCTTGTACAAAAGATTGAAAAGAAGAAAATTTGATTAAAAGGTTCCAGGGAGCATAGAAAGATTGGCTTTTGAGAGTAAGAAATAAAATACAAAAGAAAGACACCACAGCCTGCATATGAAAGCTTATCAGAGCGATTTTTCAGAATTTATCATGAACAATAAATTAGGGGAAAACAGATTTTTCTTGTAAATAGATTTTTATGACTAAAGATAATTTTTTGGCCCAGATTCATGCTTTATCAAATTGAACTATTTGCTTTTTATCTAAAGGAAACTTTAAAAAAATGCTTTGGTTATTTTTGCTGTCAAGTCCTTCCCAATATTGTAATGTTGAAGGATTAGTAACTCTTACCCTTTCCTCCTCCCAGATATTCGTTCGTGATGGCATATAAATTACCCATAGAGGATGTTCACCCTCTGTCTCAGACCTTTTCCAAATTAGAGGCAGGTGAGTTTAGACTGTTCACACTTAATGTACTGTAAATGTTTTCATGTGGAATGCATATCAGATAACTTCAAGTACAAAACTTATATCATCAGTCAAACCTTGGAAAATTTCCACTTGAATAAAAATCTTAAAGGGAATGCATGGGCGACCCTAGACTTGGCTTCACACCACCCGATTCCCCCTCTCCTCCCGAGAAAATAAGTCCGAACACTCTGTCCTGGTTCCCTTGCATACCAGTGGAGCATAATTATCATTGTGACGTCCCAAAGAACACCAAGGTGAGCTTCTGGCAGCTCCATGTTTGTCAAAGTCAGAGGCACAAGGAGCAGAAACGTGGAGCCACGGATTCAACCTGACTGTCCAGACGCTTCCACCCCATTGATCTGTGTGTTTATGTCAGTGCTGGGATGACTGAAAAACACCGGGATGAGACCCGAGTCAGGGTCGGAGAGGCTGTTCTGAACTGGTTTCAGAGATGCTGACCACAGCTTATGCTGGGTGTTTATGGTACCTTGACATGTAAGAAGCGTGGCATTTACTGAACAGGGACCAGCAGGGAGTATACTCCATGGATCTGTAAATACAGACTGAAGGAACAGAGGAGGAGATGGTTAGATGGCATCACAGACTCACTGAGCCAACGGGAGACAGTGAAGGGCACAGAAGCCTGGCGTGCTGCAGTCCACGGGGTCACAAAGAGTTGGACACAACTTAACCGCTAAACAGCAACAACAAAGCGATGCTCAGCAGTTGATTTGGAGACCAAAGCATACAGGTACAGAGACTCAGAAGGCTGAATACTGAAGTAGGACACAGTTCAGTTCAGTTCAGTCGTTCAGTCGTGTCTGACTTTTTGCAACCCCATGATTCGCAGCACGCCAGGCCTCCCTGTCCATCACCAACTCCCGGAGTTTACCCAAATGCATGCCCATCGAGCTGGTGATGCTATCCAACCATCTCATCATCTGTCGTCCCTTCTCCTCCTGCCCCCAATCCCTCCCAGCATCAGGGTCTTTTCCAATGAGTCAACTCTTTGCATCAGGTGGCCAGAGTTGGAGTTTCAGCTTCAGCATCAGTCCTTCCAATGAACACCCAGGACTGATCTCCGTTAGGATGGACTGGTTGGATCTCCTTGTAGTCCAAGGGACTCGCAACAGTCTTCTCCAACACCACAGTTCAAAAGCAATTTTGAACACCACAGTCAATTTTTTTTGGGCTCAGCTTTCTTCACAGTCCAACTCTCACATCCATACATGACTACTGGAAAAACCATAGCCTTGACTAGACGGACCTTTGTTGGCAAAGTAATGTCTCTGCTTTTTAATATGCTGTCTAGGTTGGTCATAACTTTCCTTCCAAGGAGTAAGCGTCTTTTAATTTCATGGCTGCAGTCACCATCTGCAGTGATTTTGGAGCCCCAAAAATAAAGTCTGACACTGTTTCCCCATCTATTTCCCATGAGGTGATGGGACCAGATGCCATGATCTTAGTTTGCTGAATGTTGAACTTTAAGCCAACTTTTTGACTCTCATCTTTCACTTTCATCAAGTGGCTTTTTAGTTCCTCTTCACTCTCTGCCATAAGGGTGGTGTCATCTGCATATCTGAGGTTATTGATATTTCTCCTGGCAATCTTGATTCCAGCTTGTGCTTCTTCCAGCCCAGTGTTTCTCATGATGTACCCTGCATATAAGTTAAATAAGCAAGGTGACAATATACAGCCTTCATGTACTTCTTTTCTTATCTGGAACCAGATTCCAGAAGTAGGTTCTGGAAGTAGGACACAAGGTTCTCTTTAATGAGAAGGAGGTTTACAGGTCATTTATACATGAATGCATTGCTCTTTTGATTAGCTATATCAGCACTCTTTAATGTATCCTTCAAGAAAATTCAATTTACTTGGCCCATATCTTAAAATATCTCCTGGATTCAAAGTTGCTGTTTATGTTGCCAGCTTTGAAAATACTTCTGATGACAAATGTGCAAGCCACTAATGTCAGCCCCTTTACACGCAGTGAAACAGACCTTCGACCTGGAAGAATACAGCCTTTCCCAGGCCACCTTGGAGCAGGTGAGGTTTTCAACCTGCAAGCATCAACCCAGGGAATCTTTGTGTGAGTCTCTGGGTACACCCACCTTTCAGAAACTCCCTGACATGTTCATTCCCTTCTTTATTTTTCCAACTTAGGTATTCTTAGAATTCTCCAAAGAGCAGGAGCTGGGGAATTTGGATGATGACATTGATACGACAGTCAGATGGAAACTTCTGCCACAGGAAGAGTCTTAAGACCCTGAACCTCCTCATGTCAGATGTTAGCTCTCACTGCATCCTTAGTTTCCATAATTGTAGAAGAAGCTTTCATATTACTGAAGTTAACAGAACATTCAGTAATTTAAACATTCAATAATGGTTACATTTTTTAGATTTTTTTTTTGATGTGGACCATTTTTAAAGATTTTATTGAATTTGTTACAGTATTGCTTCTGTTTTTGGCCATATGTCATGTGGGATGTCCGCTCCCTGACCAGGGATGGAACCCACACCCCTCTATTGGAAGGAGAAGTCTTAACCACTGGATCTCCAGGGAAAGCCCATGATTAAGATTTTATATGTTTTTTAAAATTTTAGAATGGAGAGAAGAGACAAAGATAAGGAAACGTAGCAGACAACATTAATGCAATCAGACGTTATAGTAATCACTGATTAGGCCTATTTTGTGTTTAATTCAGAAATCACATGTTAGACAAGTGCTGTGCTGTTCAATAAGGCTGGCTGCTCAGCACATGTTACAGATGAGACCTTGCAGGCTTTTTAACCCTAGACTTTAAGTGTATCATCTTTCTAAAGCATTATTTACTTAAGTACCAACTTAATGTGACACAGACTGTCAGAAGATCTAAAAAGTTGATAGGTGACAGTATACCTTTTAGATGTAATCATATAGTATGATTATAAAATAAATGCTGGCTTCAGGGTGTATGGAACCATGTGAGTGGAGATAACAGGATCTGTGGTAAAACCACAGAAAGTATTTTGGCTGACCTCCATTCAGTGTGCTTGTCAGGAGTACTTTTTCGAAGTTGGCCTGAGTGAGCCTAGTAATTCTTTATATTTCTCACTTACCATTTCCAGGACGTCTCCCATGTCGTTATAACCCTTCTGTGTTCTGTAGCAGCTTCATGGCATTCCTCTGATGTTCTACCACATTAGCCTTTTTACTGTTGCCTGACAGTCTGGTTCCATGCACATTTATAAATAAAGCTGTGATGAGCTGCTTTGAAGTCTTGTTTGATAATGGTCTTAAGAGTGCGTAGCTCAGATATCAACTCTTAGCTCTCTGCTCTGTGAGGCTTCGCTGACTGTTCTCTGACCCGTAGAAAAAGTCAGTGTCCGTCCTGGGCCTCTGAGCCAAGGAAGCAGCAGGAACGTTTCGTCTCAGGCTCTGTGTTGACTCTGACTTTGCTCATCTGCTCACATCTCTTATGTGCTCTGGGATCAGCTCCTTTGTCTCCAGCTTGGCGCAGACTGAGAGGTAAGATTTGTCCCCTTACCTAGACTGTTCCAAACAGCTCTTTCCACCTCTACTGGTGGGGTGGGGGGTTGTATCGTGGCTTTGACGGATCATCACCACTGGTCAAAACAAGGGGCTCAGTGAAGAGCAGCAGCTTCCTCCTGGCCCGGGAGAATGCTCGAAGTGTGCATAAAAATGTGACACGTTATTTCAAGCCAGATATTATTTCATATACATTACAGTTAGTCCCCTAGACACGAACGAGTTCCATTCCAAGAGCATGTTCGTACGTCCGATTTGTTAAAAGTCCGACAAAGGTAGCCTAGCTACCCAGCTAACAATCATCTGTACAGTCCTGCACTGCTGCAGGTTTATAATACTTTTCACACAAATAATACCTTAAAAATGAACCTAAAATAAAGCACTTTTAATCTTACAGTACAGGACGCTGAAAAGTGCCGTAGTACGGTAGGGCCGCCGTCAGGGAGCCGGGGGACAGAGGTGGGGCGCCAGCAGCAGGAGGCAGGGGCGAGCTGCAGGGTCGCGCACGCCTGACGTTGGTGGCACCGCATCTGGTTCCTTTAAGGAGGACCTCGGCGAGAGGCAGCACCTGCCACTTTCCACAAGCGTCCTCACTCCAGTCGGACAGGAAATAGTCAGACGGCAACAGCAGGCTCTGCGATTTCCTCGGACGCAGCTGTTTGCCAGCGCACACCGTCAGCTGTCAGAGAAAGTCACCTCCCCTAGCAGATTTATTTGGCTGCTTTGAGCAGGGCGCCCTGGACTTTCCCTTTGTAAATTTCCTGCTGCTATAAATGGAGACCATGCAACTCTGCTGGGCTTCATTCCTTCTACCCTTAAAATGATGGCTTTCCGGCTGGTGCCCATGGCCACAGAGAAGGCATGGTATGACCACCGAGAAAGCACCGTTTGGGAATAATAGAATTTCTCCGTGTTTTCAGCACGATGTCTTAACTAATTGCAAAATCCCCACATCCTTGGGGATTTCGTATTTCACAAATCTCTATACCTGGTAGCATTTCCTGGGTTCCTGGGCTTTCTCCAGTGACAAGAACTAGACTCCACTTGCTGACTCAGCTAAGGAGGGACTTGCTGTAATCCCAGGCGTAGCCCAGAATAGCAGCAGGCCTCTGAGAGCCGGCCTGAAGGTCTTCCTGGAGGCAGATGCCCCCGCGTGTCCCTGACCTGGAGCGTGTGCGGCCTCAGTGGCGCCCCCAAGCGCTGCTGTGCGCCATGACAGGCCGACCTCCTCCTCCAGGGACCTGGCTCAGGGCGTCTGCGCCCAGCCGCCTCCTTCGGCTTCAAGCCCTGCTCGCTTCAGGTCTCGCCCAAGGCCGCGGCGGCCTCCGTCCCTCCTGCCTCTTCGCCTCTCTCCGTGGTCCTTGGCTTCCTCCGTTTCCCAGTTCACGTTCCGAAGAGCTGAAGCTTGAGATTGGCTTTGCTTCTGCTTGCACTATCTTTACAACCAACAGCACACAGGCTAAATGCGAGCCCTTGGATCCACCATACAAATGACGGTCAGCCCTCCGTTGAGAACGACCCTGGGGCCTTCCCTGGCGGTCCAGTGGCTGAGACTCCGTGCTTCCAACCCAGGGGGCTCAGGTTCCATCCCTGATCAGGGAACTAAGAGTTTGCACGCCGCCACAAAGATCAAAGATTCTGAGTACCGCAGCTAAGAGCCGGAGCAGCCAAATAAATGAATACATAGATCTTTTTAAAAAAAGAAGTGCCCTGGCCTGGACCCTCTGGAGGGCAGTTCCCCCTGAAGCAGCTGAGAAGCACTGCATTCTTCGTGTTCAATGAAACCCATCGGAGTTCGACTCCTGCATAGAGTGTGTCCTTCCACACAGCCCTCCCTCCCGTTGCAGATGCATGAAATTTCAGGTAAAATAAGACAAAACCACTTCAATACCTTAAGTTCAGTAAGCTTCAGCCTGAGTCGCAGGGGCCCAGCATCATACTGAACCCAGATATCAACCCCTAAGAGTGCGAATGGGATGTGTGTGCCCACCTGAGGTGCGGTGGTTTATCGCGGGTGAGAAGCAAGGACTTAGGACAATGATTCTGCATGAAGCCAGCTCCTGTGGAAGGCCGCTCAGGCTGGGGCAGGAGACACGCACCTCCTGGGAAGCTGGTCCAGACACTGGCTGGGAAAAAAGTCTGAGCTGTGCTTTAGTGGCAGGACAAGAATTCTATCCATGTGGTCCAGGAATCCCAACTGAAAAAGTCGACCTGTGTCATCAGAAACACGAGATAGCACGTGTTGGCCAGGATGTGGAGAGACGGGAACACCCGTGTGATGTGGTGGGGGTGGCAGCGGGTGCAGCTGCTGTGAAAAACAGGATGGGTGTTCTTGAAAAGTTAGAAACGGAACAGTCGTGTGATCCGGCAAGCCCACCAGAGGTTATATATCCAAAGGAACTGAAAACAGGATATTCCCCGTTCACTGCAGCATCATTCACAAGAGCAATGATGAGCAACCACCTGAGTGTCCTTTGGCAGATAAAGAAGGTCTCACGCACACAGGAACACTACTCAACCACAAGAAAGCGGGATATCCTGCCACGGGTGACAGCGTAGAAGGACCTTGAGGGCATCATGCTAGTGAACTTAGTCAGAGAAAGACAAAGCTGTATGATATCACTGAAGTGTGGAGTCTAGGGAAGCCAAACTCAGAAGCCGTAGAGCCATGGTTTCCGGGGTGGAGGGTGGGAGAAATGTGGAGACACTGGCCAAGGGATGTAAACTTCAAGTGATAAATGAATACACCTGGGGATCTGATATGCATCAGGATGACCTTCGTTAAAAATATTACATTCTTGACAGTTGCTCTGAGGGTAAATCCTAAACAGTCTCACCACAGGAAAAAAATGGTAATTATGTGATGTCTTGGCAATTGCATGACGTTGTGTTCCCTAACACACATCATCATTTTGCAACATAGAAGTGTATCAGATCAACACTTTGTATATCTTAAAAACTTATACAATGCTTTATGTCAGTTATATCTCAATAAACCTGGTGGGAAGTCAGTCTAAAAGGGGCCAGTGGAACAGCTGGGAAGAACAGGAGATCAGGCAGACAACAAGGTCAGGCACACAACAAGGTCTGTGCAAAATGTGGCTTGTTCCCAAAGCGGCAGGAGAGCCGACTGACACAGAGGCCACCCTGAAAAGTGTCAGAGGCAGCAGAGAGATGGCAGGGTGGCTGGAGGCAGAGCTCACGGGCGTTGCCAACACCCAGATGTTCGTAACACACGGTGTTAGAAGCAGAGCAGATGCTGATGGGTTGAATACAGAAGCCAGTGCCTCGGATGATGCACAGGATGGCTCTAGATGGGACTGAAAATGCTCACGGTCCCCATGGAGTGCTGAGCTGAGCTCTGGGTGCTGTGAAGGCTCCCGCGGCTGCTTCACACGCGGCGGTGCTCACACGTCTGGGGGCGAGGGTGGGAGGGAGCCCCACGGGGTGGGGGGTGGCGTGTATTCACATCGCTCACTCACGTCTCTCTACAGCAGTAACTAACACAACATCGTAAAGCAGCTCTACCCCAATAACGAGAGAAAACTGACAGCTGCAGACAAAATGAATGGACATTTCTTGCCCAGAAATTCTCAATGTCTCAGTCCATCTGGTTTTTAAAAACTGTTGTAAAATATATGTATAAGATTTGCTTGAAATAAACTAGACACAGGTATTGTATGAATAGGAACATTTATAGGAAATATCTAGAATAGGCAAATTCACAGAAGTGGAAAGAATAATAAAGGTTCCATGGGCTAGGGGCAGGGTGAATGGAGAGTTAATAGTTTCAGATTTCCTGTTTTGGATAATGAAAAAGTTTTGGAACCAGATAGGGATGATGGTTGCACAATATTGGGAATGTGATTAATGTCATGGAATTGTACGCTTAAAAATGGTTCTGATGGCACATTTAATCCTTTCTCTTTTCTAAAATATAATGTAAAATAATTCTGACATAATACATGATTGCTATAAAAATCATACAATGTAAAGCAGCCTAAGCTATGGACATTCTCTTGCTTAGTCAATACGTTTTTCTATCCTATACACATAGGATACTAGCAAGTCCCTTGTTTTCAAATTGTCTTATTTAACAACATACTATGAACATCACACCTCCTCATTTGATTATATTTGTATGTCATTGATTGTGGTGCCTGTGTGTTATTTCAGGGTTTGGATGTACCCACAATATTTCGTTGAAAATTGATTGAAAGATATTTAGGTTCTTTCTAAACCTCCCTTTTGTCAATAACGCTGCAACTGAGGCAGTTGCACGTAGGTCTTTGGTGACCGTCTGCCTGCTCCCGTGGAGTCCGTTGCTGGGATGCCTGGTTCGGAGGTTCTGTCTGTGCCTGGGCTTTCAACGTGAGGCTCCCTGGAGTGTCTCGGGCACTCTGCAGCCCGGTGCCCGACTCGCCATGGAAGTCAGCCCCTCCACAGCAGCAATCTCCCGGTGAAGGGATTCGAAGCTGCTGGCAATCAGGACAGCTCAAGTGCCCATTTCCAGAGTTCACTTCAGTGTGTTTGCTGTTGTTGTTGTCTAGACGCTCAGGCGTGTCCGACTCTCTGTGAACCCATAGATTGCAGCCTGCCAGGCTCCTCTCGACATGGGATTCTCCAGACAAGAATACCAGAGTGGGTTGCCATTTCCAGGGGATCTTCCTGACCCGGAGATCAAACTCAAGTCTCTTGCATTGGCAGGCAGGTTCTTTACCACTGAGCCACAGACCTTGATTCTATTTGCTATCGATAAAATGAAAAAAAGAAACCAAAAAAGATGGCTTACATAGATCGCCCTCTCCGATGGATGAACAGTGTGATCAGTGGGAAGGGAGTGGAATTTGAAAACCCCCTGTTCTGTTCTCCCTCCTCAGGGGCGGAGTCCTGGAGGCATGAGAAAGCTACGGGGATGTCTCACCTGGCACTGAAGAGAAGTCCTAGGAAAAAAAGGTTCATTCTCCCAGGGACATGATACTGTATTTCTCCCTCCTCAGAGCCAGCTTGAGGGCCACATGGAGTGAAAAAAGTCGTCTCATCAGTTAACACCATCAGTGTGATGACCACATAGGACACAATGGAAGCTGCAAAAAAAAAGAGAAAAAAGTAACATTGACCAAATCGGCTTCCAGGCGGGTCCGTGACAACTGACTGTTCTGCTCAGCGATCTAGACCTCTGTGTGATGTGGAAAAAGTTATTGGCTGGAAGAGGAGACTTCGACTAAAGAAAGATTGAGCCTTAGTAGAAGAGTCAGCAAAGCTCTCTAAGACAGGAACACAAACTCCAGACGCAGGGACATTCTTCAAAAGTGCCGTTTTGAACTCTGCGTGAGTTACACTCAGACGGGCTCGCTGAGCTCACACCGGTTTCCCCTTCTGCGGGGCGAGCTTATCTCCTCTCGTCAGGCTCACGGGCTGGGCCCGGAGCAGCTGTCCCTCCCCCATGTGACTCCAAACCGAGGATAACAGCAGCCTGGAGCAGTGCCAAGCCCAGCCAGATCCCCCAGAGGTCTGAGTGAGTGCCGACATGCTGGCAGCTGGGGAAATTTACAGACGCGAACTCCTCGTGCTGAAAGTCTGTCCTCGGGCAATGCTGTTACAATCCTGACACTTGATCCTAGAGATTCCGGCCACAGGTAGGTGTCTGTATATGTTCTTCATAAAGCAGTTAAGCAAAATGTGGAAGCTTGTGCGAGAAAAGGCAAAAAAGAGGAAGAAGTGGATGGATAAAGCGACAGCTGCATCTAAAATTCCAGAAATCTCGTGGCTAGCGCTAACATGCTGCCAAGCTGCTGAGCTCTCGTTTACTCGAAAGCTTCTTTAGAAGTGAGTCATGACCACGTATTTTGTTTTGCTTCATTCAGGTTTGTTTATAATCTTGGACAGCCAGGCCACGCAAAGTCCACCCTCTTTCTGAACACGCCGAGAACACTCTCTGCTATGGACCTGAAAGCTTAATCTAGGAGCCAGCGGACCAAACCACGCTGGTAAGAGAGAAGTGGTATCAACCGTCTCCATGTGGGGGTCCTCCATGAGGAGACCCTTCCTCGTATAGACCTTCAGTGCCTGATCTCTCACTCTTTATCACAGTTGCCTGGCAACACCCCAGTTTTGGTTAAACCTGTATGAAGGCGATCAACACTGGGAGAAGACGTACATGAACAAAATGAATAAAAGGACTCTATTTTTTGTACTTATCTATTCACTCACTCATTTGGCCACCTTGCATCTCGTTGCAGCAGGCAGGATCTTTCGCTGCCACGCGTGACTTCTCTAGGTGAGGTGCCTGGGCTCGGCGGTTGCGGTGAGTGGATTCTCTGCAGTGGCTCATGGTCTCCAGAGGGCACGAACTCGGTAGCTCTATGGCATGTGAGATCTTAGTTGCCCACCAGGGATCAAACTGGCATCCCCTGCCTTGCATGGCAGATTCTTAACCACTGGGCCACCAGGGAAGTCCCCAAAAGTCTCAATTTAAGTGGAGGAACATGACT